TTTGTATACTTAGATTCAATACCAATAAAATAATATTATTAAAAAAAAAATCAACGATCAAGCATATGGACACGAAGATCCAATGGCTAAGTGCATGGCCGTCAGCCTATGCAACTAGTACTGAAATCAGATCAAGCGTCAAATCAAAATTGTAAATCGAATTCCATATCAGTGTCATCGGTAGCAGTAGATCGCTTATATGTTGCGGCTGGATTGTTTTTGCTCTCGTTAAATTGATAATTTGCTATAATCGACCGGAGTCGAAAACTTGAGTCAGGATATTTTATTTTTTATTTTTTAGCAAGGAATCGAAATTGTAATTTTGTCAACTTGGCGCCATGGGTAGGAAAGAATTTTTCTTCCGATCCACTGAAATAATTAAAATGATTATAAGGTAAAACGGAGGAAAGTAGGGTAAAACTGTTCTATTGGCACAGAGCTCCGTATAATGGTTGTGTGATCACTGCATTCACGTATCCATTGGTGGATTTTTGTTCATTTACAATTATAAAGACTCCGGTAGCCGAGATTTTTAACGCTTGTATCATCCACTTAACATACGGAGAACTGTCACCATTTGATAATTTCAGGATACCATTCTGTGAAAAGTGAAATAACTATGAGACTTAACGTTACCACTGCATTTAATTATTGCAAAAGATTCTGAATATTAAGTTCAGAATTGTATTGTTTGTTCCCAAAGGGGGAAAATCCTATATACGAAGCTATAAGCATTTGGTAAACCGTAATATGACTTTTGACTCATGCTTTTCCGAAAGCTATATTTTGGTCATTTTGTCTAGTAAAAGAGTCAAATTGTTCTATAGATTTTCTGATTTTTCTAAATTACTTTACAGTGGCACTGGCGTGAGTTAAAAAAGGTTGCGTCAAATTTTTTTTTCCAATAGGAAAGTGACGGGCTAGTCAAGGCTGTAGTGCAACGCCAAGCCGACCGGTGAGAGCGGGGTGGCTCGCTCTTGTCGTCGCAAAAATCAAATTATTACAAGAGTGGGGGAGTACCCCACAATTCAGGTATTAATCTGAATAGAACAGTTATTACACTTGATCTTATTTTGCGCACTTCAATTTTTAGCTTTCTATAGGGCGCCTCCCAGTGGGTTTACGCAATGCCGTCTGTACAAATATTCCGAGCCTGTAAATTACGTCTGACTGCACGCAACTTAAAGTATTATACGAAGCTACGGAAAATATAACGTTTTTACCGAAGTGTCGTAGGTCATCCCGGTCCAGATTCCAATTATTCCATCATCGTCATCAGCTATCCAATTTTTTATGTAAGAAACTACGACATTGTACTGTTCTAATAATATTTGCCGGTTTTCTTCTTCTTTCAGAGCAATGATGCTTGTTGAAAGTTAGTTGTTCTTTCACCAACTTTAATCGGTAAAGTGCATTTACCCTCGTAAAATATTCCTGGACAAGAGGCTGAACAATATGATAAAATACTTATGGGAAGCCAAAATATATGCGGAGATGTTAATGTAAAAGGAAAACAAAACAGCGAATTTTGTATGGTTCAAAAAGAAAAGAAGTATCTTACCTTTTTCTTTTGCAGCAACAATTCTTTTAAGCTGGTCAATTATTTCTGAATTTTAAATTATATTTTAAATTATATCACACGGCGATGCTAATAAAGACTGAGTTTGAAGACCTTTGAGAAGTTAGGCTAGTGCAGAAATAAAGCTACCTTGAAGAAAAATTCAAGTTCTTTTGTTTTTTTATGTGATAGCAGAAACGTTGCTTTTGACTGTCCATCATCACGACCTTTCGACTAACTCTAAGTATTAATTAAAACAAATATCACCTTCGTGATTTTGATCTCCTCAATCTCCTTCCAAAATTAAACGCCCGTCCTTCCATTTACGGATGCAGAGACCTTCTGGAGTAGATAATTATTAGCAATGGATAATTACTGTGTGACCGAATAAGAGAAAAAACTACATCTTTTGAATGTGGAATTTTTTTTTTATTGAAACTGTACTGGACTATCCAACTGTCATGACCAACTAAAATCGTCTCATTGATCTGGTTTGATCTGTAAAATTTAACAAGCTCTTATATCTGAGCACGAATTCATCATTGGCACAAAAATTAATGTGGTGCTTTGAGCATAGAGTAAATGGTGAAGCCAATTTATATTTTAAACATTAAGTCCACGCTCAACGAGACCACTTCTTTACAAACCAATTAGGTTTGTGGAATTACAACCAATTTTTGAAATTCAATTTCAGTGGCATGCAATTAGGCTGAAAATTTTTGTTTGGTTAAAAATCATGAAAATAAATGTATTTGCATGTTTTCGTGCTTTGCCCATATTATGACTTTGCATAGTACACACACACACCTTTTCATGCCAACCGGGAAGTTGTAAAGTTTCTTAATATATCAGGTGACAAATTATGCAATAAGTTACACCAATTCGTTGTAAAATTTAAAAACAAACGGAAAGGTAGTTGTATCATTCGAGCATGCTAGTTTTTACGATTTCACCCAACTGGCAAAACGCATGTCACATTGGGAAACAATGCCAATAATTTGCTCCGAATTGCGTTGGTCACTTTGAATTCATTGTTCACCCTGATCTGATATTATGTTGAATCATTGTACATTTGCAAATTGGCAACGCTTGCTTGTAGCTGTAATAAGATAAATGAAGGATGGTTTCATTCACATGAGGCATTCCTTTGCCTCTAAATTAAATCCATATTAAATAGATACATATTAAATCCACACGCGAAAGGTTTCAAGTTTGTTGTTGTTGTGTTTTATAGCGCGACACGGAAATTCTTTATAAGATATAAAACGCGATACGGAGTATTATGGGGTTATACTGGGCTGTATTCGGTAAGTGTCTTATAAAATAATTTTGGAATATGGAAATATTTGCCTAAACGGAGACTAAAATATCCGGAATTATTGACGTTCCGGGGACAGTCTCAATAATGTCATTTTGGTCGTCATGAATTGAACAAGGAAATACAAGCTGAACGCCGCAGCGACCCTCTGTTTCGATGAAATAAGCATGGCAACAGATCACGGATACAACATCTGGTGATACACGGGATGCCATTATGAATTTATTCTACAAGAAAGTTTATAATGATAAAGAAAAACTACCAAACGTTGCAATCGATCCAATTTTTTCACTCAACAAGGTTGATTACCTAAATCAGTTTAATATCATTCTGCAAAAGGTTTTGTCATTCACTCTTTCGTATTTTGAGGTCTATAAACACTTTGAAGTTTTAATGATATTACTATGAATGGATGCGATCATACTTTCGATTGATACCTCAATATATTTGCTGTTTTGATTACTTAGGACTTGACTGGCTTTATTATAACTTCGGATACGTTATTGTCCCGATGACACCGCATAAGCACAAGTAGTGACAAGTTCGATGATTGAATTTCTTGGTACTGACTTGAATACAACATTGGTAGTGTTATTACCCTGATGATATTGAATATGCACAAATAGTGACAATATTGGTACTAACACCATGGAGGTATATGTTCAACTACTAGAACGGATCAAATAAATACGTCTAGTACTTTTTCAAAAATGCCTTTCTAATTTTGATATGAATATTGTAAGAGTATCTTCAACTTCAATAAATTTGCTTCCTTGTTTCGCACAATGAGATTGAGATTCCCAGAATGACATTTAGCAATGAATAAAATAATATATCACTGGAAGTACAAGTCGAATGCTTACGTAAATAAAGATTTGATTTGTATTGAAAATAACATAACTCAACCGCTTTTATAAATGAGGTTTGAAATATTGGTTTGGTTTTTGAGATACATCGACCGACCGATGAAAATTCATTTCAACACAGAACGAAAACTGCCCAAGTTCTAATAGCGTACATTCTGCTTCGTTTCTAGAGTCTCTTTCGAATCACCCTATGAGTTTGAGTGCACAGCAGCATGCCGACATATTCGTTTGGACATATTTTTGAACAGGTTGGAGTTCTGGATTTGTGTGATATTCGTTGGAACTCTCAAATATTTTAGACAAAACAGATGTCTAATGTAGATTTTCTAATGTAGATTGACAAATCTATCCTAATCGACAAGTACAATCTATACCAATCCAGTTACTTGAAAGGTTGTAGTGGCATATATATTATCTGTATTCGTTTGAGAATACAGATTTAAATGGATAGAAATATTAAACAATACAGTAGTGTATTCATGAATCATGGTAATATAATTCTCTTCAATCTATCAACATGGGAACATTTTTTACTCCGTTGAGCGTGGCACACTAGTGTGCCGCGAGAGATTCTTAGGTGTGCCGCGGATCTTTTTAAAATTTAAAAAAAATAAGGTATTCGTTTTACACATAGGCATGCAATGCAACGGGCAAGCTTATGAGACTTGAGTATCCATTATTATTAGACTGATAATATTTTTGCGTTTGGCTTGCCTTGCAAAAAAGAGAACGACGGAACCTCGTTTCAATTGTTTCTTTAAACAGGCACAACATCGAATTAACATTAGCAGAATAATTTTTTCAAAACTGACTTTATTTTTTACGAGTGTGCTGCAGATCTTTTTTTATTTGCTTAGTGCGCCGCGAGCAAAAAAGTTTGAGAACCACTGTACTAGAATCTAGGTCTCATATTTAAAAATTAATTAAAAGTCATTAGACTGCATTTTGTGCTTGTAAATCAGTATAGTTTTTACCAAAGTCCTGTTTATTGTTTGAGTTCCACAGTAGATAGAATTGCTACCAGAACATGTATTGTAGAATAATATGCGTTACCGCGTTACCGCTAGACGTCCGCCTGCTGCTTTCTGTTATGGAGCTAAACTGAACCAAATCAAAATGAAGAATACGACGTATCTGTGGTGTACAGCTAAAATCGGAGTATCTTCAATAAAGGCTATGCATAGTTTAATCTATTCCTTATTGCAACAGTGTAAAATTATATTTATTGTAAGTATTCGTATCTACGATTTACATATTTAGTCTAATAAGGATTGAAAGAAATATAGATTTTAAGGTCATTGAAAAGTAAATAACACCAATAAAATCACAATAGAAACAGAATTTTACGAAATCAGTTTTTAGCAACAAAATGTTGGGTGAACAAAAACAAAGAGGATTGCAACAAATATTTAAGCGACATTTTAATTAAGATAAATTCAATATATCTCATGAACAAATTATCAAGAAATCAATGCAGATCTACTCAATTAAACCAAAGTTACTAGTGCATCAAACTAAAGTAATAAACTTCTTTTTATCTTCCTTTTCAGTATCCCCTCTGTTCTCATGCTTTGCCGTTGGTTTCAACAGCATAAACTGTAAAATATAAAAAATATTCTTGATTTCTGGTCAATGTCAATTAAGTATGTAAACATTAGCAAATATTATTTATTCTAAGTGTTTCAAGAATTTGCAAACAACAAAAATGTATTTCTGTAATTCCAAGTCAGACTTCTTCAGACAAGCATATCACGACTATGACAAAAAGCGATGGCATTTAGTGAAAGTTTAAATATTAGTTATCACATTGATTGTTAGTTTCGGGTAATCATAACTTCTGGATATTGTATATGTAACTAATACTTTTTCGTTGTTTCATTTTTTCATAGTTACTGATATTTGGCAAACTTATATAGTTACCTGCATTATTTGTAAATTCACTTGGTATTGGTTTTCTGGAAGACGTTGAGATATAACTGAAAAAATATACATGACAGTTTATTCATGGTTTCAAACTGATTAGATCATTAGATGTTACCTGTGATGGATAACGATGACACAGAATACAGTTGGTGTATTGAGTTCGGTTTTAAGCAATCTTTCAATTCAACTGCAATGATTGTGTTATGAGTGAAAACCATTACAAATGTCAAATCATCACCAGCAATATGGCAAATTTGTTGCCAAGGCATTTCACTTAGTGCGGTTTGCAAGAGAAAATTTATATGATTACCTTTTGAACGCGAGCGCCACAAGTAGTATCAAGCATAGACATGCCAACACGATTATAGTGGGGATCATCCAGTTCTCATCAGACGATTCTGTAAAGAACAGAGTGTGATATAACAAAATCTAAAGTTATATATCTGCACATAATCTTAATTTAACATAAAGAATATTAATACAAGAGAGCTATGTTCAAATATATGGACACGTCACAAGGTGTCGCTATTTATTATTCTGATACATAACAAAACGAATCCCTTGAAGTCCACAGAAACTTATAACAACACTTAAAAGTAATAGCCTTCTGGCGAAAAAATCAATTTTTTACCACTGAAAATTTCAAAGCAATTGGTCCAGTATTCGAAGAGAAATACGATTTTATCATGACGAAGGAGAATATAAACAAGAACAACAACATAATATCAAAACAATCGTTATGTACACTGACGTCTCCAATAATAAGGGAGGTACATAAAAATAACAGATTAAGAAATTCTAACATGCGACTTGCTATGTAACACGATCTGAGCAATAGTATGAAGTATATATTATAAATTATGCAATTTGGAATCAACATATTTACTATTTTAATTGTGAAAATTCTTCTTTTCACACCTAAATATTTTTATATAATTGGATGTCCTTATTTTAGTCATATATCTCTATAATGTACCTGATGAACAGTCATGTACTGAATCTTTATCGGTTGGTTCGGTTGTCGCTATCACCGATTGACTAAAATGAAAATAATAAGCATATTGAATCGCTGATTATCACTATGGTACCTGATTCCACCGAAATAATTTTTACGCATTTATGATATTCACATTAATTTTGGCATGGCAGAAATTATGGTAGTTGAGTACATGTAAGTATTCTGACATCCTTGAGGGTATGTTGAAAATGGATTGTTTTGGAATCTCTCCACTTTGATATTAATAATAGTGATATTTCAATTTTGCCTAACCCAAGAAAGCTTCAAGTTTGATTCAGATTATTAGTAAGATTTTTACTTGTTTCGATTCATGAAATCATTATATGCTTCCACCCATTCATTGTCTCCATCAGCATCTGTATCGATATTGTTCAGATCAGTTCCGTATGGATATACTGCATGAGAATACAAATAAATAATTTTATTCTGATGATTTAAATATCCATGACATAATAAACAAATCCAAAACTCGTATATTCATGTAACTTTTATAAGTATGCAATTAAGCAACTCTAATTAATTATACCATGTAATTCAAAACACACAAATGTATTTCTGTAACGTTTCGTCTGACCAAAATCAGACTTCCCCAGACAAGCAGTTTACAATTGCACGTTCTTTCACTGTATTGCACAACTGTAAACAGCTTGTCTGAAGAGATCAGATTTTGGTCAGACGAAACGTTACAAAAATACATTTGTGTTAGTATTAGCACGATTCTATAATTGCATAGAATGGTATTTTTATTTCTGCCTACAGCATACTTGCATTATACGCATACGGATCAACAAACGCATTGAGAAAGGATTGGCAGTAAGTCTCGCGTAACCTCTACTGACAGTTATCTAAATAATTACATAGCATTAAGCCCACATTTAGTTTTACTTTGGGTGAGAACTTACCTTTAATATTCGAGAATCCCCTGATTTTATTTTTTGTACCGTTGACATAGTTGAAGGCTATGCATTCGTATTGGCCTTCATCGGACAACTCAGCCTTATTCAAAACTAGACTTGAACTTCCTTCACCAACAGATTGATGAATGTTTTCTCCATCGTCTTCTGACACTGGTTCTTTGTTTTTGTTCCACGTCACTGTGGGAATGGGAAATCCTAAGGCGTTGCAGTCGATCTGTATTTTTTCTGACACGACAAGAACTGGATTTTCATTTGATATTTTCAATTTGTATGATTGCACTGTGAAAGAAAAAAAGTTTAATAAGTTATCAATTCAAAATGTCTCAAATCGAGTTACTTTAATAAATCTAATTCCAAAAATGATCGGAAATCAGAACTTCCAAATGAAATAAGCCCTAATATATAAAAAATGGTGATAATGATAATCGTAACAGTTAGCAATTATTATATTTTGAGTCGAATTATTTTGAATCTCATTCTGAAAATTTACAGAATGACATTAATTACGGTAGTTTAATAAATTGACACGATTTGTCAGAATCAACAACGCTCGTTCATCACTCCGCGACATAGAAGAATTTTGCATTTCTCTCCAGCGCGATTAATGAGTTTTAAGAGAGACTGGTTGTTGCATTGTCGACGTCATAAATTTGTCATGAGCTTTGCTGGAAAGTTGTGATATTATATGTTAGCTAACATCCAAATAATTTGTCGTGGACAAAGCTGTGGCAATCTGACTATAAAGAGAAGTCTAATAAACGATCGTTTATATGTGTAATGTTGTTTTCATTCATTTCAAACTTGTAACTTTACCTGTTTGACATATAAACTGTATAGAAGTATCTTCACAATCATATTCGTTCCATCCGACATTGTCAATTGCAACACATTTTCTTATTCCCTTTGTACTATAAACATGAATAACAAGATAAATGCATTGATATTCAAAATGATTAATAGTTAGTAAATCAACAGGCAAAAGCTTTAATCAATCAATTTCAACCAGAAATAATCGAAAAGTAACTCAAATAATAGAAGGATTGCTCAAAAATAAGTTACATTCCAATATCCGTAGCAGTTTCCACCCTTTTCCATTCTCCGTCAATATCTTTGTAAGTTCCACCAATCCAATATTTTGTAGTTTGGAGTCTATAATAAATTAATTCGCTTTTTTGTTGTTAACAATCAGGAATGCATAACTTCGTATATCATGGGCCTAGAGATCCATATCGAGGAAATTTACTAGTCGAAGTCAACGATTATCGTTGTATGTATTAACTTTTGTCCTTTTCTACATTTAGTATGATCCAATAATTACAATTGTTCTTCAAATATTTAATCTTAAAAGTAATTACGCCATCAAGTACACGTCGCATTGTTTTTCTTTTTGCTTAAACTTCAAATGTTGACATTAAAACTCAATGTAACAAAAAATCCTTTATAAGTATTGACATTTGTACCAGTCTACTTTGAACTACTTTAAATGCTAGGTTTATAAAATTTGGTTCAATTTGCAAATACTTTAGGTTATATACTTTTCTAATTTAGATCGAATAATTCCATATATATTTTCGTCATCAACTTCAACGAGTCTGCTTCCTTGTTTCATACATTGTGATTGAGCTTCCCAGAAAGACATTGATCGTCCGGAAGCATCGATTTGTTCATCACTGTATGTGAATGCCGAATACTTGGATGAAGTAATCTTTGATTCATCTGGTAAAAAAAAGCAGACTTGAATGCCCTAAAAAATTTATTCTAAGTTTTCGTGTGTTTAGTGTAAATTTAAAAAAAACAGTGATATACAATGACGATATATGACATACCCGCTTGACATATGTATCCGTATCGATAAACACAATCTACATCATTCCAATAATGCGCACCCCATCCCATCAAAAGACAATTCTCATTTCCGTTACTGTTTGGTTCTCCTGGGTTCCTGATAAAATATAATCTGATATAGTATGGTCTTGCGTAAGTGCGGTTTAACTTTTACTGAAGATTTTAACGAATAATTACCATTTTTGGAAGCCGCTTTTCATTGGAGTTTCGTCAATCCATTGCCAATAGTTTGAACTCATGGCATCTGATCCTCCGCCCCATGTATGGGGATAACCACTAAAAAATATTTCTTTTAATGAAATGTATCTGTAGAACGTAGAAAATACTTATACGCAGAATCAAACTTACTAATCTCGAAGAATTGACTGAACAGCGTTGTATATATCAGCTTCGTTTACTTTGACAAGTTTATCGCCTCTTCCCTGTCGACTGCATAAAAATGCCGCGGATCCAAACGCTACATTATCTACCCCGCCTGCCCAGTATGTTAATTCGTAGTCACCAACGTAAACTACGTCTTTTTTACCTGCAAAAATCGTTAGTCAGTTGATATTTTTAAAATATTTGCCAATTGTAAACAAATTAGATTCGCTGAATAATTCTATGCCACCTTATTAATATAATTAGGACAAAGTAAATTACTGTAATTGTTCCTTTTATTTAGCGAAGTCCTTCAACACATTTAATCTTACTTGAATATGATAAAGAAATCATAGCAGCCAAGAATAAGAAACAAAGTATCTTCATGCTGGTCAGTCAGTCAGACGATCTCTTTCGTAAGATGTAGTTGTGTGAATAATGAAATAATTCTAAATCTTTATTTTAGTTAAAAAAAGGGTACAATCAGTGGCGTGCCTATATGGGGCAGCAGAATCAAGCTGTAGACTGTAGAGTTTGAGTTATTACACATGCTCTTCTAGATGTGTTCTTATTTAATTTAAAGCTAACATTATGTGTTCTGTGGTGATGGTTTTTAAACAAGGGTTGTTTTCCCGACCCTTGACCTCAAAAAAATTTTCCTATATTTTACAATTGCAACATTTTTTTGACGCTTAGTTTAATCGTAAATATATACTAAAACGTTTCTTTCTTACTTGACCTTTATTTGATTCATTCTCGTGTATGACGACATCTATAATCTGTTTATCACCCAAATTATTTTAGAAGTTAGGTATAAGAGGCAGCATTTTCAGGAACTCGCCTCGGGCAGCAGACTAGTTGGCACTCCCATGGGCACAATACAAATAGGATTATTTATTGGGAGCTGATGTCCAATTTTGAATCATGAGCATAATGTATTGACGTAAGGCGAATAGTTTAATAGAAAATATTCCCGTGCTGGATACCATAAAAGAATATCATCACCCTATCATATCATTATCCACTTACAACGCAATGCGGGGCCAGGGAAGCATACAGTGTACTCGAGGTACAATCTTTCCGTTGTTACAACAAATAGCCACAAGTTTTACTTAAAAAGAAATTCGTTGATCGAAGTCCTTTATATAGTTTCGGAATGACACAGTAATTGTTTTAGAGGGTTTGTTTGTATGTGACGAAGCTCCTAATTCTGACTCCCGACTGATAAGGCGATTGCACCTTGGGTCGTTACCCAATGCTTGTTCAGACAATATTGTTTGTTTCACTGTTTTCTCTGGCGATATTACTTTGTGCAATCATCAGAATAGTGGATGTCTGTCGACCACAGGTGTAGATTGGGCCAATGACACAGTGATTGTTTTAGATCAGTGGTTCTCAACCTTTTTTTCATTCGTGGCCCACTTTTTGTTGCGCGAAAGTTCTGTGGCCCACTAAGTTTTTTTTTATAGAAAAGAGTTTTCCGAATGGATTTTTATTCAACTGACTATTGGTGGGTTATCTGCTGCTGAACATTATCAAGAATACATTAATTTTTGGTGGGTTCCGAGCCTTTGTTTTGATTTGCATCGATATGGAAAACCCTGCTTTCAGATAAAGTTTGAATTTTGATGGTTTCAATGAATGATGTCCAAGAACTTTATAGCATAAAACACACTGTTCTTTTACTTCACAGTTTTCAGGAGAAGATGGAATCTATATTGAATGTAATTTTTGATGAACTTTCGTTTTGCCATTCAACTGATGTCTGATTCCCATGTTTCGATATACGCTACTATTGAAATTGCTATTCCCCTTCTACGGTCATCATGCCGTAGAATGTGTTTGTTGAGTCACAATGGGTTTTAACGGCGAAGCATGTTTTGCAAATAGATATCTTGTTTTTACAAAACGTGTGAAGCTGATTTTGTTAACGAATCAATTATTTCAATCAACAACCCTTGCGATTTATAATTGGTCTGTGGCCCACCTCAAAATGTCTCTGTGGCTCACCAGTGGGCCATGGCCCACTGGTTGAGAACCAGTGTTTTAGAGGGTTCGTTTGTATGTGACGAAGCTCCTAATTCTGACTCCCGACTGATACGGCGATTGCACCTTGGGTCCGTTACCCAATGCTTATTCAGACTATATTGTTTGTTTCACTGTTATCTCTGGCGATATTACTTTGTGCAATCATCAGAATAGTGGATGTCTGTCGACCACAGGTGTAGATTGGACCAATGACACAGTAATTGTTTTAGAGGGTTCCTTTGTATGTGACGAAGCTCCTAATTCTGACTCCCGACTGATACGGCGATTGCACCTTGGGTCCGTTACCCAATGCTTGTTCAGACAATATTGTTTGTTTCACTGTTTTCTCTGGCGATATTACTTTGTGCAATCATCAGAATAGTGGATGTCTGTCGACCACATGTGTAGATTGGGCCAATGACACAGTAATTGTTTTAGAGGGTTCGTTTGTATGTGACGAAGCTTCTAATTCTGACTCCCGACTGATACGGCGATTGCACCTTGGGTCCGTTACCCAATGCTTGTTCAGACAGTATTGTTTGTTTCACTGTTTTCTCTGGCGATATTAATTTGTGCAATCATCAGAATGGTGGATGTCTGTCGACCACAGGTGTAGATTGGGCCAATGACACAGTAATTGTTTTAGAGGGTTTGTTTGTATGTGACGAAGCTTCTAATTCTGACTCCTGACTGATAAGGCGATTGCACCGTTGGGTCGTTACCCAATGATTGTTCAGACAATATTGTTTGTTTTACTGTTTTCTCTGGCGATATTACTTTGTGCAATCATCAGACTAGTGGATGTCTGTCGACCACAGGTGTAAATTGGGCCAATGACACAGTAATTGTTTTAGAGGGTTTGTGTGTATGTGATGAAGCTGCTAATTCTGACTCCCGACTGATAAGGCTGATAAGGCGATTGCACCGTTGGGTCGTTACCCAATGCTTGTTCAGACAGTATTGTTTGTTTCACTGTTTTCTCTGGCGATATTACTTTGTGCAATCATTAGACCATATATTTACGATTAGACTAGTGCAGTGGTTCCCAACCTTTTTTGGCTCGCGACCCCCTTTGGTGGTTTACAAATACCTCGCGACCCCCTGCCTCACTTTCTATATATACTTATCAATAAAATAAGCGGCAAAGAGGAGGCGAGGTTCTTACCACTTCATGACAGCTGCTGCCACGAACGTACCGATGGCAGCTCTTGCCGTGGTTATGGCGCTTTTACCGGTATATTCACAAAGTCGTGTACCAGATTTTAGTGCATCATGCGGAATTATATCTACTTAAACCTGAAACCTAACCCCAAATCCATCAAAACTGTATTCATAAGAAAAATGTTCCAACCCAACCCATATTTATTGCCATCAGGGACAGCCCTGCCATTACAGCCGACATGCCGTGGTTACGGCAGCAAAATTTCAGCCGCCTTTGGTTTTCAATTTGCTGCCGTGGTAACGACATCTCGCCATTGATTTGTGGCAGCTAAAAAGTCAGTCGCCATGGGTTTGGCCATAGCGGCCATGTTTTCCGCGTAGTGACGCGCGGAAATGCAGACGAGTTCGTGTGACGCCACAATGGTTAACATGCCATTAACACCTCGCGCCGCATGCTTGGTTTCCAAGCAATAAGCGACATTCTGGGGTCTCACGACAGCTAGTGTAAATCTCTCGGAGGCAGACGAGAGTCCATTCCAGACTTCTTCGCGTTCTATTGCCAATATTTAACCTAAAGTTTTGTATTATTTTCTACTGTTTTGTCATACCTTCGCGACCCCTCTAGAAACCCGCCGCGACCCCCCTAGGAGTCGCGACCCCAAGGTTGGGAACCACTGGACTAGTGGATGTCTGTCGACCACAGGTGTAGATCGGGCCAGGGCTTCCAGTTTACTAGAAAAAATTTGCGACGCCAACGTGGGTGCTTTGCAAAATGAAAATATAATGTTAATTTTAATATTGATATATAGTTGAAGAAACAAACGGAAACGATATCTTGTTTGCAATTGATAACATGTTTGCAGAAATAAGAAATATAACCATAGCGTACGAATAAGCCACTTTCAATATCAGGACTGCACTCATTGCGAACCCATGTTGTTAGTGTATGTTTGAAACACACCCTTTTTGATTAATGAATATATATACGTATGTAAGAATTCAGTCCTAATGATCATAATGAAAATGACGTCATTCAGTAACACTATTCTTTGAACTAGTACTCCAGTTGAATTTATGGTTATTTAGTTTTCTAACCACACACATTATGAGATACTTGGAATCAGTCCGTCATTAGCCGAAGTTTGCCGACGTGCATACGTGTGCAAATATGAAAACAAACACCAATTCAGGGATCCACGTCTCATTGTTATAACAAAGAAAAAAAGAGTCAATTTCTGATGTGTATCTAATTAGTGTTCTTAGTATTGCTGCCATAGTGGATATTCCCGTTTATTGGACACGCAGTGGACCTATGAATCGTTTCAATATGATGTTGTTGTTGTTCTTTGACACGTTATGAAAAAGTCGCTTTTCTCTTTGATTACTGGACCAATAGCTTTGAAATTTTCAGGGGTTAAAGATTGATTTTTTTTGCCAGAAGGCTATTATTTATTTTTTATTATTGAACACGGAGTGGACATCTGGATCGTTTTACTTTTTTTTTGGACACCTAGTGGAAAACCTGAAAAGTCGCTTTTAGCTGGCACTCTTCTTCTTGTCAAATTATCAGGGGAAAATACTCACGGCGCACTTACACTTTTTCCTTCGAAATACTAAAAATTAGTTCGCTAAACTCGATCCAGAAGATAAATAAATTGTAGCTCACGAAATTGCAGCAAGTAGTGTCTGTTATCGGTTACGTAACAATAGAGGCAGACACTACGTAATAGAAAGTAAACGACATAGAGAGGGTTGAATTCATTGATCCATATAAATAGCATTTAAAATAGGAAACAATAAAACATTTAAACGAAATACAATTTTTAAAATTAAATCATATTCAGTTATGTTTAACACATTTCCGTTAATTTGCGGGGCGCACTTGCAAATCGTTGCGGCGCACACTTCGATAACCGCTGGCTTGGGGGTTTCGTACCGTTTTTGTTTATAACGGGTTATTTTTGAAAGATGATCGTGTGCTAAGGAATCGTTGCTTTCATGGCCACCTGTTCTGGTACCTGAAACAGACTGCAATACAACCAAACACAGTGGTTCGTTCCATATTAAAGACCATCATGACAGATTTTGGTATTATCATGTCCTCCCTCGAAATTGATATGAAATCTACCTCGAAATCATTTTTGGTATACCTATATTAAATTTGTATTGATGGTCCTATATCTCTAGTGGACACGAACATGACCTGTATGTATTATTTTGCTGACAAAAAGCAGAACTGGCAATATGTAGACATCCTAATGTACCCATTAACAGTAGATACCGTTTTCGGGCGAATAAGTCGCTCTTTTAGATCCAAATTTTTGGCCTCATTTTGGGGGGAGGTGGGGGTCTTATTGGGCGAGTATGATAATTTTCATTTTTTCCGGGTGGGCTTCAATTCAGGCTATAAAATATCTTCCGCGATAGCATCTCTATAACGTCCCCATCAGGCCATTTTTGTATGAATCGGCGTTCTCGCGCTGTGAATCTGGATATTCAACGCTGTGAATATCATAGTTGAAGCTGCCGAATTTGTGTGTGCATCACGAGTGAACGGCTATTACCGATACACGTCTAACACATGGGATTGCGATTGTTTTTATCAGCGTGATCTCTTATTTGGTCCGTAAACATCTTTTATGTCAGCATTTATTCTCGCTAAATCACGAATTTCCCTCAACATATGTTTTGTGCCACAAGGACACGATAATTACTTTATTGTTAGCAAATAACCATGGCACTTGTGAGAAAGAGTTATTACATAATCACGTGTGACAAGATACTGAGATAAACAGAGAAGTGAATACGTGACCCAAACTTTCTTGATTGAAAAGCAGCATTATAAAATACTAAAAAAACGGAAAACGCCATTCAAGTTTTATTTTTTAATGACCCGTGACAGATTGAAGATGATTTTTGACATTGCAAATCGCAAAAACATTTTGTGTTCTACAACTACCGACGGGGCCTGACCGACATATGATATATACATATGATATATATTATGTATAATAATTTATGTAAAGTATATTTAATTAATTCATTTTTTGAAGTAAATTTACTCTGTGAGATATTATCGCTTACTTTAGGTTTTTTCATAGGGTGATATCCCTAAAATAATGAGTGACAACATTGCGATGGAGCGGAATAAGTGTTGTTTACATGTTTATGTCTACGGATTGCGTTGGTATTTTGGAACAGAGATATATACTGTTTATATTGTCGCAACCGCAGATTAAATTGATCACTATTAAATTAATAAAGCAACACATTTCGTTTCTGGAGATTCGAGATGATGAATATGTATGTTTGATATATACACTTTATATGTTTATTTATTGCCCTTGATTAAATTGTACTTTCCGGGATTTTATAGCAGATCTGGGGATTTTTATATTGACGATAACGAATTCGCAAGAGCGCAGAAATATGTATCAAAACTGAATATAATCAGGCAGTTTATCTCACATTAATATGTCCACAGATTGCCGTGTTACGTAGAGCACAATAAGAATAAAAATGAAAAACAGTTTGATTTCCTGTAGTTGTCATGGATTGAATATTACGCTACAAGAAAACGTCATTATGGGTTATTTTAACGAATGCGCAAACACCTCGACCGCTCAGAAGCCGTTGCATGGTAATTTGAGATTTCGATTTTACTGCCCGTCTTATTGGGAGGTTATATGCAAAAACCCATTTTTTCAGGCTCAAAAACGGGCCTCGTCTTATTTACCGGGTAGACTTATTCGCCGGAAAATACGGTATATATTGAGCTGCAACTTATTAAAATAGGCATATCAATTCGGATTTATGCTATGTTCTGAATTAGAATAAATATACGAGTTGGGCAGAAGGTAAGATCATCTTGGACAAGTGCGCAACAAGAGGGATGCGGCACTCTAAGACTCGTTGTAATCCACTATTCGTTCCCAATCAGTCAATGAAAAATCGATTCCATGAAAAGTGACATTATTTGCAAATAAATTTCATTTGTAAGAACTTGGTAAATGCTAAAACATATTTCTTTCATGCTAATAGTTCCTGGCAATCAATCAGCAAGAAATATGGAAGTATAGTTTCATATATATTTCAATCTGTTTAGTTTCAGTAGTTCTGGACATATTAGTAGTCGGTAATTGATGGCCTTTTCAGAGATGAGTCTGTTTACCTCTGAGTGAGTGCGATTTGAGCAAATTTTTGTATGAGGTATGGAAAACCATTGTTTTTTGTTACCAACAGGCAATAAAAAATCTACTCAATATAGATTATTACCGTATATCATTACCTCAAGTGTTTTACTCATATTGAAGTCATCGAATGATTGAATAAGCGCATGGCAATTACTTCACCGGTATCGTGAATGAAGAACGTGTGGCAGCATTCCAACGTGAATCGAAGCGCAAAGTCCGGTTTACATGAATGCAATAGAAAAATTATACTATTAGAAAAACGGTGAAATTTACTAAGTGTACTATTATTATTATAATATAATTATTTTTTTCCAATTTGCGCATAATTGGATTCGATTTAAATTATTGGAAAATATTTTCTAGGTTAGAATAAAATGAGAAAATGAGATACGAGTTAATTTTACGTGTTGCTCAAAACGGTTCATAGTTATTAATTTTATGTATTGCATCAAATGCAAATAATACCATTCAATCATGTTCGTGAATATGAATTGCACGAATGTGAAAAATGATATATGAACCAATTTTAGGATACAGGATATTTGTCAAATGAATGTGCTTGAATAAGCATCTCGTAAACAAGTTCTTGGTCTATGATCTAACAAATTTGACTATAGATCAGTTTACATTATTTGTATACTGAGTTTCGATTTCGGATCAGTTCAGAAATCTAAGAGTTTGCAGAATAGCTGCAATAAAATTTGTTCAATTTGCAGCTCTTTCGGTCTGAAATCAAAAGATAATAACTTGAATTTAATTTAAGTTCAAAAACATTTGAGATCTCAGTATTTGCAGAATTGCTGCCAGAAAATTTGTTTATTTTGCAGCTCTTTCGATCAAAAAGTAATAGATAATTAAATAGTTCAAACACATTTGCGTTGTCATTTGCAATCGAGGAAATTTTCTAATTATAATTTTTAGAATCACATATTCAGATTAGTCGATACAGAACGATAGATGTCCGCTGAATCTTTCATTCTTTTTCATGGAAAGTCAAATAAACATCAGTTTAAACAGAGGTTCTAAAAATAAAACATGCAAAACTAAAAAAAAGTGGAAAGTATCACCTGTATTTTTCTTGGGATTGATTTATTGAAAGATTATCATTTTTATAAATCTCCGTTTGTTTAAAAAAACAAACTCAATAAAAATAGCATTGCGCAATCTAATGTAGCGATCATTTCAATCGTTTTCGGGTTATATATATTATTTTTAACTTGAGAAAAGTTTTTTGCTTTTATTTATTGGTTGGCCAAGATTCGACTGAAGATTATAAGCCACTTACAACGCTCGAAAACTGTTAAGGTTAGGGTTAGCGTGGAGAGATCTATTCTAAATTCATTCTGGGGTACTAAGTCAAGGCGCTGTTCAACGGTGTAGTGCAGGGGTCGGCAATCTATGGCCCGCGGGCCGGATCAGGCCTACGGGGTAATATAATCCGACCCGCGACGCTTCACTGAATTATAGTAACAAAACAGCTGTTTTGACGATTATATTCTTTACGAAACAGAATTTATTGTGAGTAACGTGTGGACTAAATTATAATATAATCTAACAAGTATAAAGTTACAATTACTCGTTTAATTAGCCCATAATTTAATTATAGTTACACATATGGCAACAAACCGCAGGAAGTTGATGCTAAGTGCAAAGGGTTCAATGGTGCCGAAAATATCCAAATGGATTTTTTTGAGATGCAATGCGATGAGGGAGTAAATCTATATTCTATTCGATAGATGTATCACTGCTTGATTTTTAATATAAAAAGTACCATCCGTCCGGCTTTTAACTTTCTGATAATATGTGCGGCCCGCCAATGACTTGCAATCCTTAATTTTGGCCCGCGAGCGACAAAAGGTTACCGACCTCTGGTGTAATGAATTAGTTATATGAGGTCTAACAGAATGCCGGTATTGCCAAAGCTACCGCGTTCGTCTAAGTGTGTTCGCTTCAGAGCCGTAATTGGCGTCACTTCATGTACGCCAAGCTCTTGAGTAATGGTGAAAATCCAAATTACAAATGCCCATTTCAAATTCATACTCTAATACAAGTCCGGCTGAACACACTGTGGCAATTATTTATATTCTAGAACATTTTGCGCGGGGCGGACGAATAATCCACTAACCACAGTAAATTAAAGCGTTTTAGTTGTATAAACAAGGTTTAGGTTGACCCTGTGTGATTTCAGTTAAAATAAATTAATTCAAAATTGTTTAATAATTATTGGTTTCAGAATGAGCATCATAAAAAAGTCAGAAAATAAACTATCATCTATCAGTTGTGAACCCCGGGTATAGTCGGGGCCGTGCATTAGGTGCATATGACAAGTGCGAACAAGAATTAACTTATTAATAAAATACGAAAAGTGAATATATCAATTTACTTTGAAATTTTGGTAATTGTTTTTCTAGTTTTACAATTAACCTTACCTGAGGCAATCACTATTTGGTTAAAAATAAACGCGCCGTCGTGCACATTTGCGGGTATGAGTCATTCAAAATAAAATTTATTGAAGGAAATTTGTAATGGCTTCTCGGAATCAATTAGTAAACTATTATTTAAATGTCAGAATGTCATAAAAAAAGTTATTGTTGAGTTGTAGTTGGTTTATAAAAAGTTTAGATTCTGAAACATGCAGAGGTAGTAGCGATCAATTCGTGAAAGTTATATCTTATTGTATGTTCACTAAAATAAAGTTGTTTTATTATGATTAAAACCTAATTATATTTCAAATTAAATACAAAATTAAGCAAGCCCAATTTGTAAAAAAATATTACTTTCAGAAACAATTACAATAATAATTATTGATTGTAACTCATATTGATTTCCGCAGTTCAGTAGTAAGCTTTAGACACCGAATCCTTCAAAATGATTGCGAAATCAGCATTTGTATTATCTTTACTTCTGTCAACTGTCAGTTGTCATATCGCGGATGAATATCATGATTTTCACTTTGAAATAAACGGTAAGGGTTTGCTTTTATTTATTTTTTGTGCTGTAGTTTTTTTTTAATATTGTTGTGTTCAATGGTAGTTGGATAAACCATTTATCTCATATGCTACAATATAGAGACGTTTTTTAGCATGACGTTCTGATCAAATAATTGTCATCTGCAATAAATATTCGATAAACTGATGCTAAAAAAATTTCAACCAGCGTGTACCCGAATCTTTCGCTATCGTGTTTGGCGCGTTAAAATTTCTTTTCGTTGAAACTTGTTCTTTCAAGTATTTGAGTATTAACAATGATTTTGTCAAAAATAAAACAATAACCGAGTTCACCGAGTCATTGACTCGATTTGGACTCGAGTCCCTATTTATCAAGGTATCGTACTCAACAAACTCAGGCTGACTCGTATTTAACTAACTGAGCTCAGTAATTGACTCGACTTCGGACTCGAATGACCCGTGACTCGACTTCACTTCTGACTTGTCTATAGCATTACTTATTTTAAAGATGAGTAACCTCTCAATGAATATTTTTATAGCGGAATTGAAAGAATGCACACCGCCAATGGAGGAAGGACTCATTGTGACGCCATTCAAAAAATCTTACGCTGATGAGGAGAAAATCACTTTATCGTGCCAGGAAGGTTATGATTTGAGGGAAGGGCATAAAAATGCCACTTGCCAGGGAATGACTTACGGGGGATACGCAAAATTTAAACCCACGATTGGTCCCAGAATATGCACAAGTAGGCGAATAATATATTTCAAAAAAAGCATAACACACGACAATTATTTTTTATATGATTTCTTATGTGCAAAGTAAAGTAACATGTAGACATAAAACTTACTAAATCACTTTTCTAAGAAAATAAAAAAAGTGTTAAGTGAATCTGAATTGAAACGTAATTCATATCATTCAGAAAAATGTCAACTCTATGGTGAGGTTTGACCCCTTACATTTACCAATTCTATATCAAATGCTTATATATACTTATAAATCCCTATGAATAAGAGTAGTCACATTCTCAAATTGCGAGAAGAAAATGTAACCGTAGATGCACATCATTTGTACAGAATGATCCCAGTCGTAATCCTTAAATTACAGACTTTTTTTCTTCTAAACGTGAATTTTTTTTTGTAGAAACGCCCAGATGCGTCTTACCAATCCAAGAAGGCATTGTGGTTACACCTTTCAAAATGTTTTACGAAGTCGGAGAAAATATTTCGGTGTCATGCATTGATGGTTATACTTTAAATGGAGATTCTGCTCTAACTTGTCAACGTGGAAGAAATCGATATCATTTTCATAGTTATTTCCCTGGAATCTTAGACGATGCAAGTTTCAAACTTAAAGGAAGAAACGCTTGTTCTAGTAAGGATTCAAATTACTGAAAATTAAAAAATGTTATACTCCGACGATTATTTTTTACGGTTTTTTTACAACATGTTATTGAAATCTAAACAAAATATTGTACTGGGATATTAATGACTTTTGAAATTCATTTTTTCGAACCTAAAATCAAGTCTTGCCAACAAAATATCTCAGATTGCTAGCATCTGCTTGAACTTCAAAAAGTAAAGCTAATATGGTCCAAAAATGCAATTGCTGGAGATGAGATAATAACTAAAATTAGCAAAAATATCTTCTGGCGTTTTCATACATGATGACTAATGGCCAGACAAAAGCATCGGGTTTATAGGTTTCGGTCCTAGTCACATTATGATCTTATATGTTTATGTATAAATAGTTCGTTTGTCTGGAAATGTGTTATAGAATAATAGGAAGTTATAGCTAAGTTTACATTTAGCAGCTGTGTTATTTAACCTAAATAAAAGAAATAACATAAAACTAATTATACAAAACCGTTGTGAAGGGCGTAGATTTACGATCGAAATTCCAGAACTGCCTAAGGCAGAGGTTTAAAAATATTTCGAGCCCGCAGCTTGACTTTCTCTAATACCAATCATGAAGCATTAAAATGATATTTGATGTTATCAACATTAAACACGCCAGAGAGAAGTTGTATAATTCATGAACACTTATATGATGCGATATGTGTTTTAGTAGACATAATTCAACCGAATACTTCAGTATACTTCGCTCTCTACATTAATTTACCAAATTTTTCCATTTTATGTTCTAAGTTTGGACAGATAAAAATATCACTTTATTCAAACAAAAACAGAGATTTGTAAATACTAGCATAAGGGATTTCACATAAGTGCAAAAAATAGATACTTAAGACACGGATAGTACATATGAATATTGTCGGGGTTATTGTTTGTTATTGTGAAAAATGATTTCCCTGCATCTAATGGGCTAATCATTTTCATATTTGTATTACTTGCTGAATCCGCTAGATGGCCATTTTGACCTCAGATGGTCCTAAGGAACCCGATTTTTCACCAAATATTTTGCCAAAAATTCATGCGAACATTTTAAAATAACATATGGGAAGACGTTACTGAGTTACGTTTGTCGGCTCATCTCTTCAGCAAACACGACACTCATGTGATGCGTCACCTTCGAGTCAATATATTTAATTAATTATTTTTTTTAATCGTATATTCAACTATCACAGAGATTGAAGACTGTCGTCCACCCATTTACGAAGGTTTAACTGTCAAACCGTTTAAGCCATTTTATGGCCGTGGAGAAGAAATATTGTTATCGTGTGACGAAGAGTATGAGCTTGTTGGTGCAAATAGTAGTATGTGTGATGAAACAGGATCGTTCGATATCGATGATGGTATAAAACATGATGGTTATGACAACTGGGGTATTTTTCGTTTCTCCTCGTCTCCCTGTAAGAGTAAGTATTTCTAACTATAGTTTATGATGATTTATTATTTAGCGATAGGTGAGGAGGTATATATTACTTTTGGAATGACTAGAATATTTTCAGATCGATATTGCCTACCCAATTTATTGCACCCTAGGTGGGGTGGAATTTGACCCAGGCATGGCATTTGAACCCGCGATGTGAGCCTAAAGATTCCAACATCGCTTAAAGCTAACCGTTAGGTCCCCGGTCTTCTGCATGTTTGGAAACTTTGATAAGCGATAAAAATGGATAGCAACCTAAATAAATTGATGAATCCAAACGTCCTTTCTAAATGTAGTACATTTTATTTCATCAAAAATCGCATGAAGCTTCAGAATAAATTACCAAAAACACAATGTATTCTAAGAGATACCTGTCTTTCTTCTATATGATTTCGGACAATGCATCAGTTTTTGTTCAACTAGAAAAGTATAACAACACAGTTTTTTGAATCCTTTTTATTAACTCTGTATGTTAATTATGCAATGACTCAAATATATATATATATAGCTTTTTTTTCTCTAAATTGTTTTGCATTACACAAATGATGCAAAGTTTTAATCGTTGTGTTCGTTGTAAGTTTTCCTAGAGATAGCCCTGCTACCTAACTATATTAACATTGCACCTAGAAAATCTTTAGTTTTCTTTGTTCAACGCAAGGCTTTCCTAATACATTCTTTTTTACGTATATATGTCAATTTTGAAAGGGAGATATGCCAAAAATCTCATATAACCTAATGAGTGAAAATTATGGAATGAGTTCTCTATTTAAATTTCCTCCAGAGAAAGCTACTTGTTCTGCTCCAAAAGCTCCTCATACTGTTGTAACTCCTCTGAAGACCTCATACACGAGTGGAGATGAAGTTACGATATCATGTGAGGAAGGATATGTGTTAGTTGGATCAAACACAGCAGTATGTGGATATCTAACTTCTTCTGTATTCGACATGATGAATCCTACTGGTCGATTTGAACCTCCTATCAGTATGAGAACTTGCTCAAGTATGATTGTGTTGTGATTTGTTTTCTGAATCGTATTTTTTGACAAATACTAGTTCATTTTTTGCATGTGAAGTGTTAATATTTCTCGTTTGACAAACTTGTTGTTGTTGTTGTTTTTATTGCTGCTGGTCTTATTTGGGTTTGGGCTCGTTGTTAGAAAAAAAATGTTTTTTTCCAGAACTCCGAAACCTTAGCGATCATTGCGCTCTTGTTTAAAATATATATACCGTAAATGCAATTATGTCGAGACTTGTGTAATAGGAAGTAATTTTATCAGAAAAACCGCTTCATATTCTCACAGTTTCATTTCGTATTAATTTCCTTTATTTTAAAACAAGGTTAAGTGTTTTCTCCATTTTGGTGCAATATTACAATCCAGATCAAACGACATCATTATTATTTAGCATAAGATGAAATTGTTCTCATCTAAACCATAGACATAACTTGACAAATTAAACTATCCAATCTTCCATTTTTAACCACTCAAACTTTTTTGTTTTTCAAGAAAAACCCAGATGTTTTGCGTACAAAAAAAAGGGTGCAATAATAACCCCAGAAAAGGCTTACTACATGGTGAATGAAGTTATTACCGTGACGTGTGAAGAAGGATATGAACTTTTTGATCCCGATGTCACTACAAGAACTTGCACTCAATCGTCTCTGGGAAATAAATATTACTCGAAAATCAAAGCAGAATTTTTACCTGAAATGAACAAACCAATGTGTAGAAGTAGGTTTTTTAATTTTTATAGATAAGGATAAAGAATGATGAAATTGGTAGTGAAGAAGGAATGAATTTTGAAATATTTTTTTTTGCCTAACTTTGAAAAATGGCGCATGGATTTGCGTTCGCACAATTTAACACAACTTTGGATCAACCGCCGAAGCTTAGCTATTTTAGACCTGTAAACACACAGACGAAAACTCTTCGTATTTAGGGCCCACATATAGTCTTCAAAAATTCGGAGGCTTCATTATTTTTACCGCCCTATAATACAGTATTATCGGGTCGTTGATGATCGTTTAGTTATGAGACGAAAATTGTTGTATCATTTGTTGTTGTTATTCTTGTTGGGATGTTGGCTTTATATTTTAATCCAAATGCTTGGTCCTGGTTGAAATCCAATAATCATCACGACTTTATAGTTTAAGAACAAAATTTTGTTTGATCATTATCAACTAATGTTTATAATGTTTCAATAACAAATTTTGGACGTCGATTTTTTGCTCTCGAACTACATAGATTCAAAGTTAAACTACTTCACGTTCTGTAGAAAAACCAAGCTGCAAATCACCTAATCAACGAGGTGTTGTGCTGACACCAAGAAAGAAAGCTTATGATATTGGCGAGTTGGTTGAAGTATCTTGTGAAGAAGGATACGAGTTGAAAAGATCTAACGAAACTCTCTGCAAACAAGGCAGAGGACGACGCCGTTACAATCGAAAGGATGATGCAGGACCAGGAGAATTTTCACCAGAGATTGATAATGAAGTTTGCGAAAGTATATCGTTTTTTCCAGGCTCTAAAACACGTTACATATTGATATATGGTCTAATAATTCCTTCATTTTTGATTTGATATTGTGCAATAAAGATGTTCTTGCTGGTGAACCACTGCATTAGTTGAATGACTGGAAAAATGGTATTCAAAATTTTAATTATAAGCTATATATAACATAAAGCCGTTATTTGTTAATAACTTGATTGATCAATTAGACTGATTATAAAAAATAAACAATCATTTTTATATATTCACGCATAGAGATACCATCTTGTAGTCCACCAAGAGTAGAAGGACTGACTGTGAAGCCAGCCAAAAGCTATTATATATTTGGAGAAAAAGTGACCCTAACATGTGAAGACGGGTACGAGATGAGAGTCGCACCTGTGGCTACTTGCAGACGATCAGGAACTTTTTTTAATCGACGACAAGATGGCGAATTTGATCCTGAGATCAGACGCGACGCATGTCAAAGTATGTAAATAAAATTTTATAGTTCAGAAATGAAAACGTTTACTATATACTGATGCGACTCACTGGTATACGAGTCGAAATTAATAATTTCACCTTAATAATGCCGATAAAAACCACAGCGTTATATGAAAAAAAAGATAATAAAGTCATATGCAAAAAAAAAGATTTTCAAAATAAGTAACTCACTCATGAGTAACACATTTTTACGCAGAACCAACGGTTTGTATGCCACCACAACGTGAAGGATTGGTTATCTCGCCTCTGAAGAGGAGTTATATAGAAGGCGATATGATCATGCTATCATGCAGCGAAGGTTATAAATCGTCTTTCGAAGAAACCATGATATGTGAGCGTTCGGCTTATTGTGATGGACAAAGAGACGTTACCGGATGCTTTTTCCCACATCTACCAAAGAAAGCATGCATTGGTAAGAAATTTGTAAAACAACAAATTCTAACGTTACTTCTTCTACGATCTCATTAACGAGAAAACGAAGTAAGCGTTGATGATTGCCTCGATATTGAAGCAAATGCACATTCACAAAATAGAGTTTACTAAATAAATTATTTCTGAAAAAATGGTTAATGATTGACGTTTTTCGTCTCTTAGACCTAGTTACATTGATATGTTGACTTCTTGAGCTCAATTTTCGTCATCTTAACCAGGTGTTATGTATCAGGTATCTAAACGAAAAGCTTCAAGAAAAGCACATTCTCAACAAAGCTTGGTGCAAGCGCTACTGATACTCAATAAAACATTTTTTTTTATGGGTGGGATATGCTGGTGGATATGTTTTTAAATCCGATATTATCAACTTGTAATGCCAACATAGTTAAAACCCAACGCTGTCACCACTCGACCATCCATCACATCGTGTCCCCAAACCTCACAAAATAAACAGGTATAGTATATAACAAGCAGTCTGGTTCAACTTTGCTATCTTTATTTACAGAAAAACCAAAATGCGACTCTCCAGCAATGAAACCAGGATTGAATGTTTTGCCAATGAAAGACAATTATTACGTAGGAGATGACATCACGCTTTCATGCAGCGAAGGTTACATATTAGTAGGACAATCGACATCCACATGTGCAACAAAATCGAAGAAATTGGACTACTTCCGTTCGTCCTCAAAAAGAAGAATGGCTTTCTATCCGCCAATTGGAAATACCAGTTGCAAAAGTAAATAGCTTTTGATTGAATTGTGATTGTTAGAGGGAAATACTTCTATATACAGAGTGTCTCAAAAGTAATTATACAATTTTAATTTTGATTTGCTTTCCAGGTACTCATCAAAGATCGATAATGTCTTCAGAAAACATAGTATGGATAAGTAGTAAAACTTTAAGTATTATTTGCATTTTTCATCAACCCACAAAATGACAAGGAGATTATTCCAAGAAATGAGGTGCAAAATCAGTAAGGCAAACCCAGCGCATTTTTAACAGAGAATTTGGAATTAATTAGGCTCCTACACGACAAACAATTTATGCAATTCATCGTAAATTTATGAAAACTGGATCTGTAGTTGATGCACAAAGATCAAGAAGACCAAGAAGCGGACGCTCTGAGGAAACATTCAGAGTCGAATTAATTCTAAGTACTCTGTTAAAGAGGCGCTGAGTTTGCCTTACTGGTATGGTATACTTGCTTCTTGCCAAACAGCAATTTTGCACCTCATTTCCTGGATTAATCTCCTTATCATTCTGTACGTTGATGAAAAATGCAAACAATACTTAAATTTTACTACTCATACATTCTATGTTTTCTGAAGAAGTGAACGATCCTCGATGGGTACCACCTAAAAAGCAAATCAAAATTAAAAGTGTATACCTATTTTTGAGACACCCTGTATGTATAAAAGGTACCGTATACCATATACTATTGCTAATAAGCACCGAAATCACTCAACGACGTTAAGCGACGAAAATTATTTGAAATAATTAAACCTTCGATATTATTATGACACGTATAAAGACTCTTCAAAGGAAAACATCGGGAATATAAATTGAAAATATACAGTATTTCTGCCAGCCATATCATTCTGTAACCAGAAGAAATTTATTCCGAAAGTCATACATTTTTGACGGAATAACCTAATTTCTTTGTCGTTATCCACGTGGAAACGGATACTAATTTCCTACTAACAGCAGCAGTTTGTTGCTCCCGAATAAATTAATGAAGTACAAAGTCATTTCTGTTTTCAGCAGAAATATTGAAATCGGTCAATAATTTTTAACTAAAATTTAATTCCTCGTTTCCTCTGCTTCTTACCAAATATTGAACCCCTTTGTTCCTGTTTGCTCTCTGTGTTAATTAATAATTTGCTTATTTGTTAACAGAAATATTGGCTACACAGTATGAAGTCTAGATGAGTCTATCAAAAACGAAATGAATAATCAGGCTGAAGAAAATACAAATATTTACAGCACTGAACCTTAAATAGTTATCATTTACGCCGAGACTGTTCGTTTTTTAAGCTTCCTTGTAATCATTGGACTTATCTTATCTTAATAGATACTGCAAATAATACACGTATGACACACTGCAAACGGCATTGCAATATATAATAAAGTCAAATAATCAGAGTTGGTTCGTTTTTGAGAAAACGATTTATGTGATCAACTGATTCGTAGAATGATGCTTAATTGTAAAGTTGTAGTACAGGGTAGAGATGTGCCGATACCACTTTTGTCGCAGATACCGATACCGATCCGATACCAGCTAAAAACGCCGATACCGATACCGATACGCTGATACTACAAAAAGACCGATAGTACCGATATTCCGATACTATGTAAATATTACTTAATTAGGTGTGCTGTGTAGGGCAGACGGGTTAAAACAGTGGTCTTTGAGCGTTGTTCATAGTACACAATATTTCAGATCGAAAAAAAAGATATATATGTCGCATAATATGAAGTTAATGTTTGGTATCCATATGCTTTAACTGATTAAGATACATTGTACAGTAACGCTAGTAATCTCGGTGTTCAATTGAAACTCATAAGCCGGGATGTCCAATATGAATTTAATGTTAATATCGCGACCTTCAAAAATCGTTATTCGTGTTTAAACGTCTACCTATAAACGTCGTTTTTTTACTTTACTATTTTATATTATTATACAATTGCTATCATATATTTTGTGACAGTCTAGGCTAGACGGTCATGTCAATATATCTATAAAGAAATTGTGTAGTTAAACAAAATTAAAACATTCTGGACCATATCAAAAAGGTAAATATATCGGAAATATCGGCCTTAATCTAACCGATACCGATACCCGATACCGATACCGATACATCGGTTCATCTCTAGTACAGGGTAGTTGTACATCCCTATATATCATTCTACCAAGGGTGTAATAAATTGGGTAGTCAACGCCGGAGCATGAGAATTCCGGCACTTCCTAAAATAGTAGGCTTTTAAACATTATCAGATTGTACAGAGGTTCGATGAGGAATTTCACAGCGTTCTCCAAACTCGAGTCTAGATTAATGTTCTGTTGCGGAAACGTAGAACGAATTTTTTTGAATACAAAATATTAGAACCCATTTCACATTATCATTCCAACTCCATCTCTATATTTCCTATCACTAGAAAATCTAATTTTGAATTAAATAAGAATATTTGAATTTTGCGTAAACTCGGAATTACAGCAATAATCTAAATAATCCCGCAAATAAATTATATCGACAAAGATAGAGAATGGCAGATGGTCGGCACAGGGATGAACATACAATGCAAACATAATAGTCTTTAATTAGGCACGATCTAATAACACTGGACTTAAAAACCTTAAAAGAAGGCTCTATTCGGACTAGGGATTATCTTGCTTATTTCTGTATATTTGGTTATATTCAGAATTCCATAGAAATTTGTAATGTATCAAAATGACGTTGGTCAGTACAAAAATATTAGTTCCGTTCAAAGGAATCATCCATCGCGAGGCAGACAGGTTTAATATAAACCAATGAGATTAACAAGATTAATGATGTTTTTGATGTTAAAATAAGAGTGGAGCGGATAAACATAGACCAGCTTGATGTAGCCTACTCAAAAAATTTACTGAAGGTATGGTAACGTATCATTAGTTTTACTACTCTTTCCACTGATATCACGTTTGGGACTTGAGTTCGCAGTATTATTATTATTCCAACATTAATCACCATACTTCTCGTCGAATCAACGATAAAATTGAACATTTATAATGGATTTCGTTAATATGACGATGTATTTACTATTCAATAGCAATTAGCAATTTTGCAATTAAAATGTTTCGTTTTATTGGGAAACATCCGAGAACTTTATATTAACGCGTGGTGGTATTTGTTGCCTGTTCTTGTCTGGTACTTTTGTGGTATATCTGAATCTAACCAGTATACATATATCGACACAGCAAGTAAATTGCAATCATTAATTATGTTTTTTTTGTTATTTTTGAGTACAACCATAATTTTAAATAGGTTCTATTTCATGATGGGTGTATTCTGGATTGTTCGCTTTGTATAAATCGTATCTGGTTGTGTATTTTGACATTATCAACAGCGACTCAAAATTTAAATTGGGAAACACAAAACGAGATAGCGATCGGAGACCGACGACTTATCGATCTAGCGGCGTGTGTCCTTCGCTCTGACTCAATAGCGACATCGCGTGTCCCATCACTAAAAAATTAACAACTCGCTAATTATGCGACATAATTCATCCAAAATCAATAGGATGATGAATGCACATGCAACATTTGGAGCGGATTCAACCTCGCTTTCGTGAGATATCGCGTGACAAACAGACTACTTAGCGATCGAGATCGAGAAGTAATAAATATTACGAATTACCAATCACAAATTTTATAGGAATCAATTTTACAAATTATCAAGAAATATGATTCTCTTGAAGTTACCTTCTCCCGATATCTGTTGTATAGTACTTTACGCCGAACAGATAGATAGATATCTTAGATTTTTATTCTCAAACGCATCACTCACTGTAAAAAGGTTGCGAATTGTGTGTACGAAGTGTGTAATCAAATTAATGAAAACATAATGATAATTACTGGGAACACAAAAATACAGGAACGCATAAGCATTATAACTAAGTTCTAAATATAAGGACTCTGAAAGCACATAGGGAATTACCTATATACGTATATAGGTCATGTCACGAAAATACTTCACAAAATTTTCAAAAGTTGAATGTTGCAAATTCAATTCGAAGCACACGGAATTTACGAATTGTTTTGCTTTATTCATCCCTCGTATGCTACCATTTTGTCATATTCTTCAGGCTGCCAGGCGCAACCTGTCTCTTGCAAAACATGTTCATTACCTGTAACGATGTAATAGTATTCTTATTTATCACAGAAATTCCAAAAAGAAACATATTCTTTATATACATTGAAAAAATATACAATTGTCTGGCCCTGATTAATCTGTAGCTTGCATAGGTCAAAACATCTTCAAAAACTTCTTATGTTATTGGCAGAACAACATTGCTGACAACACTACAGTCCGATTCGGAGGAAGCTGATCTTCTCAACAATACTACCAAGTTCACAGCTTAATAGTTGTTAATTTAACAAGACATCAATTCTCAAATATATGGACACGAATACCAAGTATCTGATCATTCACAGCACCGGTGCGCAGTTATGAGTCTTCCCGACTTTGACTGAATCGCCCATCTTGGATCCGCCACAAGTTGTGAAATTTTCAGTTTTGATGATAGCATTACAAACACAAAAAAACGAATCCCAAGATCCCACAGAAAAATTTTTGAAATAAATAAAATAGTCTTCTAGCGACAACAACAATCTTGAAATATTGAAAATATCGAAGCAATTGGTCACAACAATAACATAATACCATAACGATATACCATACGTTCACTCCGTGTCAATAATATATATATTTAGATTACGAATTACGCGAGAGTATGCTGGGGCACTTTACCAGATATGTTCGTTGGTGGTTGTCTACCAGATGGAACAAAAGTGAGTGGTGTGGCCTCCTGTATTCAAAATAAAAAACGTTAAAATTTCTGTTTTCTAAATCATTGGATTTATTTGTATATAAATATTAAATCTTACAATATTTGAAATCATATTAATTTCTGAGGATTTTCTGACTCGAATATTGTTGAGAAGTGTACAGCGGAGGAATCAAAAATTGCATTAAGATTTCGAGTCTCCATAAAGACTATTAAAAAATGATGAATAAGTATAGCTACAAAAAGTTATTACGCCTTCTACTCAAGTTGTAAAGAAACACAGCAACTTCATCCGCAACCCCGATAGGCTTCTCTCATTTGGATCCTTTGTAAAGTCGAATATACTGTATAACATGTAATTCACTATATATCCATAGATACCATTCTTGATTATAAACTAAATTTAGTTTTTGATCTGAAAGATGTAGGCTTCAACACACATACCTGATCTCCGCAACAGGTACAGCATCCTACAGCTTTTGAGCCCATCACACAAGTACAGATGAATAGAAGGAAAAGTAATAAATAAGTAACGGTCAAGAATAATGGTATCATTGGGTCCTGCAAAGATAAGAATTTATCACGACAAAGGCAAGGCCGCGTATAGGTTAATCGGTATGTAAGAAATTATGACTCACGTTCATAGAACTTAGGCTGATAGAAAACGCTCTCACCGCACCACCGAAGGTATCAAGTATCCCAAATACAGACATGACTATGTTGGTGATAATCTGTTACAAAAGAATCATATATATATTAAATATTTGTTGATGCTCAGTGATTCATGATAAGAGAGAGAGAGAGAGAGAGAGAGAGAGAGAAAGAGAGATTCATGGCTCAGTTCTGAATCTGGCGAAATTGAACAAGTTTATCTGTCTGATTTTTGATTGTGCAACGAGCCCAATGTCGTAAATTCACAAGCTTCAAATATAACTAGTATTTTACTTGTAAAGCACGTTGGAAATATTGGAATATTCGTAAAGAACGTGTTGAAAAAATATGTGAATGATATCGCCGCCATTGCATTGTTCTTATATAAAATAGGTGAAACAGATAAAGGACACAAAGTGTAACAATACTAATGCGGGCTATCTGAATTAACATTGTTTATGAACATATGGATACTCGAATGGAGGATGACCCGGCTTTAAGTATTTATTATGTTGTACTTATCACACACGTATATATATATATATATCACTTACCGTGCATTTCGTTGTACAGCAATACTGTATCATTCCGAATATGGGATATATTACAACCTACAACAAGTAAGAAATATGACCAATTGGTATAAACTCGCACGGTTTCTTAGGAATAGTAATATAAACAAGACAGTTATGCTCAAATATGTGGACACGGAGGGCAAAACTAAACATATATTCATCAATTTCCCGAAAATAATATACTGTAACTTACTACTGAACGGACAACTCATCTAACACAACTCGACTACCCAGGGTATCGATAACGCGCACCTGTCATAGCTTTTCCAAGTCCTGTGACGATAATCCATTCTTCGTGATTCAGTTTCAACGTGAATTAAAATACCATCTCATCCGAGTCATTTCTGGTCGGCGGCGTGATAGATAGATAGCTTATTTTGAAAACTCCAACCTTGACGTAACCGCTGGTCGGTGCTTCCGAAAACAAATAACTGGCTAACTCATCCCATACCTGGCATGGGGAACGGTAGACTGTGGTACCTGATCTGGTAATATAGGATAGGACTTGCATATTTATCCCGGAAGAGAAGAAATCCGATAAGACGGCTTGATCATATGGCGTACCACAGTCTCTCATCCAGTTACCATACCGTTCCCACGTCCGCTAAACACGAGATCCGCTATTATGCGTTCGCAAACCGCCACTCGGTGCGCAAATTACGACGACGTCATAGCACACAAATAACGAATCCCATATAGCTCACAGAAATATTTGAAATAAACAAAAGTAATAGCTTTATAACGAAAAATACAATCCTCAACCACTGAAAATTTCAAAGTCCAGTAATAAAAGAGAAAAGCGAATTTTTCATAACGATAGGAAGAAGAACAAGAACATCATAATAACAAAACTATCCATAGGTTCATCTCGTGTCCAACAAAAACAACAACAACATAATATCAAAACGACCCATAGGTCCACTCCGTGTCCAACTAACTACAACACAGATTACAAGTTCAATGTACCGAAAAAGTTTCTTGGGATTTAAAGTTCAGTACTGTGACAGTTGAACTTACCCATGACGGAACTTAGGTATTCCTTCTTTTGCCTAGTGCTGATAAACATTTAATTACCAAAATTCCTCCTATTGCACTGATTGCAATCATTGCTCCAGTTATGTCTGCATTTCCACCATCATACTTCGCTATTTCACTCGACGTCATTATGCTAGCAATACCGATACCGATCACTGACAACCCAAGAAAAAGCTGCGCTTCCTGAAAAAGTATTTTGAAAGACGTGAAATATAACATGTATATATATCACAAAATGTACTTAGCGAAGGGATAATTATACTGAATGTATATATATCAATACAGAATCCAAAAGAAACTGTGAAAGAAATATGTTGCCGAAGTCTTGAGAGCATGTTTTTTTGTCTTTACGATCATAAAATATCTATTGTTAGTTCTTAACCTAATACTAATAGCTTATATTTCGTATAACTCATGTTATGTCGCTAAAGTTAGTCTAAATTCAATTGTATTTGCAGTACACCTACATGCTACTGAGCTCCAACTATTTCTTCTAATCACATTCTCAGTCAAGCAGAAATTTTGCAATACGGTATTTAGTTACCGACAATATCCTAGTCTAATTTGGTTGGTTCAATTCTTGTTTCTCAAATATTTGTACTGTATATATAAATATGAATCTGGCACTTCATGATTCATTTCTAATCTAAATTGAATTATAATTCAAACTTCATTTGGTTCTTATTTGTCACAGACGAAGTATCACTAATGAATTAACTCATATAATAAAGCCTCTCACCGCCAAAAGCAAGAACGTCTTTTTGTTTCTTTCTGCGTAGACCAGTCGAGATTGTTGATATGATATTTCGCGTACAATGGGGGTAACCACCTGAGCCGTTGGGTACGCATTAGACGAATTTGGAGCATGAACATGCATTGTACTTTTTTGTGACATATCCATTTTTACAAACTTTATATAGTTGCTGCAACAAGTAGAAATCGTTGAAACTTGCATTATACAAAATGTAATTTTAATCAATTAAACCTCCAACTTTATCCGGATATATTTATGGTCCGGGTGAAAATAGGTCAAGCGGCACGACGTGTATTGGAGGGTTGTAGCTTTGAAATATATCCGACCAACCTAGCATTTGTTTAATTATCACATTTATATACATTTAACAAGAGAGAAATGTTCAAATATACGGACGCGAAGACCAAGACTAAATATTTTACTAACAAATTCCCCAAATATCACACCCTGAATGAAGCTGAAGCTGAAACTGTGGCCTACGGGTACCCGAATTGTCCTAGCTTATCCAAGTCCAGTGATGATGATGATTCATTCGTCTAATCTCAACGTGAATCGAAATACCAAATGATTTGACTATCATATTTTGTGTAGTAGCCGACCTTACCTCTTACAGTACCTTACCTACTCTAGATATGGTCGAAAAACTTCCGAAATTCGCGCAGCACGAGGTCAGCTGACATGCAGTCACGGTACCGCTACAAATAATAATTTTTAATTTTGAAGCGTCATCACCCAAAATTTCGAAGTGAGAAACGAATCACATTGACGCCTACAAAAAGTTTTGAGTAAATAAAAGTAATAGCCTTCCAGCGACAACAACAATCTTTAACCACTGAAATTTTTAAAGCAATTGGTGCATTAGTTAAAGAAAAAGGGCGATTTAGTCTCAACAACAAGAAGAAAAGTACCAACAAGAACACCAACAGAATCACAAAACGATCCAAATGTCCACTTCACGTCCACAAAAACATCTGAATATGCAAAAGATAAATTGAAAAAAAGCTAACAAGACTATATGAGTTCCAACGTTTCTGTACCTTAAAACCGACTACACAATGTAACGTGCCCGTGCGCAATACTATTCAGATTTAATTTATCTTCTTTACGCAGCCTTAGAACGATTTATTCAAACGAATGGAAAATACTTACTATAGCAACAATACTGAGAAAATAAATGAGAATAACGAAAGAAAAATTTGTGAAAGCTAGAACCGCACCTGTTTTTCATCATGAGGAATTGTTCCCTCGTCATGGTGATTTTATATTTGCACACCGTACGCACGCCGAAAAATTTATTAACTGAGGGACGGATTCCCACATCATACAAGCTATTTACAGAATTTGTTGAAACCTTACGATAAACTAAATACCACTGAAGCTGATGTGTAAATATACACAACAATGTCAACAACTCTCGTCATTGGCGCTCGAACACTAGGCTCTGCCTATCCGTAAAATGTAATTAATCAATATAATATGTTATCTGATACACTATGTGGCTTTTCATCTCAATACATTCTGTTTATTAGACGCCAGTCTCTGCCACTAGATTTGGAAGAATTACAATCTTTCTCGATTAACATTGCCTGCAGTTTGACAAAGCTTCGACTAAAATAATTATGTGCGAACATTTTTTATGATGGTAACATTTCGAAGAATGATGATTTTTGAAGTGTTTACGAAAACAGCATTTTCCTCAACACGATAATCAATCATAAATACAAAACGGTCCATTGATACCTTTCGTGTTCAAAGAAATTTTATTATTAATGAAGAAAATGGTCACTGCAACAATGTTCATTGTTTTGTATCTTTAGAACGTTCATACAGATATGCAGGAAGGTGAATTGCCAAACCACGTCGATCCGATTTCGTTCAAAGTTTAGTTGCAGAATCAAACATAAATTGGAAAACCCCAATTTTTTGTATCCGAGTACATAACTGGTTCAAATATCAATCATGCTGAAGTCTATACTCCAACCGATGAACTACCTCAACTAGAGTAACTACAAAGTAACGATATGTGATTCGGTACATAAAATAAATCATGTTCAATACAATCGTATCATCCAGTTATCAACTTCATTTGAAAAGCTAAGGAAAAATGAGGAAACGGTACTGAGAAACGATCCATAGAAATCCTAGAGTCTTGTCCAAACAGACATTAGGTAAGACTAATATCTCAGCGGAGCAATTGCGAAATAAATAAGCAATGTTTGTATTCTGTTATTATGTTGTTTGGTCGGTCGGTTGGACCTCATCAACCGGAGAGTCAGAATTAAGAGCTTCGTCACAAATGGACAACAACTTTAAAAAAATACAATATCATTCTGATACTATATAAACTGCTACTTCGAACATCGAAAAGCGGTGTCTTAAAATAAAACTTCGCTATTTGCAACAGCAGCAAGGAAGTTATTTGTGAATTACGGAAGCGGACGACGCTAGACAGTTTTTTTGGTTCTCCCGAAGCATTCGTACCAAGATGGCGCACAACCTGAACATAGTTTGTGTATCAGGTTAGGGTTCAGTTTTGTGCGTCATTATGGTACGAATACTCCCGGAGCGCCTTTTTTAATTAAGAATTTAACTGTAAAAAACTGAAAAAATTAAAAATATAAAGGTGGTTTCATATAAAATTGAGAATAATCTATATTCTTTATTCAACATTTCTGAAAGGCAGTAAAGGAACACATCGAAACGTACCGCATGGGGCCTCCACCACCATGATGTTCTTCATAATATTGCGCCTGGGAAACCGTATGATGGGGTGCTAATGCACTATGCTATTATTTTATCTCGAACTAATTGCCTTAAGTACATTACTCAACATCTAGAAGTACAATACACCAACTGTATTGTGTGTCATTTCTACAAAAATGGTTGAGTAGGTTAGGCATCACAAATTACATTTAACCAAGATGGAAGCAAGAATAACCTGACATGAATGTTTTCTCAGTTGCATCTCAACGTCTCCCAGAAAACGAATACCAAGTGAATTTACAAATAATTCAGGTAACTAAACAAATTTGTGCCAAATATCAGTAACTATTACAATATGAAACCACAATCAAAGTATTTGTTACGTTAAAAATACCTATCAGTTAGGTAGTTAGGGTTATACTAAATGCTAAGGTGATAAGCATTACTTATATGTTAACACAAACGCTTTTCTTGTCACCGAAGTCTGACGTTACATTTAGGTCGGGGGTCTTGAATTGCATAAAATAAACAATATCTGCTTCTGTTTATTTATTTATTTTACAGTAAGTAGGGCTAAAATATCAAAAATATTTTTTATTCTTCACAGTTTCCGCCGTTGAACCCAACTGCAAAGCATGAGAATAAAAAATAGTATTTTCCTTAAAATAAGAACACAGTGCAGAGAAAGACAATTGGAGCCATTAAGTTCAAAGGCGTATAATTAACAGCTATGGCCTGATTAGAGGGGCTTGCAATTTGGTTTAAGACATACAGTGAATTTATTTTTGTGAATATTTTACGTATTATACACATAGCCTATATACTAGGGTTGCCATACCGTCCGGAAAATTCCGGACATGTCCGGAATTTCGGGTTCAATTTTGCGTCCGGGAAGAATTTAAAAAATGCTCAAATGTCCGGAATCCGGAATTTTACTGCATCTGCAATCGTACTGTGCACACTGCTAATACAGAACATTGTTATTTCGTACCGTGCGCATATTTTTTATACGAGGACATGAAAATAGTCATGGACTGTCCGGAATTTTGCTTTTTCAAATATGGTGACCCTACTATATACTCTACAATACATGCATACGTACACATATGTTTTTACTTTTTTATGAGCAGTGTGTTGATTTTGTAAGTTTTTTTGTCGTGAATGTTTTATTATAATTTACATTCAGTGAGCCTAATAAATTCTTTAAATTCTGTCTTTCGGTCTACAGTAGGAAGAGGGCGATGGGGGGGGATCATTGGCATCCAGAAATTACAAAAAAGATATATTTGAATTCGTAGGGCATATACGAGACATCATGTTTAACATATATAACAATGATGAAAGATCCCAACAACTCAATAGTTGTGATGCCAAATGTTAATATATATATATATATATATATATTGTAATTAATCGGACTGAATTGCTCCAAATGGCAGATAATAAAATACATTTGAAACGCTAATAAAAGTATATATATACAGTTTAAATCCAAACCTCAAATTATGAGAAACAATAAAACAAAGTCAAGCGATTCATTCGATCTTCAAGTACTCGCTACATTTCCATGATTGAGTTTGACAAAGAATCGCAAAACAAGTTGCTCTAGACAACGAAAAAATCTAAAACAAAACAGTAAACGACAACTGATTAAAGTTATCAACCTGTTTTGGTGAATAATTAGAATCGATAGCAATGTGTTATAATTTTGTGTGATACATATATATATATATATATATCATTAGAGACTCTAACACCGGAATCTGATATATCCACGTCCTGTCATTCAATTTATTTGACCGTATTAATAGCAGCAGTTTTGCATCAGTTGTTTCTGAACATTCAGAAAATACACTTACTTGGATACGGTACCGTCACAGGGTTTAGCTCGTGTTTCATGTTTTAATTTATGTATTTTTCGATGAAGTCTTTTCGATTTGACTAACTACCAGATCTCCACCAATGTGAACACTGAACCGCCACACGCTGCGCAAATCTCATAGACTAGAGGCTACAAGAATCTTAGGGCAACAACAACAATCTTTTACCACTGAAGATTTCCGAGCAATTAATGAAGTAGTTAGAAGGAAACCAGACTCATTTCACAACAATAAAAAAAAGAATACTAACAACAACATAATAACACCTGTAGTCAAATAACAATTTTAGCCGTACTTGACCAATTCCACTCCCATTCGCTGAAATTCAGTCCTTATTCTGTCGAATTTTAATCGTGAAAACGTGAAATCGTGAAATAGTTTCAAAATTAATATATATATAGTTGTTACCTCCGTAAAACACGAGGTCATACGCATTGGAGATGATTACCGCCATTTTACTGTTAGAGTTACTCCCACTTTTTAATCCGGCATATATCGAAAAAGTACTTGGGAGGCTCGTTCCCAGTAACACGGATCGTGTTAGCGCGACAATCAGAGTATATATATATTTTGCAAAATTGCAAATAAACTAAAAAACATGAAAATCTGTATGAAATGAATTTATTTAACACAATCAGAATCAATAATATTTTATTTATAACAATTTTTAATAATTTACAATTAAAAATACAGAAATTATAAAATTGTTTATTGATTAAAAAATAGGAGACTTAAAAAGGCACTAAAAATGGCAACTTCTACATAACAAGTTGAACATTATTTGAACATATTCACAAAAAAATATTATAGAAAAATGTCATTCCATAACTTACTACAATCAAATTAAATTAAAATGTACAGATATGTATTTGTAATTAGTATTCAAAATGCAAATTCAGCCCACTCGTCTGAAAAAAAAAGTTTTTTATTCCTAGCAGATTATATAAATTGCGCACTGTTTTCGACTTTATATTAATTAAGTGAAAATAAAATCCATTATAGAAGTTTTTACATTTCGAACGTTGTCAAGTTTTTTGTAATTACTTGCTCATTGTTACAAGATAATAACTCAGTCTGAATTGAATTCGAAATCAATCACTAACAGTAACAGATATCATCTGCTGAAACAAGAATAAAATATGATATACGTTTATTTTATTCACTTTATTGCCTCGATTGTTTCCTGGTAGGCGTCTTGCAACAGTATCGTCGTCATTCGTCACCTTTTTGTTTTCTGCTCGTATTACGTCACTTAGAGTTGGAACTTGAAAGCGGGGACGTTCGATTGTTTCGTCTTGAAACACTCTTTTTACGTACTTGTTTGATAGTTTTCTTCTCGCCACCATTGTGTGATTTCAAATTTTTTGTTATAGTATTTACAGAAGGAAGATATTGCGACTCTTCGATTACCGTTCCAGGAATGCTGAATACATTAAAGTTATTAGAAAGAGAAATAAAAAATAAAAAAGTTTCGAATTATGGCAATGACAAACTGTTTGAAACAGCATATTGTCCACCGGTTCAGTTGCTCAACAACGAGAAAATACTAGCTTTGACAGCTCTTATATAACAATCCGTCTCTTTTATGCCTGGACCACTTCAATGAAGTGTTTCCCATCTTCTCTTCGAATTAGGCTTTAAACATGCAGTCACTGATACTTGGATAGCTAGCTACAACATTTTGGCAATAAGACGATATTTTGGTACCGTAATCCCGTAGTATGTGAACCAAGATCGCAGAAGCGGAACGTAATATTTGTACCAGGTTAGGATTAGGCCATAATTTTATTCCAATTTTCATTATTTTAGCTCTATTACGAGTTCGGAGACTAGCCAAATGACTCCTGTAGTACCTGAAATTATGGCCGAACCCTAACCTGGTACACATACTACGTTCCGGTGTCCGCTATCTTGGTTCACATACTACGGGAATACCGATATTTCTAGTTCAGCATAGCCTACATTTCTCATTTATTACACTTTAAATTGAACGTGTAGTTTTATTGCAAAGTCTTGACTTAAAACTTTCCATTGAATGGCCAACATATAAATATTCAAAATCACCTGAATGTTTCCAAGTCATCGTGTTTCAGAAAATCACGAGAGCGAGATTGAAGCGACGATATTTCACTCATCGGCGATCTTGATGACGACGGTGAATTAATTTGACGAGTCGAGGTGATATTCCGGACTCTCGTTGCTCTGCTTCTAGGTTCTAAGCTGCGTTTTGCTCCAGTTAGGACAGATCGAATCTTGGTAGTAGAGGCGGACGATTTTTTCCCTGTGCGATCACTTCCTCCGTCACTATCTCGAAGGGATTCGAGGCTGGGTAGATCTTTTACATTGATAGCTGCTGTACGTGAACGACGCAAGGGACGCACTGTCACATAATAAGATTTACTTATAATAAAAATGCGAAAATATGAAAACTTAATAACTTAATTTAAGTGTACATATTCATCTGATTATACCTGCTTAACAATGATCACATTTGCAGCGGATTATTTTGAAAAAAATACAATTGCTTATATTCTTCTTGTCCAAATAATAATAATAATCACGATTATTTAGCGATCTGTTTATTTGTAAACTATTTCGGAAAATCGTAAAGAATTTGTTACCTTTGTTCGGCTCATTCTGTGACATTTCTTCTCTTCCAAAATATCGCTTCATTAATGATAAAGTTCTCCAAAATCGATCACTTAGTGTTGATGGAAGTTCTGGAGGCGACTGCAAATGATAATTCTCAAATTCAATATAATATTTCTTCATTCCGTTTTATTGCATAACTTAGTCAGTTTCATGAAAGATAATCATGCAACTTAGAGAGTAACTAGATTCTATGTAGCAAGGTATATATAAGATTTATGTAAAATGTTTCATGTTAATGTAGCTTATGTAGGGACATATATTAGTGAATATGATATATAGCTATGGAGCCATAAGTCGGATCACAATGTTCGAAATGTTCAATTGATCAAGCTATGTGAATATAATTCATTCTAGCTAAAATAAATAATATGGGTTGGTGTATTTGGCGTTGGATTGGGTCGGCGTCTAAGTAATTGAGTTAAAAGTCCACAGCTATTTCTTATATTAAATTATATTAACAAATTTGGGTTTACGATTTATGTATATAAGTTTACCGATTACAGCATATTTACATTCACACTAATTACCTCATACGGCGCGCTTGAAGTTGACGGTACATCTGACAACCTCACTGTGTTTGCTGTTCCTCCACTAGATCCCGTTATTGTAGATGTTTGTCGGGAAATTATGTGATAATTATGTCGAGCTAAATTATGCTTGGTAAGAGGTGGTACAGGAGTGTTAGTTGATAGAAAACTAGATGACGACACTGCGCTGACGTCGGAAGATCTGTCAAGCGTATCATCGTCCGATATCCATCCATATTTCCGTGGGTCTAATGACGTCATGATATTATTGACGTCATTTAATGCGTGACAAGGTATGATTTGCTTTTGTTGTCCAAAGTGTTTTCGTGGATGAACTTTTTGCAATCGTGGGGAAGGTGCATTATCTTCTTGTGGTTCCGTGGGTTCACTTCGGCATATTTTATTCAGGCCACATTTGTCGATTCTAGGAGTTACAATATCTTCTTTTTGTTTTGTAAGAGTTGCTCTTTCATTGCTAATTGTTGCCAAATTATTGTTTGTAAGGCGTCGCTTTGGATTTCTCTTGGAATTTGCGATCGGCCTTCGGATCGGAGGTTTCCCCGAAGTCACCCTGGAAGCAAAATCAAATTGACTGTTTATATACGGCTTAGTAAGTATCCCACTGGTTTGTCTAAATGGCAACATCGGGTTTACTTCTCGGGTTTGAGATCTGAGTATTACAGCTGTCAAGCAGAGCAGAGCCCCATTCTAAAGTTAACACTTAGATGACTGCAGTGAGGTAGAGCTAAACACAAAAGCATGAAAAACCTTGATAGAATCAAGTCATATAAAATATTTAGTGAATAACATTTAGGAAACAATATCATAAGTGAAATTAGAACCATTTCAATGTCCCTTACTCTGTTTGATTCTGTCTATCAGTAAATTCTCTGTCGTCATTCTTTGTTGATTCGACTTCTTTCGATTTCACAAGAGTAGGAGGAGACAGAATACACTCAGTTTTATCAAGAGTATCGTTACGTTTTTCTCCTTGCTTTTGGTAAAAAACGCTGAAAACAATAATATAATAAATATCTATAACTTCAACTACGATAACTGTCCTTTGCACAGCCTCATCAAAAAGTTATCAATTTTTCTCTACAAAGAAGCTGGGCTAGAATATCTATCTATCTACTTGTCCAGATCTTTGGTGAAAGTCACAAGTTTTTAGGTTTTTTTTGTCATTAAATTATACATTAAAATGCGACAAGAAATCATTATTTGGGTAACCAATACAACAACAAAGTTATATCAACTGAAAAGATAAATGTGAATTGCACTTACCTTATTAATTCTTCCGGTGGGATTTCATTGCATGCCATGTCAGCGAGAGCAGAAGCTCGTAAATACAATTCATCAAGTTGAGTTTCAATCTAAAGATATTGATATAAGAATATTTGGAAATCACTTTGGACTAGGTAGCCTCAAGCCGCTAAAACTTGGCCTTGTTTGTATATGATTGTATCAAAAAGTTTTAGTAATCTAGGACGCTTTGCCCAAAAGAAGAAGAACATGTCTCAAATGATCTGCTATTTGAGGGGGAGGGTAGGGGTTAAAATATAATATTACTTTTCAATCAATTTGATTATATGGTACATCTTTACAGCTTCAAATTTATATTGAGTTGGCACTGTTTAGCTATGACAGAGTAAGCAAGTTGAGTGGTGATTTTTGATACGATACAGCATTGAGTTCCAAGGCTTACCTCGGAAAGTAAGACTCCAGATGGCAAATTATATTTTGATTTGCAATTTCCTTCCTCATTTTCTTTTTGTTGTTCAACTTTTGTTTTTACCGGTGTTGATCTGTGACTGTATGAAGCAGAAGAACCAAGTTTTTTCTTTTCCCTCCCCGTCAGCTGTTTCGACTTTGAAAAACCCAATGAAGTGAATTCGACATCATTATGAGCACCCCACATTCCAGGATCTCTCTGCAGTATTATGCAAACAGTGCATAATCCAATATATTTTAGTCTGTCCCAATTGTATTCAAGCATTTCTTTAAACGTTACTGTAATGTTGTAATTTGTTTGTGATGATGTGGTTTTACCTTCGCCTTTTACTCGTTTTTGACACGCTGCCACAAGAAGACCTCTCAAAACTAAGCGAAGCGTGACGAAAATTGTGACGAAAAACCACACTGTGACCAGAGTTCCATATTTTGCTCTGATTGCTTTCATATCAAACGATGTATTTATAGGTAAAGACCCGAGAGATAGCGATGACAGAAGTATAGTTGCAAGAGCATGGATAAACGAGCTGAATGAAGAATCATCAGCAAAAATCAGGTATCCGATGAAGGCTAATATTATCGATACAGCCCAGAATAATAGTAAAATTGAAACGACTTGTCCGGTAGCTATTTTGCGGTTTTTAGAATAAGTTGGGAACTTCGGAAAGTTGTGGTATAATTTTCCGATCGTTAGCAATTTGATGATCAAAAAAAAGTTTAGCATTCCATACGTTGTTGATAGTCTAGTGAAACTTTGAATTATGTCAACGAAAGATAGGGATTTGTAGGTATCTCCATTGGGGGAATCATACCCATATATGTACGGCATTATAGTCTCGATATGTGCACGACGAGATGCTGATATTCCTATGCATAAAAGTGACAAGCACCAAATGCACAAATCAAGAAGTCCGAGTGAAAACTTCATCAGTAATCTAGAGCAGCAGAGTTTAGTTTTAGGAGATTCAGTCATTGTCGATATTGCAAAGCGCTTCAGAATTTTTGTCGTCAACGAAACTAGTGAATGTAAAAATTTATATCCAATCCAGCATAGCAACAACATTTGACATAAGAAAAACGATTTCCAAGCTGTGCTTGTGTTTGTACGGTCCACGCCAGTCAGTGAAAGAGACAACGATGATACCATTACTGTGCTTTGACAAGAAGTTTCAGCAAAATTTCTGGAACCTGTCGGATTGTGAAAATTTGAAATCGCAGAGATATGAGAGTATAAATTAGCATATGGATTATACAGTATTACATCTACAGTGACTGAATTCACTGTAACGTGATCTCGAATGAAACGTCTGAGCGCAGAAAGTCTTCCAATCGCGTCTTGAGTTTTTACAACCCACGACGGTACCTGGTATGTGATTGTTGTTTTTTTCAGTGATATGTCTCGTTGCATCGAATCGCTGCTTCTTTTCAGCATTGTGTTTACCTTCGGAATTGATTCGTCATGAGATTTTGTGATTGATTTTGCAACAGTGCGGTTGAGTAATAGCAACACCTTTGCTGGTATGTCGTTCCGATTCGTAAGCGTTTCGTATTGCTTCACAATGAGAGTTGGTGTTCCAATAAGTAAGTACCGAGCAATCTTTTGAGCACCTTTTGACTGATATAAATATTTCTGATATTTTCGAGCAAGGTATGATTCCGGAGAGTTATTGCTACTTCGTTCTAATTTAGCACGCTCTTGGGATTTCGGGCAATCCATCAAGACTTTGTCAAACCACTTTAACCAGCTTTCTCTAGACTTGACGCTCTGGTAGTTGTATGAAATAGAGTTATTCCTCATGTTGTACATGTCAGTTGTTATGTATCCACCTGAGCTAGGAAAAGTGGAAGTTTTAATGAACCAATCTTTAACATCTCGTGACTGATCGCTTGATTCTTTAAATCCTTCGGATACAATAACTGCAGCTATAATCCCAATAAATAATAAAAATATCACTTCGATCCATTTTGTAGTTGCTTTTTTAATTTTCCTGATTTTTCTTTTCTTTTCCTGTGTATTAGGAACTTCGGTTGGAGGCTCAACATGTCGAAGATATCTTGTTCTTTCTCTGTCACCAATCTCACGCGCTATCCTTGCGTCTTCTATCATGGCTTCAGCATTTGCAGAGAGGCATTCTTGGGATGAAATTATGTGAAAAGAGGTTGAATCTAAAAATTTTAAGAATGGTTTTTACTGTTAAATGTTCATGAGTGAATTTTGGGTGAAAGAGTAGAAATCTGGAGTCTTCGTTGGTTTATTTCAATAATATTCAGGTCAAGACAGGAATCGTCTTTTTAAATATTGCAAGCCAGTGACGGAGGCAAAGTTTTCCAAATTTTGCGGAAGAGATGAGAGACAGTATTTTAGATTTGCACACTCAGGTGATATGATAGGAATTTTTAACCAAACCCAAAAAAGGCTAGTAGACACGAAGGAGTTTATATTTGTTATATAGGAGGTAAAATTCACGCCAACTTAGTCGATGTTGGAGTCATAGTCGAATTTCACAACCAGTTTAGATACTGTTGGTTGGAGCTTTCCACCCAATCGAACTCCCTTTCCTGAAGTCAACACAAAAAATTGAAAAAAAAAAGGCAAAAATATTACCTGTATACACATCCAGTGAATTTTCAGTCACACTAGAGACATCACTCGTTGAAAACATTCTATCGAGCATATTCCATAACGGTTCATCAGAAAGCATCCATTTGAGAGAACTATATATAGAGGCCAGCATTGCAAAAATAAAAATCAGCAATCCTTCTACCAGTACAAGAACACATATTGCGGCAAACATAATACATTCCAACCAAGGTCCTAAATCATAGGACCTAATCAGAATCAGGCTTCCGTAGATAGTTACACCACAAGAGCAAAGACAAGCCAAAGCATAGTACAACCAAGCAAGTTTGCGACATCCTCGTGGGAGCAATGCGCTAAAGTCTTGTGGTATTGGTTCCAGTTTTTCACAAGGGACTAATTCTGGGCCATCCATTGCAAGAGTCGATCCTATGCTGCTGTAAATACCACCCATTGAAGCATACTGTTCTGCTAGGAATGAGTTTACATGCACTTTAGAACCGTTGTAATCATGAGATTTGTCATCGTCATCCAAAACTGAAAAGTAATTCAGAAGTTAGAAAAACATGTGCAATATTATCACACATCACTCACAATTAGGGATGGGCATTTGTGAAAATCTGATGATTTCAGATCTGATTGAGTCGAATATTTTATTCGAATCGAATTTCGAATACTTGGAAGAGATATGTACAGGTTATTGTGTGTGATTTTTATATTGTAATGGATTCTCTAGACACATACATTACTGAAACCATGGAATTCATCACTCAAAAAGTTCGTTGAGTGTTCACACAAAATAAGAAATATGTTTCATCAATAACTCATGTGTCAGACTGGCATTTTAAAAACACACCTCCATTAAAAAAATTGAGGAAATTCAGTTCAGCCTTTGGCGGACAAAATGAAATACTTATAATACAAAGAAACAAGAGAGAAAAGCTCAAACATGGGCAAAAAGTTAGTACTAGTACTTGCACACAAAATTCAAGATGAGAAAATATGCAAAATTTGGGATATGAGATTAAAAACTAAACATTGTTTAACAATAATGTGTTAAGAGGTATCTTCATTTTTGACTACTCAAAATTCGAAGATGATTAGTCTATAGTTGGATGGTAAAGCATTTTTACCCAAAATAGTAACAACAATGCAGATATCTTAAAAAATTATAAGTATATCGCAGTGTACTAAGAATAGAAGTATTTTTTTACGTTGAGTAGCTGATTTTCCGGTTGACAGAACATCTCTTAGCGTTTGGGATTTGCGGATTTCTGTGGATGTCATCATGCATCGAACAATTTCTTCATCCAGCGAATTTGTGCTTTGCCTCCATTGAGGACTGGCAACACTGCTGCAGGCTCCAGGTAAGTGGAGTTCTGAAATTGTATAGTTATTATTGTTATAAAGAAACATGGTTGATGGTTCCTTCCAAGTTTGGTATGTAAACTGTGATTTAGAGAGCATGAACACCAACGTAAAGGTGTTTACGGCATAAATAGCACGTCACGCGGACAAAAACAATCAGCGATTTAAGCAAAATGCAATTCCACGAGTTATTGGCAACTTTTTCAGTTTTCAAAAAAGGGGGGGCGGGTTTTGGGGGTGGCTGCGCTGTATGTAGTGTTCCATATTAAGAGCAAACATGAATATAAACAGTGATACGTGAATATCTATATTAGACTCCTAATGTCTTGGGCTGAACAGCATTGGAGCGTGACACCTTTACGGCATTGAAGCGCAACACCTTATCTTATGATACCAATATATATATATATATTTATGACGAGATAAATATTATAATAGAGTTGATTCGCGACCCCTAGAAATGGCTATACCATGAGTGCTATTCGAAAAGTGTCTAAACCACTAGAAAAACAAAACAGAGATAATTCCAAAGAGTATAAGTTGTGTGCGATGACTTAAGAGAAAAGCGACGAGCTGAGCTAGGTAATTAGACTGGAATGTTGACTCCCCATATCAATCTATGCAGTAATCGTATTGATGTAGCACAAGGTCAAGTTTCGCATCAATAGTAAATTGCATAGGGATACTTTTTTTTTATATCTCATGTATCAACACCTCATTGTGGGCCCCACAAAAAATGGCAATAAAAGTGGGTCGCAAACTGAAAAAGGTTGGGAAACATTGAAGAAGCAGAAAGCAAACAAGATAAAGACAGCAATGCTTTTGAATTAACAATAAAAAAATCTTGACCTTTGTTAATGGTGTTCCTGCTGGGACTCTCCCCTTGACCCTGCTCTGATTGTGCTTTGAGTTCCAACCAATCACAAACAGTATCTTCAACACTTGGCAATGCACAAAGACTGGTATGATAATGTACGTTGTTATCTATGAAGATAAAAGTATAAAGTATATTTGGCCTGCATTTATAATAATATCTTGTAAAACAGATAGGTTTAAAGTTAGCTTCAAGTTAACGTAGATCGACTTAGCCTATTTTATAGGTATCATCCATACACTGTACGGGTTACCCCAGATGGGGAGAAGTGGGGGGCTACCCTGTGCCAATAAAAAATTTTACACTAAAAGTCATTGCCTGCGGACTATCGCTTCATAAAATTCGCTTCCCCCATTATTTCCCTGACAATTTTGATTATTATCGATAATTACTGGGATATTTGTTTGTGCATATCTCTTAGAGTGCCAGTGGTCACTACTGTTTTCTATTTCGTTGGGGAACTTAATTTTTAGCAATTAAAATGGATAAGTATTTATACCGCGATCTAAATGTTCGTCTGGTGGTTTTGAGATATTGATAGAGGAAGTATATCTGTATGAAGTACGATCATCTGGAAAATCAGTTCCGTTCAACGATATTGTTGCATCCTCGATTGTGACTGAAATCTTTTCGTCGTGTTTACTGAAACTGTAAACAAATTGACATAGAAATTGAAATAGTAACAAGAAAATACGTAGTTAATTATATTAAATGATAGAATGTTATAAATTGATCATTTGATGAAGGTAAACGATTGATATTATGACCTAAATCATGATACAAACAATTTCACTGCTTAAAGTAATAATTAATATCAAATTTATAGTTGGTAAATTGTTAAGAATAACAGTATAATATATATTGAACCGATAAAATGAAGCAAAAAGAAGTAACAGTGAACTTTATTTTCAAAATCATTTTAAAAATGTGTTTATGTAAGCTATTGATTACATTCTATCTTTAATTAAAGCCTACCTCAAAACTTAACATTAAAGATATTCAGATTTGGAAGTTTGTTTTTGCAGTTACCAGCTGCAGAAAACTTTATGCTTAAAAAACAGGCATTCAATTTGTTGTACCCAGGTCAATATCTCATTATAACTCCACAATATTTACTGCTGTTTTTCCGAATCTTCGCCAGTATAAACAAAATTTTCAAAATAATACTTACTTCAGTAATAGCTGTGCTGGAAGTACAATCAACAATGCACCGATTCCAATTATAAGACCCCATGACTTACTGACGGTATGAATGTACGGCAAATCTGTATCTGTAATATGATTTCTGGTTGATCATAAAGTTGCTAATACATTATCATAAAATCAATTATAATTTAGCATTCCATAGTGATGAAATTTGTAGATAAAAAATTGCAATCTAAAATTCACACATTTTTGTGTGTAAGGATGCACGACATATAAGTCCCATAGTAAATACAAGGTGGTCGCTTGAAAGCAGAATATTTGAAAGTCAGATGAGATCACATATAAAATGCGTGCTTACTCATTTCTTTTTTTATATATTTTTATTTTTTTTAGGTTCCAGGTTGTTTTAGGTTGATGGATGTTTCCCCGGGCATCATTTCTTGTTTATTTCGAAACAATTACAAATCAGCAATAAGTTAACAATGATGTTACGTAACAATTGAAATTTATACCGATGCTCGGACACTCCTTTCGCTCAGACAGACATTCAAGTGAGTTGTAAACATTGCCTCTTTTTAGTAATTTTGCTTGTGTTTGAATAAAAATGATAATTTTGAACATGTGGGCCAGTTTGTAAGCACCAACTTTTCAAAACACTCACAAAATCAGTGTTGAAAATTGTGCAATGATAAAGTATAGGAAGAATCATTCAGGGGTGAAGTAAACATCTATATCTATAAGGTTCTATTTGATTTCTATTTTGAAACCCACATCGTGGAAGAAGGCAGGAAACAGCTTTCAGACTTTGAAAAGAAAGTGATTATTCATTTCAAGAGTGAAAATCCGACTTGGGGACTGACAAAATGTCTAGCTGTGATTCTGAATTTTTTTTTTCTGGTTTTCTAGCGACCACCTTGTTGTTGTATTTAGTGAAATGAATAATGGTTGGTTGTGACATATTTTTGTGTTTATTAATGTGACTATGCCGTGCTTGTGACTTTGTTCCGGTCTCCACTGTATACTATACCCCGAAGATGTATAATCAAATAATAAATTGTTGCTACCATAGTTAATTTACAGCATCCTCAGTCAACCATCTCCATCCATCATTATTTTTGTGAATAACGTGCAATCAATTAAACAAGTGACTCAATTGAACTCTATCTTCTACCAAAATTTTCTCAAATCATCTGTGTTGGTTATCGTTCTACATTGATACGATAGGATATGATATTGACCATCGCTACCCAACCCCAAAGCTTACCATGTGAGTATATATCCCACTCCAACATGTATCTGGCGGTAGTAAGACCGAATATAGTCACCAGTAAAGTAAAGAGGTGTATCGCACGTTGACTACGAGGTTGTTGTCCGTATCCAGGTGCCACGATTAGAGAACAGACACTGAAACAAGAATTTATCCATATAAATGCTTGTTACTTATCGATTTTAATCGGTAAGTATGTTGATAGGTATTTGTCTGTTAGACGCACGCGATATCTCACAAAAGGGAGATTGAATCTGCTCCAGATTTTGCATGTGCATTCATCTTATTTCAGACCAGAAGCCTATTGATTTTGGGCGAATTATGTCGTATAATTAGCGAGTTATTAATTAATTAGTGATGGCGTAATTAATTAGACAAGGTGTCACTATGGAGTGAGAGCGCTGTTTTGGGGGATACCCTAACTTTTGATCGATAAGTCTTCGGTCGCTGACCGATATTCTCGTTTTACTTGTCAAGGTATTTTGTTATGGAGTAACATATTAGCATATCACAGTGCTCACATTCCTATATAGAAACTAAAAATAAAATCACGAGTTATATTTTATAGGTAGCTGAAGCTTAATACATATATCTTAAGTCAGAGGTTCTCAATCAGGAGTAAGCTAATCCCTTGGATGTGAACTCGGCCTGGATTTTGCAATCTAGAAAAGTAAGTACATTAACAAATGTGACCATTGATTTAGTTGTTGAGATTGTAACATTCTCTGTTGCACGCTTGCAATAAATTTGCTTTTGCTTGCAGAGAGAAAGTCTAGCCTAGAGCCTGTATGTTTATGCATACAAAAATGACAGCTTACAAACACAATTGAGAAAGTAAATTTTATTTTTGAAACTTGCCAAGGGGTGAATGATAGAATAAAAGTTGAAAACTCTAACACTTGAGTGAAAAGATGATAGAATGGCGGCTTTTGATATATATCATGGAATAATAAGAATTACAAATTAGATAAAAAATATTATCAAATATCTAACTCAACTTACCTACTCATGTTACAAAGAAAAGTATTCAATCTCAATGCAACTTGCTTATAGAAACTTGGCGGGGAGTAGAGTGGCCTAAGTTCAGCACAGAGTGATTTTTTACCCCTGTCTAAAGATAGCCAATCGTAAAGTGGGAAATGCCACTTCTTTTTTTCATTAACGTCACGAACGGTGACATGGTCCAACCTCCAGCTAGGACATTCTCCACTGTTATCATGCCAGATGACCAATTTCCACAAAGGGCCCAAGTTTACAGGGTATGTGATAATGAATTTTTGTGTAGAACCTGTGAATAAAAATTGGTTACAAGCTGCAATTATTTATTTTTGGAAAAGAAAGAAATTATAAAAATGTAGGTTGTTCAAGAATCAAAAAGCTTTTTGATTGATTTGGCATCTTCAAAAAAATGTTTGTATCCCTATAATTTCTCAATTTGGCATTATTCAAATGTCCAGAGTGATACAAGGTATACATATATTTCTTCGTCGATACCACGTGAGCAGTTCATAGCAGCCAGCTCAAACTAAATTGTTTGTTAGTCATCTCCGCAAGCAGATAATAATAGACCACACTTTTTATATGCCAAAGGATGTAATCAACTTTGTACCCTACACTTATCTAAATACATCAATTCAATTCAGCGACACTATGGCTATGAAGACTATGTCTGAGTTTTCATCTGCCACCCCAAACAATATACCAAAATCCTTGGAAAATATCATTACGACAATTTAAAGCATTTTTAATAGCTGAAAATACCAGTTATGAATAGTTCGTCATCTACACCAGTATAATCGTCATTTTCTGAATAACCATTTTCATATCTTGCTTCTCTAGCATTATGAGTTTTAGGTGTGATCAATTCTCTTGCTTCATATTTCCCTTCCTCTCCATATAGAATGATTGTGACGTTAGAAGTAGTTCCACTACCAGGCCAACAGCTAGTCTGTAGGGTAACTTCAAATACCTGTACAAAGTTTGTAATTCAAAGTAAACATTAAATACGAGTCCAAAAAACTAATTAGGATTTTGCAAAAGTTAAAAAGTGAAGTTATAGGTATATTGCAAAGTATGAAAATAACAAGTTCAGAATTAGGCCATTATGAAATATTTACTATTTGTAACTAATAATTGATTACAGTGAAAATGCTACTAACTTGCTTGTGTGTTTTCCTATTATCGTGTAATATGATCGGAACAGAGTTAGACTTTTGATCTGGACCGAAAAACCATCTCAGTCTCCTTCCAATTTCACTGAATCTTGGTCGTGATCCATAATAATCAACTCTGAATACTGAAGTTGGGGTCTCCAGTTCTCGAGGTCGTAGTATGCGATAATGTATATAAAGAAACACCAGCGTTGCAACAAGTATAATTGAAACAATCTAAACATGAAAGTTTGACACAATTTCATTTGAATTCCTAAATAACAAGAAGCAAAGTTTGGTGCTAACTCCACCATGGCTTAGTAGTTGAAGTAGTGATCTATCTAACACATTACCTATGGTTTTCTATTCAAAACAGCAAAACCGGTATTTTGATGTTTTTCAAATGTTTATGCATCTAATGGAGCTTGCTTCCACTGATCATTAACCGCAAATTTTGAAGACAACAAAATAAAAACAAAGATTGAATATCAAACCAAGTAACTTATTAGGTAGCGAACTCAGTTAAACTATCAGTTGCTTGAACGACTATACGTCTTCAGGAATCTAGCAGTGCTCTCGCACATGGCTATCCCAACGGAATTCGATCCTGTGTCTCCAGCAAAAGGTGATCATCCCACGAAGACACAGCTAGTCTCAAGTGTTAGTAGAATTTACAAACCATCAAGATCTTACCTGATATGAGGTATTTCGAAACATGCTACAGTAGATGTAGCAGATTTTTCACTAACAAAATATTGCTAGCAATTTCCATTTCAATAACCTACCGTTATGCTTCCACGAAGTGCAGTATGACCAATCGATATTCCTATGTCACTAGCTTGAGCATCTGTTTTTACGGGAATAAATGAAGAACTAAATGTCGTTAAATGAGAAGTTTTGCAGATCGTTTGTGTAGATGTAGACTGCTCCATAACCTAAAAATATATTTTGTTTTTATATTTTTATGTACCAATTTACACCAGAAATTAAAGATGAATCCATTACTACTTAATTGATAAAAGCTTGGCAAGGAACAATCACTGGGTTAACTGAGCTTGCAAAAACAAAATTTAAATCCGACTTTAATTAAGTTGAATATATTTGTTACATCTTTTAATGTGAAATCTTCAACTAAGAAAAGTGGGTTTTAAAACCTACATTTCAGTAGTAATCTGATTAATTCTTTTATAACAACATTTTAATGAGATTTGATTATAATTACGAAAAACTACATACTTTGACTCCATCTTGTCTCCATTCCATAAAAATGTCGTCCCAAAAGAAACAATCTGACCACCAAATACGTAGAGTGTAGTGAATGAATTCAATATCGTAATGACGTGATCTTGAAGTCATTACCTGCTCATTCCAGAACGCTATGTAATACATTCCATGCTTGTGAGAAAAGTCCTCGTCTTTTAATGTGAATTTTACTGCTATGGTTTGGTCTAGAAATATTGGAAAAACATTTATTTATGAGTTTACATATAGATATACTCTCTTTATAAAGAACAGACATTAACGCAGTGTTTTTGTTGTTAGTATTTTAGGTGGGATGATGGGCAAGGGTTGAATATATAGACATATACATAAACCAGAATTTCCTATATTGTCGAATTAGTAAATAGGATAGGATAGGATTTACATATTTATCCCGGGGAGGAAGAGAAAAGTCGATAAGAAGTTTAACCATGTGGCAAACCACGGCCTCTCGTTTGGTCACCATTCCATGTCTGGTATGGGATTAGTTGGCCTGTTATTTGTTTTCGGAAGCATGGACTTATTGGTGGAGGAAGCCGTAAACGACCAGCGGTTACAGGAACCATCCTACAGCGACGAGGAGTCCAGCAATCCTCTCACACATGCCTACCCTGAATGGGATTCGAACCTGCGAGCCCAAGTAAAATTTTCAGAGGTGCAGTGGCGAGCGTATTTCTATTAAGACATTGTTAGTGTCTCGAATATCACGATGGTTACATATTTACTTAATGCATTAAAATCCTGGAACTGTCCTCTCGATACAACTTGCTTGGAAACAATTTGATCAGAATGTGGTGTTCCTGAGTGATGTTCAGTTGTTGGTTTGATCACAGCTATTGTTACGGGGAAGGACCTGTGGAATAAAATATATTTTTCTCTTATTCAATAAAATGAGATAATGTAGGACAGTACAAAGATTCATGATCCATGGCCTCCTCCAAAAAACTCTGAATACTAGTAGCCTCCCGCTCTCCGATAAAATACCAAGTTTTGCTTTTAATGAATTTTCATCGGTCATTTTATGCATTTGATAATAAAAAACCTGAGAAACAAAAGTAAAAGAATAAATGAAGCCTTGTGATTGTGGCCCCCAGAGAACCGTTCTGTACCCTTAGAGGAGCCGAGATTCTAGTTTGAGAGCCATGTACTGGTCTTAGCACGGATGCCAAGTGCAACAAGAACAGCATGACAACATGAACCACAACCAGCATGTACAAGTACAATTTTTTTTTTTTGCGTTATTGAAATGTGTTAACGACATAACTCTTGGCACAATACAATACAATCAAAATTTTTTATGCATGATAATCGCGAAGATAAATTAGTTTTCATCTACTAAAGTTATTTCGAAATGAAATATGTTAGTCATAATCACCTTTGATGATGTGTTCCCAATATTATTTCTAAATGCATTGTTCTATTAGGCATTTTATGAACAGGAAAACTGTTAGTCGATACTCTGTCTCTGAAAATGATGCCATGGAATTCACTGACCTAGAATACAAAGATGTGTGCATATTAGAACTTATTTAAGATATGAAAAATAATTAGGTAAATGCAATCTTGACAATGTGACTACTACTATTTTTAGTAAAAGCAAGTGAACAATTTTTAAATATATGGAGATGAAGACCAAAGGTCACATAAAAGGGATCCTTTAGTTGAGAAGAAAAGCAATTTTTGCACAACAGAAAGAGTTTAGCAAAAAATATATGTACACATGGCAATCAATCGAAAAATATGAAGCAACCGGTGGAAAACTCCCACCCTGAAGCATTTAATATCACTAGCAAAAGTTGATCCGGTGGACTTCATAAAAATTTGAGAACAAATACATAAGCAGGAGCCTCTATTACACACTTCCAATTTGCTATCAAAATTTTGAAGTTAGGTCTAAAAATTTGAAAAAAAATCAAATTTTGTCTCTACAATACCAGAAAATTTTAAAATCATTCCTATGTTCACATATGTGATTGGCTAAGTAACAACTTGACTTTACCTTGTCCATACTTCTTGGTGGGAGAGAAACAACAACAGGTGGGTCAAAATTATGCACAAGCAATTCGGTCGAAGCTACATTATAGAGTGATAACGAGATGGGCCGATGTTCAATGGATTTCTGTGAAGGAAGTATTATAATTATTATATATTGTTAAATGTAACAAAAATCCCCACTATATCAAACTCGATGTATTGGAGAGCACTAGTGTAGTGCTCAATCCGTTTGTGAATGACCAAACAAATGTTTCGCATCATAAATTACTTCCCCACTTCAGAAGTTATTAATCAGTATGCAGTGCGTATCAATTGAATGTAATTATAACACAACAGTTGTAAAACACTACAACTAGCATTTGTGGTATGTCTTGCTTGGTTGTTATTAGGGAGTTTGATTATCCAAAACATAAAGAATGTCACAAATTATTACTGTCTTAACATATCATTGCAACACATTGAGTAAATGTGAATCAATATGGCTTAACAGTGTTTATGAAATTCCAAATCAGTTATAGTAAAATGGAAGAGATTTTAATAGGTTTTGTTACTATTATAAAAATGATTGAACCAAGGCACTACAAAACGAGGAACTTCACGTGAAGATTCACTTAAAACAGGTTATTAGTAATTTGACCAATCCAAAACCTATAATAAATAAATCAAGTATTTATTACCAAGAATTATTATTATTATTTTATTATATACTGTTTTGATTTAAATTAACCATAAATTCTCATAGCTTTTGCAAACCTCTTTAAATCCGGATAAAGTCATATCAGGCAGCGTTGAAGAAATCACATAAGATTCTGCAAGTTTGGTATTCCACTTGGTCATACTTGCAGCCTCGTCAGAGAAAACAAAACCAGCTTTCCATGATCCTGATTTTCCAAATATGTCGTCATCACTTTCAAATACGTTCACCACTTTTGAAAATGACTGAACAACAATTCCAAGATTGTCAACTCTTGATCGAATTGGCCCCAGAACTTTGGGTCGATAGTGAATCAAATCTGAGAATTAAATGTAAAATGTAACTTGACCTGAAACCTGAGCTGTGTCAGATATTACAGAAGATGTTTGTGTTAGTTAGTATGCAGGAAAACAATTGAATAACATAGAATAGCCAGCTGTATTTCTGCAAGGACCCATCACACAGTGCAAAGGCAAATAAATAGTTAGTCATGTGTGACCACAACTGATTACAGAAGCTGGAACTTGAAAAATATTCAATCATATTACATGTTCAGATTCAATATCCAACGTAAAAAGCCTAATCCCATTTATACTATTGTCAGGCATAGAAAGGGTGGTTTTGAGCTTAAAAAACAGTTGAAACACTTGTGTATGAAATAATGAAAAAAAGGTTCTGTTCCAAAGTAGCTTTGTTGTAGCAGACTATCATCATTGGGAGAAGGTCTAAACAAACTTCTCATTCTAAGATTGTGGAATAAAAACTGAGATGATATGTTTATATAAACTTGAATATAAATAGCATACCCAAGAAAAATTTGTTCAGATGAGAGTATACTTTCTTTTCCATTTCCATCAGTTTACTTTTTATGGAAACTTTTCTCAAATCATTCAATTCAGTAAAGTTTCCAAACAGTATTTTTTTCGCTTGTTCGATTTCGTCCTTATCTGGTTTAGACTCAATTCTAATAGAACATTGAATGCAGGCTTCGGATAAAGCTAATCGTGCATTTACTAGCATGTTCATCATTTCCTCATCGCTCAATATATATTGGTTGTTACCAGAATCTAGGAATAAAAATAAATTAAAACATACAGAACATTTTATGAACTGTTTGACCACTTTTTCATCTAAACAAGTCTTTAGGTAATAATCAGAATATTTTGATTTTCTACGAATAAGTTGTGTGAGTGTGTGAACTCGACTGGATATGCTAAGATTGAGTTGTGAGAGTTGATGGATTCAACTGAGCTTGTTATTGATAAGACAGATGAACTTTTCTAAAATGTGTCTATAAATTGCAATATTTAATAAATGTATATCAATATCCATAGTCACAAGAAGCATAGGAGATAATGATTAGGTTAAAAAATTGGTGCTCCAGAAGTATGTGCAACAAGATGGCGAACACCGGAACGTCATATGTGTACCAGGTTAGGGTTAGGCCATAATTTTATTTCAATTTTCCTTATTTTAGTTCTATTACAAGTTCCCGTAGTATTTGTACCTAAAACTATGGCCTAACCCTAACCTGGTACACATACGACGTTCCGGTGTCTGCCATCTTGGTGCACATACTTCTGGAGTACCAAAAAATTTACCAAGCCATAGTATATATATGTTAGACCTACCCTTTGCTTTTTGTGTAACATTGCGCAAAGCATCCACACATTCAATCAACAAATTAGCAGCTTCAAAAAGAGTGTTAGCAGAGAACAATTTTCCTCGAGATATTGCTCTAATAAGTGTTTCAACAATATACTGCACTTCATTTATTTTTCTTGGAATGAGAGACTTCAAGGCCATTGTGGTGTTGTATATGATTTGTCTGGACATTTTCATTATAGGTTCTTCTGTTTCTTTTTCTAATCTTTGCAACTCTTTCACCTGGAAATTAAATTATAATTCGAGAAACTCTCATTATAACATTATGAATATTAAGGATTTACGTTTGCTATTGATTTATTGTAAGTGAAAATGTTAGTTTCATCACTCTCCCAAACGTTCCAACTTGCAATCACTTAAACATAGATTTTACAGTGACCGGAAGGATTGAAAATTTTCTATTATGCACAACACTTACAATCCAATAAAATAGTATAAATTGGGTGAGGTGATTGGCACGATAATGATAGTACAACCTATTGACAAACCATTGTACCAAACTCAAATGTTTCCATACTAACTTATCAACATTATTCAGATTCCACTCATTATATTAATGTTTGTATATTTTGAGTTGAAATTAAAAAAAAAAGGTAAGACATTTTGTTAATGTCCCAGATGACAAAAAAGCCGATAACAAGGCTTAATTATAGGGCAAACCACAGCATCTTTTCTGGTTATCAGTCCATGTCGAGTATGAAAATAGTTATTTGTTTCAGATGCAAGGACTTAAGGGTGGAGTGAACAACCCTACATTGGCGAGAAGTCCACCAATTACCTCGCACATATATATATCTCACAAGATTTGAACCTGCGAACTTGCGCGATGACAAGCCTATTCTTAAAGCTTACCATAATGCAACCTATCAAAAGATCATGATAAATTATATTGTTGAATGAGTATAATTAAACAATAACAGCAACAATAATATTAAACCATAATGGACAACATACTGATTACTCATCTTGCCGGTAATTACAAGGTTATACAGTATACTGAGTATAGATTGACATATTCATATAAAGTTTAAACGAGGAACAAGAAATACCTCTGGAATTGTGTCAAGAATGACATTGACCAATGCAATAACTTCTTCTTGATCTCCCATTGCTAGCATTTCACCCAAACTTCCATTGGAAGGTACCGCTTCAGAGTATCTAAATGTAACTTTGATTTGAGTATACTCACGATGCACGTTTAAGATGAGTGAAGATTTATAATTTAGGAATTATGATCACTTGCATATACTGATACTTTTATAAATGTTATCATGCCAAAAATGTTTTTGAGTTTATTCTTGTTCTAGCTTTGTTCGGAGCAAACTTCACAAAATTAGAGTGTCAGATGAAGTTGTTTAGACTTACGCCTCTTGCAGAAGTTCGTCAGTAGTCAGAGACAAGTTAGTTTTTATTGGTCCATTTGGTAAGAATGAACAAACGTTTGTGCTTGCACCGTCACTGTTTCTCAATACTATATGAATGTATGCTGTGTAGAAATACAAAATTAGAAAATCAGAAATTGAGACTGAAAACTAACTTACATGTATATAACAAAACATGTTTGTGAAGCGTTGGCATATACGCTGTTTAAATTTGGGTATTAGAAATTGAATTTATATGCATTCTTTATTCTAAATCAAAGATAAGTTGAAGACACGAGTCCCCGAGAATCCCCGTCAAATTATTTTGTAAGTATATTTCAAAATTTATATTGGGAATAGGGTATTTATTCGTTTCGTATATAGGCCATTGAATGAAAGATTAATAATATGTATTATGACAAGAACTTTTTGACATCATAAATAAATAATAAATATATTTAGCATATTGTACAAAAGGTGTTTTCTTGTTTCATAATACCTGGCTTGTTATCCTTTGGCAGACGGAAATATTTTTCATGACTCACTCCTGTATAGATTTGTCGTGTCGGGCCTTTCTCTGTCAAACTGTAACTTATATCGTAGCTCAACATTTCTCGCTGCACAATAAATAAATGAACGGCTTTGACATGTTTAATAGAGAAATGTAGATATTGATAAATTATTATTCATACCTTCGGTTTCCTAACATGCATAAACTCATTAGCTTTGAACCAAAGATAAATTATTGATAAAACTTAGTGCTTTTATGTGGTGATTAGCATATTTATCTATTAATCTATGAGAAAAGTAATTTCAACGCATTACAATCTACACACAGTTCACCCAATGTATTATGTACGGATGATGTGGTCAGCCTGGAATGTGAAAGAAAGCTCAACTCTGACAAAAGAAGCCACAGGCCGTAGATAATCTATAGTTTAGAACGGATACGAACACTACATGCTCTAATTTGTTATCACAAAGGATTGTCCTGGTATTTACTCACCCTACTGACTCTATCTCTTGCGTTGCCATTCTGCTGATTCTTCCATCCAGCACAATGTACTAAATAATTTTTTGTGAAGTCTCGGTAAACAACACTGCAGTCTCCATAGCTTGGTCCACGCAATACAGTAAAATAGTATGATGTCTTTCCAATAGATTTCTTCATTTTGCCATCTTAAAATTAAATAATTATAACGAAGTAGTTGGCTTTGGAAATGTCAGTTCATATTACCATATACCATACTTTATTATATTAAACCTTACTATACTTGATGACTCTACTATAACCCACGAACCTTTTTATGAAAGAATTTTATATCCGCAATAAATGAGCATCCAAGCATGCAGCTTGTCAAAATGCTATGGTATACTAGGCCAGAACTCGAAATGTATAATCTCCTACATCAACAAATTCGGGATACTAATATACTTTGGTAGATATATTGAAGCCATTCTTCAATTCAATGTCAGACTGTATAGCCCATTACTATAGTTTTACACTATTTTCTTATTCAGAGCCCGGCTCGGTGGTGTGGCGCATCATGCTTAGCATCGCAGTTTGTTATGTAATGAAATCAACAATTATAATATTTAGCTGATAGAATTCCCGGGGAATAGAAAACAAGCACGGCTTTCAACCGTAAATATATACTACTACGTTTCAACAAGTAATTTGCAACTGATAGTGACTAATGAAGTTACTTGCTCATCTGGCATTGTATGAATGGCTACTTATGGCTTGTTTTGTTACACATTTCTAATTTTTTTGAACAGGTTTGTTTGACTTTTGTATGAATTAAATTTTGAAATACGCTCGTCAACTGATCATAATGTCGCATAATGTTGTATTCCTTCAGAACTGAAATATTTTGTTGGTAAGAAGACAAATCGCTGAAGTTTGATTCTTTTCAATAAAGAAATAAAAACGCTGTCATTCATCTAAAAAACTACTGTTTTCAGTGCCTAGTTTTCGTTTTGTGACATCTTTAAGCTCTTAATATACGGCTGATATCTAAAATACCGCAGTGTGTTATCCTAATACCCATACGTATACATAAGATACCGGAATATTTCAATTGTTACGAAATAAACGTGCTTAAACTGTGATAATGATGTAACAATAGACGGTATCTAAAACTCAAAAGGTACCAACCACATGAAGGATTAAATTATTTCACTCAAGTTCGGCGGGCCCTATTTAAATCGTCACGCGGACCGTAATTGGCCCGCAGACTGCGGTTTAGAACCCCTCAGTGTGGAATCGCACCTCAAAATTAGGGGGGGTGTTTGAAATTTTAGGGGGGGTGTTCACCCCCTATAGGGGGGGTGTAGGGCAATCACTGTGCTAGACTCTTTGCCGCTGTAGGGTGGTTCACATAACGGCTGGTCGGTTACAGCATCCTCCACCATCAAGTTCATGCATCTGAAAACAAATAACTATCTAACCAATCCCATACCTGACATGTATTGATGACCGGACAAGAGGCACTGGTTCACCAGATGATTAAGCCGTATCCCTCTGTGTAAATATGTAAATCCTATCCTAAATCCTATAGGCCCGGGTTCATGATCCAATCATATTTAAAAAGATTGTGTCAAAACATATTGAATCACAAAATTTTAACACAAACCTTGCAAGAAAATTTCATTGGTAATAGCATATGTTCTTCCTTCTGTTAATGTATTTGGTCTTAGTATTAACATCTTATCGTTTATTCCACTCAATGCAATGTTTGCCAATTCCAACTTTGTATGATCCAAATCCTATGTGTGAGAATTTACGTTAACAACAAAGCAATACTATGTCACGTTGAAAAAAATTTGAATAAATGTAAACATAATAAATAGCCTTGTAGTTTAAACATATATCTCAAACTTCTGAAAATTTGGAAGCGATTGCTTAAGTAGTTGGAACAACAACAAAGCAATCCATTGATTCATTATGTGAAAAGAATTTCTGACATGATTTAAGTCGTCTGTTGTACTCTTAGTTCATCTCTTAGCTTCCAAGAACATAAGAGTTCTATGAGAATCTGTGAGATGAAAAATTCTTAAAGACATATTAATTGTTACCAAAACGGTTCGTAAATCAAAATGAGTAAAACATTCAAAAATTATATTGAGTTAATATTAGAACTTTGACGTCCTCCAGTAAATATACTTTTTCATTCGGCTAACTTATGGGTTACAATAAATCCCTTTTGAAACATTTGTCATTTACATGTCTGGTCTCAGATTTTCTAAAAATCCAAGTTCACATAATAATACAAAAATGATAACACTGCCTTGTTATTATTTTTGTCTTAAATCTCAAGTAAATGAAAAGAATATACTATGCTAACAATAACAATGAAAATCAACCTCCATACTTTTAGCTAGGCGCAAGACATTGAGACATTGCAGCTCACATCAGCAGCAATTTTTCAAACAATGATAGTAGATTGTGTACAGATTTCTGGCCTATTTCTTAAAGTCCATTTTAAACACTAAATACCTGATAATGGTTCGGTAGCCGAATATTTGATGAATGATCAGACATTCTGAAAGCATCACCTCGCCGCTGACTGTCTCCGAAAATTGGAGGTAACCCATCCATACCAGGAGAGTAAGGTATGATACCACTTCGACCTGCCCACTCATTTTCATGTGAGAAACCATAAGGTCCATAGTTGTAATTGTTTCCACCTTCATATATGAGAGCAGTACTTATACACATGGACACAAAATTTCAATGGCCATTATGCCCAAAATTTACCGAATGTATATGTATTATTAAATTAGACAAATAAACTATTAAAGAGATATTCTATGGTCTTCACTGCTATGGAAAATTAACAGAAAAATGACAGCTTAGCATGCTGAATGATGACTAACTTATTTTATAGATTTGGGAGTCTGAAATTGCTTGGTCCAGTAGTAGTAGAGCGGTTTTATGTAGAACCGTCCATTGGTACACATCGTATACCCCTTTAAAGGTATCCCAAAAACATTCGATAAGAAGATGATCGATAAAAAAGAACAATTATTTATTGATTTGGTAACTGACTCACCTCCAAACCGCGAACCAGTCAATTCCTCATCCAAGTCCTGAGACGGTGGTGCGCCAAGCGGTCGCTGTCCACCGATTCCGTATCCATCCCTCATATTTGATTCTCCATCAATGTTATCAAGTGGAAAAGTCGGCATATTGGGTACGTTTTCACTCTGGTGGATTTCAAAAATAGGAACCGCGGTGCGCAACACTCTTTTTAAAGGAACTGGTGGAATTCCTGATGCACATGAAGTTCATAAAATATTCAGAAAAATAGTGATTAATTTTAATATTACTGTTTATTTCTTGATTTATCAAAATGTATCATGAAATGTATTTACCATCATTGTCATCCTCAAATCGAGAGCCATCAAAATCCCCATTACGAGATGGTGATTTCCCCTCACTTATATCACCTGGAAAATACATGAAGTTAAATATAAATAAGCTCAAGCCAATTTTATATAATGTATGGTAGGGACACAACTCAAAGCTCTCTTTCAAGGGCAGCTGGGCATTTTGAAAATAGATAGCACAAATGATCCAACAAGTTGGAATAGAATACTGCGCATGGATCTAGCTGGGTGCCCAACTGATTCAGTCCAAAATTGGTCTTTGTCTGTCGTAAAATAGGCATTTAATTTGATAATTTAATTTGATAATTATCAGTATACCACAGCACATTGTTTAAACACATCAAAACTTTTGCAAACATACCTAATTTAATTATGCTCAGCTACCTAAATAAATATACATGCTATTTACCTCCAATGGGCGGTGGCGGTGGTCGTTGTGAATGTTCTGGCCAATGATCTGTTAAAAGATGATCAGGTACCAAACTTCCATAAAAATTTGAATCATCCGTAAATTCGCCGCCACTCGTTATATTCGTAAGGTATTTGAGAACTAAAATAAAAAAGTAAATATCCATTGCTGAATGCCTCCAAGAATTTTTGAAAATATTTAAAATAAGTGTACGATATTTTGAAAAACGTTAAATGACTGAAATTAACTATCGTAGTTATCGTTAACTAGATAATAGACTGGACTGCTCCCTTTCCAAGTAATTCACAGTTTGGTTGGAATGCCGCAGTTTAAAACAATTCAGTGCTAAATAGTTAAATGAGCAACTATCGGTAATACTCACGTGGATCAGTATCGGAGCCATTGGTGAATTCTGTAAAAAGAGAATGAATGAGGAACAAAGTATATAATTTATATGCGACCAATTTATGTGCGATTCTTTTTTTAATCAGGAAAAGTTTGCGCAGTACTATGCAGTCATTTCGATCATATTTTATGGTCCCAAATACCGTGTGCATTGATCTGTATGTACCGCATGTTAACACCCACACTAACTATTCATGTATGATTCGAAAATAGTTTGTCTGGACATAAATCATAACACGAAATTGCCACCTGATTCATTGCCAAATATTCCTATTAGACTCATCCATCCTGTACCATCAGGTGGTGCACAATCACTGGTATCTGTGAAATAAATTACCAGATTTAGTAATTGGTAATTAATGAAATATTCACTAGCTAATATTGATGGCTCACACAGGACTTAGGAGTTGAACTCAGAAGAAACAAAACTATAGTGTGTGAATCACTTCTGGTTTGTCAATTTATTTGAATTTGTCACTTGATTCATGGTGTAGTAAACTGCCTGGTCACTGTAGACAAATGGAGTACGATCTTTTGTAGACACTGGACTAGATAAATAATTGTATATCCAGTTGTTTGTTTATAGTCCTACAGTATAGACAATTTTGAAAGGAGCATGTTAAACAATTTTTTATGATTGGTTCTAAAGGTGTATCTAATTAAATCAGCCTCATGCCGCCATCTATGCCTATTTGACATCAATATACACAAACAGTTTCAATGCTGGAAACTAAATAATAGGTAGAAACTGAAAAATAGCTATTTTATTGTTTCTTATGGTTCACCATTTTCATAAAACGAAGCACTGCTGTCCTCTACTTCATGAATTGACCATTCATACGCTATAGAAGTTTGGTCGTGATTATGTGAGCAAGTTACACAAGACGCTTCAAATTGTAATGGTACATGCCGTGCAACAGCTCCAGTTTTGCAATTTTGAGAGTGAATTGTTACCCTGCAATTGAAAGATGGTATATCAATGCACAGTCCAGATTATTAAGTGCAACCATACCTCTTGAAAAAAAACTGATAAATATTCGAAAATACAAAATGTTATAAACAATTTTCTTTTTCAAATGTTGTTTCTGAATAAGCCAAAAAGCCATTCGGTTGATATTAAATAACTGCTAGTTGAGTCGATTGCGCGGACATTATTTTTAATAAATTGCAAGTATCGCTCTCACCATTCTATCTGACCCTTTTCAATCTTGAGTACAAGTACCTTGTCAGAGTGTCTTTGACTTGGATCGGGCTTGCTGACATCAACCTATAATTAATCAAGTAGCTTATTATACTTTCTTCACAATAATAAAAGAACAAATCAAATTGAAACTGAATAAAGCTATCTCGAGTAAGAAGAGAAATTTGAGGTTACGAGATATCAGGGAATAGATATATTAGGTCCAAATTCTGATTTATTCCCAAGCAATCACTCACCCAAATTAACAGCTAATTATCACAACATTTTGTACCTGAAAAACAAAAGCATCTGCCGTTTGCACGAGCATCGATGCGGGAAATTTCAATACACTTCCATTCGTTGATATTCCGTCAGGAAAGTCTCGGTAAACACTCTCATCATGGGCTTCTTCAGTAATATACTCATCAGCAGCTCTCATTGAGGAAGTACCAGTTTCAGGCTGTTCTGTTGATAGTGCTGAACGTTCAGTAATGTGATGAGGTGGTTCGTCATCATCTTCTTCCAGTGACTTAAAACATGGCGTATTTGGCGAATTTAGAACAAAGCATTTCCAACCAAATCTAAAATAAAAATGTGATAATTGGTGATCATTTGCTATTTTAATACAAACTAGAGATGTGACAATACCGATCTGATACCAACAAAAAATGCGATACTGATACCGATTTTGTGCTAATATAACGTTGAATTTTGTATTTTACACATTGGAAAATCCACTAATATTCGACTGATATATTTCTTCATAATTACCATGTAATATTGGAAAGGTCTATAGGAAAATTTGGCAGCAAAAATAGGCAAATTAGTTGAGCTAGTTTGGCTGATATATCACTAAAAACAGGTCAGAATTCTGATCCTGTTCCTACTCGCCGGGTTAGGGACAAGTATTTCTCATAGTTAACAAGTCCAATACCGTGATCACGATTGACCAATATTGTCGATACCGCTACATCTGTAATGGGCAAAATACGACCAGCGGGTCAAATCCGGCCCGTTGGGTAATTTAATCTGGCCCGTCTGATGTTGCCACAACCGAACTAAAACCAAATTTTGATGTTTTAGCTAAAAATAGCTTAAGGTATTGTTTGGATTGCGATTAAACTTAGTTTGGGCACAAGGCTCATTGTTTCCACTTTTGTTTTTGTTACACATACAATATTATTACAATATTTTTCTTAAAATGTAACTTTTTATGTCACTCTTACATGGCCCGCCAGTCTAAATGGGCAAAATTTTTGGCCCCTGGTCCAAAAACCTTGCCCACTGCTGGTCCATATTATGTATCATATAAACTTCAAATATTCAGTTTATTTATAGTGGAAAACTGTCTTTATTGATTATTGAATTTTGAATTTATTGCCTGGAGTATGAAACTTTACTCATCTCCAGATAAAAGGTGAGATATATTTATCATCTTCATGAATGTTTCTCAGCAATTTGTACCCAAAGCAGATTGCTGATTGGATAGATTCCACTCAGATCGAGATTACTCACTATTACTTGAATGATGCATTCCAAAATTGAATTACAGTAATTCAAAAGGTTGTAAAGCATAGCACAGTTTTACAAATTTCGATGCTTAAAGTTTAAACTTCCATACATTAAATCTTCATTGTTATCTGGATAATCAGGATCATAAGAAGATGATGCATCAATAGTGACATTTGTTGCTCTTGCAATGGTCCGAACATTTCCACCATCTATCATTGCAACCAAATTTGAAGGGACCACGCCAATTTTTTCTTTTGAACTACCGAACAGGATAGTTTCAGAGACTGAAACCTAAATTAATGATGAATGGATTAAAATAAAATGGGCGAAAAAGATGATTTTAAAAGATTGGCATCTATAAAAGTAGTTTACTGCTCCGTACTATGAGCGTTCTTTTTTTAATCTGAATTATTTTTAGCAGATAAAGCTGGAACACAAGTTCAGATAAAATCATGAATAAAAAGTTATATTAAAATGAAACTGATATTCTTAGAGATATACATAGACCAAAAATATTATGACTCATAACATCTGACAAATTCATAAAAATTTGTATTGTAAGAATAACCAACTCATACATTGATTATGAAATAGTAAATCCCATATAGACCAAAAATATTATGACTCATAACATCTGACAAATTCATAAAAATTTGTATTGTAAGAATAACCAACTCATACATTGATTATGAAATAGTAAATCCCATATGAAAGTGTCCTTGGTTCCAATTCCAATATTCTGTTCGTTGTGACCACGTCGTTTAGTTCAACCTCAATAGTGTTGAGTTCATCAATATATACCCTCCATTGATAATTCACAGTTGCCAGAAATGAACAATTCAAGTTGACATCTGCTTCTAATCTTAGAGGCTTTGAACGCTTGATCTACAACAAAATAAAAACATGCTTCAGTTATTTATTTGGTACAGAGACATAATGGAATCTTGATTTATGGGCTTTCAAATACCATCAAACTGAGCAATGTGGTGTAATTGCAGTCATTATTTAATCATTGGGCACTGGTCTGATTATAACTTGAACCCAAGATTCATATTACCACTAGGATCAAGATAATGACCTAACTAGTTGGCCATTGCCAATAACAATAAGAGGCAGACATTATAGATGAGGCTGCAGATATCATTATAGCAAGACTTCAGGCTTGTAAAACAGTTCTCTGGTCCAACAGCAAAGTTACATTAAATCAATAAATCATCCATTAACCAACTATTATTCTTCCTTACTAAGCATTTTGATTACCAAATAGATCAAAAGCATTTGCCTATTAACTGAGACCAGGTTTGCAAGGGAAGACAAAAAAAGTAATTACATATTCTAGAACAGGTGAGCAAAAATGTTCAAAAATCAGAATAGATACAATACATACAATAAATACAAAAGTTTTTACCCAAACATCTCCTTTTGAAATCTTGACTTTTGGAATATCACAAGTTCTATCTTCAACAAATATTAATTTTTTAATATTGAATGAGCCCAATTTATTGATGAGATTGATGTGAACTTTATACTGTCCTTTCCTGTAAATGAGGTAAAAATCAAGTGACATTTTGATAAGAACAAGTTTCTTGTAATACAGAGAAATCAACTGACACAAGCCGATTTAATTGTTAGCGATAATTTCGAATATGATCTATATATATTTAGCAAAATTCAATCAAATACAAGCAAACTATATATCTATTACTAAACTCTGAATAACTAACAACCTGGAAAAAATATTGATTCTGAATTCGACAAGACAAAATTGTCCAATTTGCAAAAATAAACCTTTCATTTTTAATCGATAAGTCTTATTAACAATATAAAATCAATCTTTCTTGTTGAAATTTTGATGCAAAAATAAAAAATCTACGTAATTAAGTTCAATACTTGTATAAAATACATACTTTTCAAATACATGCTTTATCTCCAAAGTTTTGTTGGCCAGAGGTTTGCCATCTATTCTCCAGTATACTGATACATCACTTCCTGTGTGAAGTTGTACAGACATCCTGTAATCGAATTGAAAAATTTATCAGAAAATGTAGGATAGCTCATCACAAAACAATATTCAATTGTATTGAAAAATTTCCCATGCTATATAAGTGTAAGTTTAATATAGTACAACTGCTTGTACAGCAGATTGGATAAACATTTTGGAAGCGCCATTTTTGAAGAATTCTAAGATTTCTTTGAAAAACACAAAAAATTTTCCATTTTAGTTATGCGCATTAGTTATTCCATTTTAGTTAACTACCACTGCTGCTGTTTTTCTGATCCGATCTTGAACTGCTTCAAATCTCGAGTCAACCTTCTCTCATTGGTACAATACTTCTGTATGGTTTAGAAATATTTCGGCTGAGGCACGCCGCCATTAGATATAACTAAATGGCAGAGTTGGCAATTATGTTATTCCCGCCGCTTTACACAGTTCCGCATTTCTGAATATTGTAAGCCTGTTCAATAGGGGAATCCCAAGGGCCACCTGGCGGTCTTACTGGTTGTCACATATAATCACATGGGTCGTTCGTTAGTTAGCTACCAAGCTATACTCACCATTCACCAATAACAACTCTGAAAACTAAAATTCCCAACTTTATAAATTTTATTTATGCATTAGAATTTTGAGTGCTTGAACTCTGAAAACTAAAATTCCCAACTTTATAAATTTCAATTATGTATTAGAACCTTGGGTGCCTGGTACATCTGAGCTGTTTACCTACAGGATGTAAGACCTTCATGTCTAATCTCATGAATCGGGCATGGGACAAAAGAGTAATAGAATGAGGGAATGAAACACAAACAAAATATGGTTGTTAGTAATTGGTGATTGGTATGATTAGACACACTACATAATTTCGAATTCAATTAGTTTTTATGACAGTTTTATCTCATGATTATATTAATATTTATCAACTCTTCAGCAGTGTGATGATTAATTTGTATAATTGTCTTATCTAAATACTCACGTCACTTCCTTATGTCTTCGAACGACTTCATCGCCGATAAATTTTGCATGAATCGGTTCTTGAATTTCTATCTCAATGGCTTCGGACTCCATCGAACTGACATGATTTGCAGCAATTACTTTTACCAAATACCTGTATATAAACGGGCATACAATTCAGAACAATTGCTTGTCTGATCTGTAATATTTGTATGAAGTTTTGAAAAATTAGATTTTTCACATCCCTCATGATTTCGTGTTTTCAAAACGTAAAACATAATCACAGTTGTCACAGTCAAACATCAAACACACACATTGACAAATTGTATTACGAAATTGTTTAAAGACGTCAGCGTAATTGGCTGGCTGGCAATATTGACTAACTGACGGACTGGTAGACATATCTAAAGTAATAGTTGATACAATCAGTTCATAAAAGTTTATTTGAAGTTCAAATTATGCGAGATAACGGTACTTTGCTTACTGTTACGTCAACCATCTAATATCAACATGAAACGACATGGTGGCAGCCTCATGTAGTGCGGAAAATGCAGAAATAAATAAATATGCATTGAATATATATATTGGGAAAAATATATCCAACTCACATTCCGCTTTTAGTGAATCGATTGTCAATGAAATTTCTATAACTCGTTTCCGTATTGTTATCGTTTCTCAAATACCAGGTGTAATTGGAAGCTGATTGAGATGGTTTCACAAACGCCCTCAGTCTAACGGGTCTGAGAGTTGAGTAGGTTAGAGGCATTTCTTGAATTTTCACATCTGAAATTAAAAAAGATAGATGAGGCAATGTAACATTATGACTTAGACAAAAAATAAATAATTGACAACTTTTTGATTTATTTTCTAAACATCAATGAAATATGAAAAAATTGCTCGGTAGAATGATAAATATATATCTTGAACATGATTTTATTATGGTTATTTTAATATTATTTCAAATCCATTTTCTGAATTCAAGAAAACGAAAAGCACCTATATAATGTTAATATACTTCACGGTGAAAACTCACCTTCAATTGGAATCTCAACTTTAACAAAAGCCGATGTACTTTTAGAGTTCACAAAATTTTCTGCAACGATATTCATTGTTTTTATTCCAGGTGTTCTGTATGCATGTTGAACGGTTTGACCTTAAATTGAAATAGACTCATTTTATTCAGTACGTCATATGCTTCAAATGCTTGCCAGTAATTGCTTTTGTCACCAGCCTACGTTACCAGTTATAAAGCGTTACCAAATGTCTGTTGGGTCCACTCGTTTACAAGCAGCAAAAAACTTGGCATCGTGAAGCACACAATATCCACAACTGCGCAGTGATGTCACGCAACCTTTAAAACTTCAAAACGTCGCTATCTAAATTTAAGGTCATGACAGTGGCGTGGTCATGTTTAGTTAAATTCTGTGCCTTGATTCTGATGAACAGGTGATTCTGCAAAGTTGACGTAATCATTGTTTTTATCTGGCGAGTACATAGATAAAATGTAAACAATGGCTTGCTTTGCAATATGAGCGAATTTAAATGAATATCTATCTATCTATATGATTGAGTATATCAAAAACGTACCTAGAAGTCTTGTTCCGTCTCCCATATCCCATCTCACTTTGACAACTTGTCTGGTGTTAATTAGTTTGACTTCGAACGATGAAAGAGCTCCCAGAGCAACGTAAAACGTACTTTGACTGAGAGAAATTCTGGCAACCGGTCGTTGAGCGTAAAAAAGAAAGGGTCTCGTTGGACCAAATGAAGGTTTTTCAGCAGGAATTTCGGCTGATTGGTTTCCGAGGTTGTTTGAAGCAACAATAGTAATCGAGTGAACACCTTGTTCTGTACAGAATAATTTCATTATAATGAAGCATGAGAAAACATTCAGGTTGAAGTGTAAATTCTGACATCTAGTGGTTACCAGGACTGTGAAGTCAGAAAAAATTCACACTCGAGTTCGACTTAAAAAAAAAATTGGCTTCGACTCCAGAATCTTTGAAAATGTGACCCCGGACCCAAAATATCCTATTTCGCGATGACAAGTCATGTCAAATTGGTTTAACTATTGGAGCGGGGATTCATTAGGAAGAAATAATTGAAGATTAACACCTGTCGGGGTAGCCTACATTCTCAACATAAACTAAAAACCAATAAGTTACTTGTGAAAGAATATTCAATTGAAGCTTCGTTTGCAGGTCCATGTAATTTTCGTTTTGACTTTGCTTGAATTACATCAATAACTTCAGTTGGAACAGTATAGTCGCCTGGGACTTCCGGACGAAATTTAATATAAAAATAGAATGTAACTTGAGAGCCGTACGAAAATGCAGTCAAAGTCAAACTGTCGCATCTATATTCAACTGTTTTATTCACTGAATTCCTTTTCAGTCGACAGAAGTTGACAAATCTAAAAACAACGATTTAAATTAATAGAATTATAATTTATATAAAGTTTAGGAAAATCACCTTTTGTCCCATATGGGCTTTTTCTCTCATGAGTATGATAAGGTCTTTTTGTTTATATGGGACGTAATGCTTAATTATGGCGGTAAAATTCTGTTGAATTTTTTTATATTTTCATTAAAACTCCTCCCCGGACTCGATATTCAACACAAATTTTGCTATTTCTGTGTATGTTGTACGACCACGTGACAACAAGTAAGGCCAGTATGACATCTTCCCTGCAAAGTTGGAGTTCACTGCAGTCTTACCGGCACCGATGTGAATGACTAGGCCTAAGGCGTTGAAACTTGTTTTGCAATTTTAGTTTGAAGATTTTGAATACACTTTTCGTTACAAATCATCGGACAACGAATTTCAGTACAAGTCGCACAGACTATTTGTACTGCGGTTTGCACTAGGACTTTCGTGCCCATATATTTGAGCATTGCTCTTTTGTTCTGGGTTTAATCGTACCTGGTATCTCTTGGATTATAAGGTTTGTCAACCCAGACTTTTCTTATTATTTCTTGAGCCTCGATTATCAAAGAAGACTTCACTACATCGGTGTGTGAGGTCGCCCTGATTTCATAAATACCTGAAAGATCAAAATATTGTTTCACGATAAAAAAAAAATATACTGATTGGAATCCAAAATTGTGCTGTTGCACACTGTTGCAATTGGTTTTTTATTTGATGTTTCATGACCTCTTTCCGAAAAATTTATAGAATTTACCAAACATCAGGAAAATTAGTAGCCACAAGCAAGAAATCTCTGACCTACCACGCCAAAATAGTGAAAATTAGGGCATTGAGCACAACGATACCACACCCGTATGTTTTTACAACTTTGTCTCAATGCAATTCTGTTATTCTACCTTGTTGTTCAATCATGTAACTAAAATTAGCCGTGCTCGAATTTGTTGCTTCGACTGGTGAAGGCGGATGAATCATATCACGTCGCATTCCCTGAATATTCCAGACATCCCATGAGAAAAATTCAGTGTGAAAATTTGTTGTTGCTCTGATGACAACTTCGTTAAACGTCGCAATGTAATCTGAACAATTTTAGAAATGTTGGTTAGGTTGATTATTGATGCAGGTTTGTAAATCTAACAGGAATTCTTGTACAAGCATCGGAGTCAAAATTGGAACTGAAAGATATTTATTTTTAAGGTAAATCACGTCATTCATTCCTATTGTAGAACGGCATTGCACACATCATAAAGGTGTCGTTATAGTGATAATATATTGGAATGTCATAATGTGTGCATTTTCATAATTTGACTATATCGATGTAATGGACATATTTTGGTACTGCAGAAGTTCATAAAAGTGCTATAAAACTCATTATATATTATAAAAGTTACGTGAGACAAAATACATAGAAACATATCAATTGAGAAACTTACATTTGCCATCCTTTACAGTTACATCCCCACCAATAACATCAAGAAGAAGGTTCTTTGGGGCAGGTTTATGCATTACATCTGTTTTCAAGGTATAAAGTCGTTTCATCCTGTCATCGTCGGTACGGGATAATAAACTGAATGTAGCTTCGTACGATCCGGTTTGATTGTATGTATAACTTATCACATAAGACTTGATAATTCTAAAACAAAATGATTATATAGATTAATTACTTAAATTCTTAACCGTCAATTACTAATTTCTCAGTGACTACAAGTACTATCCTACTTATTCTCTTCATTCGTGGATGTAAAGTTCGGCTCCAAACAGCTAAGATCATATTCAATCGTTTTCCCGGAATCTTCAAATCTTACTGCAACAATATTTGATGATGCGTTTGTGCTCACTATGAAGGAAGATGGTTTACCCAAGATAGAACTGTTCGCCTGAATGCAATAGTTGGATTGTGATATTCCTGAACAAACTAAACCATGTTTCGACATGGCATCTCAAAATATTTTCAGTGGATGTGGTGATAGAAACCATATGACCACTACTTCGTTAAAGGTGGTAAATATTCAGGAAGATTGTGTCGAGACAGCAAGAGTTTAGTTTTTGTTCAAAAAAGTAGATGAATATATTTTTATTACAATTTGAAGTGTGAGTGGACATTTCCTATTTTGTTGCCTGAATTTAACTGAACATTTTTTCTTCATACTGGAAATAATGATAAATTATGAAACTTCCATTTTATAGATAAATATAATAAGAGAAATAAATAAGCACCTGCCGTACACCATATACGTATATACTAAACTCTCAATTAACGATATATACTCAAAACCACAGTTTTCTGCAGATTACAACGACTGATTTAGACACGTTAACGTGGTTTTAGGGCTTTTTTAACTTTAGATCTTTTCAAAAGCGTTCCAATGGGAAAGTTATTAGAAGGTATATATTATAATAAATAAATAATTAAAATGATATAAAGATAATTCATAATAAATTTTATTTTAAAACGTATTAATACCTGGACATTGAAATACCAATGTGTCTGGAGCACGGTGACACGTTGCCTTCCAGATTGTCTGCTAACATCATTGGAAGCCACAACGTCCAAGATATATTCACCAGGGTGTGGAAAAGTGTATTCCCACTAAAAATTAAAAATAAAGAAATATAATTATTGATATCCACAAACAAGGCTGCAATATTTGATGAGAACGAGCCAAAAATTGGAATCAAATCTTCCGTCAAAATACTGTCAGTAAATCAGTAAAATCAAAATAGCAAAATGTTGTCATTTTTAGTTACTTTAAAAAAACGACCATCTATCATTCAATGATGTTTTATCCTTATGGTAAGTATTTTAAATTTTTCAGTGTTTAGATTGGTCATACGTTCAAACATGAGGAAATAAAACTAAACCTCTTCCGCTCTTGAATATTCTTGATGCAGTGTTGTCTCATTCTGATACTTAACAGACCAATGATAAACTACATCTGAACCACTTTGGACCGTTGCTTTCCATACACCAGAAGGATTTTCTTCAAATGACAAAACGTCTATTCCCTAAAATAAAACTTTTTTTAGCACAATGGGAAAATGGATAGTATGCCCGCAACACTGTAGTATATAGTATGTCTTTTGTATAGTTGCTATGTAATCCTTAATCTGCGTACTTGTTTTCAGTAGCGAAAAACAAACGTGCTTGCGAAAATCAATTGGTTTAATTTTTGCAGATAAAAAATACAAAAACGTGCAAAACATTGTACTATTTATTTGCTATACTTAATCATACCTCAAGCTTTAAGGTTAAAATTTTGTCTTGTACAACCACGTTTGTAGAGTTTAAAATGGTCGATTTCCTAGTTTGTCGACTGTATGATTTAATCGTGATTTCATAAAGACCAGGTATTGTATAGGCGTGGCTAAGCGAATTCCAGTTTGAATTTGAATGAATCTTCATTGGCTCCGAACCATCTCCGAAAGAAACTGAAATAGAAGTGATCTATCTAAGCATGGAATTTTATACATCTTATTTCCGTCATTATCATTCTCATGTGTGAGAATTACAAATGATTACACCAGGGGTCGGCAATCTTTTGCCGCTCGCGGGCCAAAATTGAGGGTTGCAAGTCATTGGCGGGCCGCACATATTTTTAGAAAGTTGAAAACCAAACGGATGATACTTTTTATACTAAAAATCAAGCAGTGATACATCTCTCGAATTGAATTTAGATTTATTTACTCATTGCATCTCAAAATATTCTATTTGAATATTTTCAGCGCCATTGGACCTTTTGCACTTAGCATCAACTTTTCTGCTTTTTGTTGCCAGTTGTCTAATTATAATTAAATTATAGGCTCATTAAACGAGTAATTGTGAATTATATACTTGTTTGGTTATAATATAATTCGGTCTAAAGAATATAATCGTCAAAACGGGTGTTTTGATACTTCTAATTCAGTGAAGCGTCGCGGGCTGGATTATATTACTCCACGGGCCGTAGGTTGCCGACCCCTGGATTACACCGTTATCCTATTATTTTTTATGCCACTGCCTTTGTATTGCCGGTAAAAAGTTGCAAACTTCAATAAAACGATCAACTGTGACAAATATACACACGATAATTAATGGTTTTTGCAAAGATAAGAGTAATACTACCCAACCACAAAAATTTGGTACTTGGTAGCTAATGGCAAACTGTCGTTACTTATTTTTGTTAGAATCGTTGGTAATTAAAATAAAACAATCTGTATAGGCAAAGATTTTTGTCACTATTGCCTGGGCAAAAATCGATGTATTATATATATTACAATCATTGAACTCACCTTCGCAAGACGGTGCTGCTTCGTCAGGACATTTTATATCAAATTCACAAGAACTTTTTGTTTCAATAACGCTACTTTGAGGTAAAATCAATCCAGTTGACAATTTGCCTGTGTCACCGACTGATACATGAAAATCCGTTGCATTGTTTGTTACAGATATAACTTCTACTGACACTTTACAAATGGGCGATTGTGCAGCATACATCTCACCCATTTCACTGACGTCATATTTCAACGTGACGTCATCAGGTGAATTGACAAGCGCGATGCATTTAGGTAATTCAACTCCAAATAGCGGGGAGGGCGTGTAACGTTTGGATAAAACTCCGATAGTTTTATCTCCCATTTTTGTTACTGTTTGTAACGTCCATCTGTATAAATATCCATCTCCATTCTGTAGCTTTCCTAGCATTATCAAGAAAGTATAAATATACGCTATGTAACAAAAATTGACAATCCTAGGAAAAAGAACAGCTCAACAAAAAATTTACAATCGTCAATTATTAATTTTACAAAACTTTGGAGGTTAAAATGTTCAAGATAGTTGTTCAGAACTATTGCTGTAAAGTTTTAAATGTGAAAAGCAATTTTCACTCAAAACTCCAACAAGCCATATTTACGTAGTATAAAATATCGTAAAAATATCCTACCATCTAATTTTGCATCGTATACATATGACCAGGGCATATCATCCATTTGATTTTCTTTTGCCCGAGAAATTATATGTTTTTCGATAGATATTCTAGCATCCGGCGAAATAAATTTTGTCACAAGCACTTCTGCTTCTGATGACACAGACATTTTATCACAAGTCTGTGTTTTAGCAGGTACACGGTTACTTGCTTTCGCAACTACACGGTATATTCCCAGTTTTGTCAGCTGTGGAGACAAAATCTCAACTGCAAATATAAATACAGATATTACACCTGTTACCATTGTAAAACGTTCCACGTTTTTGCACATATCGAGGTATGTCCCCACAAAATGATTTCATCCTGTTTCGTGAGTTGCATCCATATATACAGTTGTGATATGATTGCTTTACAAGTATGTACATTTGTGTAAAGTAATTAACATTCTAGATGTATTCATTACAATTAGATTATATTGTAATTAAATAATTATGATTAAAACCAAAATAGTTCACACTGTACCTCCACGTTTGTTAAAATCTGTGATAGTTCGATCGAAAGATTCATTGCTCATCCCAAACAGAGTGAATACATTGACTGTAATATGTATGTTCGAGCCTCTGAAAAAATCAGTAACACAGTCAAAATATGGAGCAATGTAATTTATTTGTGAGTCAAATTCGTAACTATGCATATAGCCTACGTAAGAGCACATGCGGTTTCTGCCATGTCATTGCAGACTCACTAGGTTCGATTCAATATAACCAATCCTTGTACGAATAAATCATATTGATTACTACCTCAAATAGTCATTCAAATCTCAAGATTAGTTTTACTGAATCGACGTACAAAACCACAAAAACATTGTTATGAAACAAAAACAACCAAACACATACCAAAATATGCAAGTTAGTTCAATTTTTATGTAGACTAGTGATACAGCATAAACGTTGACTGCACAAGTATATGAATGTACAAAGAATAAATAATGAAAATGAAATAAACTGTCAAAAGTAGTGAAAAATATGCCACTTGCTCTGCTTTGTTATAGATTATCCCCTTCTTTGTTATAAACCGAATGATATGTTGGGAAACACCGGAGAATGTCAATAATACCACAATGAATTTTCTATGCAACCATATATGAATGTTTGTTGGGCTTATAGACTTTAAATGGAGCACTTTAGATTCAATGGAATGTACATTTGCGTTTGTTTAACGTTTAATTTAGCGTTCAAACTTGTTTGAAAGAGGATCATCAATTTGAATATGCTTTCTTATATTTCGCAACTTCACTAATTTTGATCCTATTCTATTAAAAGAATATTTAGAATATATATGATTAACTTCATCTCTGCCCATCTATGCAAGTCAGGAGAGATATTTCATTCTATCAAGTTGAGAGCGCCTTCTGTAAAATATTTTACATTACCAAACAGCCACAACTTTATTATTATTATATACCTATCAATCCATACCTTTCAAACGAGATCTTTATTGGAACCTCGGAGTTCAGATCAGCAATGTCAGGCAATTGTACTTGAAATCCTGATATTGGTTCTTCTCCACAAATTTCAACGACATCAGATGAGATATTCGAAACAGGATTTTTTGCGTTTACCGTTAGTTCATAGCATTTTGTATCAATAACACTAGAAAGTAATTGTGAGGATTCTTTTACAAATAGTTTACAAAGGTAAATTCCAACTGAATCGATTCGTACCGTAACTTAAATCCCAGAGAGGGAACATATAAACGTGTAACTAGGAAAACAGTAAATTTGAAGAACACAAATCACGTTTGTACGATTAAAAAAATATTAGCATGTTTTTTCAACGTCAATGTTTATCATTCTAATAAACTGTATCTTTTTCGAACAAAGAAATAAAGTATTGAAGAATAAGAGCAATATAATTACTTACTTGAAGTAGACGTTCCATTTGCCTTTACTGCTTTTTTCAATATTCACCATTCCATGAATATCATCTGGTGCAACATCCAAACTGGCAGACGTTCCTAGAAATAAATGATTTAACTAGTAATAGGATTTCTTATAAACAAAATATTATATTTTTAACGTTCTCTTAGACATAGAAAAAATTCACTCTTATAGGAATTTGCATATTTTTTTTTTGTATTTGGATTTTTATTAACATTGAAATATCTTTGGTTGATTGCATCAGGTATATTCACCGGCGTCAGCTAAACCAGGGGTGTACAACCTTTGTTACAGGAGGGCCAGATACAAGTAACTGAGTGTTGCCGCGGGCCGCCCTTTTATTCATGATAGCCTTTCTAGTAGTTGCAGGCACAAAAAAAATGGTTCTTTTTGGTATTGACCTTACGATATATTGAGGGTTCTTGCAGAAATGGTTGAGTTGAAATGCATAAATTTCTAAAGAAAACTGCTATTGGGTTTGGAATTGCTCGCACGTACCAGATCAACTAAACTAAAAACTCGTTTCGCGGGCACACCATTCAAAATTGGCACTTCTTCGCGGGCCACACATTTTTTCCTTGCGAGCCGCAGTTTGCACACCCCTTCGCTAAACGATTACTTTGCCGGCGCTCCGAATTCCCATTGTCAGTAAATTTCAGGGGGTTTCAGTAAGATGTATTCAAAATTCGAAAGTTGGCAAATTAATCGTTTGGCTGACACCGGTCCGTGCTCTATATAACTATATACCTCAACTTTGAAATGTTAGGCTTTCAGTAATATATCATTTTTAAAATGCTTCTATGTAAATTATGCATAATTTGTAGTCACAAATATGTTGTGAACGAAGTTTTAAAAAAAACATAATTGTAATGAACATATGATATAACTGTTGGTAACCTTACCCGCTTCTAAAGATATTCTTACAATCGCCTGTGTTCCTGTTTGAACATATTTCGAGTCAGTTTTCACGGATAACCCAGATAATGGCTCCTCAACTTGAAGCACACATGTAGACGGTGGTTGCTTGTCTGATGAGTAAACCTCGATTTTATAAAATCCTCTTAACAGGAATGATTTCTTAAATGAATATCCTCGCTGTTCAAGATTCTCGTCTTCAACCCTGAAATGATTTTTAACACCATGTTATTGAAGGCTAATAATATCGACATCCATGCAAGCGCCGATATAATTATCCGATTTTGGGTTATAAATAGGCCAAGCCCTAGACCAGCGGTTCTCGACCCTTCACCTTTCGTGGCCCATTTTCGTAGCCTAGAAATTCTGCAGCCCATGAACTTTTTCGTGCAAGATAAAAACGACAAAAAAACAAGAACTTTTTTTGCAAAAATAAACACTTTCACTTAAATAATTGAAATAAAAAAGCATCATCATTCATTGCTACTACAATCAAAAGTTAACTATAGTGACGCAAATAAAACTATATTTTTCAATAACCATAGCAAATTTTAATAGGTTTGTTGCCCACCTCAAAATGTTTCTGTGGCCCAGATGTGGGCCATGGCCACTGGTTTGAGACCAGTTCCCTAGACTAACCAGAACTAAATAAGAAGTTGGAAGCGAACTCATTAAACTTACAACTCTGACTACAACTAATTTTAACTGGAATATTTTCAGCTGAAAATATCATACATATTAACTTACCATGCGTCTTCCTCTGCAGATCTTCGAAAGATCTTCCATGTTAAAATATCAGGTAACTCGATGGTTGATGACACACTCAAACTAAACAAGATAATCAGAGAATTAAATTATTGAATACTCGATAAAATAAAACTGGCTATACAGTGATCGTTGAAATTCAACCGGTTCCAGTATTGTCCAACTTCAGGTAAAAGTTTTATAAAATAAATAACATTTACATTATACTCTTCCCCAGTTCAGTAGTATCTGGACATCGTATATTCAGTTCTGGCGTTCCATCAAGTACCTGAAGACCTGACTTGACGAAAGTAGATAGAGAATATGTTCCATTGTGAAGCTGAAAGCGTTATATACGAACAAATTAAACGAAATATTCGGACACAATTCAATTCTCAAACTGCATGCCTCAACTATCAAGAGTAATTTGAAATCTATGTACGTGATTCTTGTACTTTCAGACTATGCTACTAAACTCATGAACAAACTGAAAGTTCAATTTATAATATATAATACCAAATATAAATAGTTGTTAGAGCAAGCTTACCAGTCAAAATCACAGAATTAATTGCAGTTTTAAAAACGAATTTCATTGTTTCCCTATGCATACCTTCAATGTGACGTTAAATTTTCCAGAAACTTTATAAGAATGTTCAAACTTCAATGAGTGATGACAATTATCCCCGTATATTACATCCACCAATTGGTAACTGCAAAAAAAGATCAAATAATTTTTCATAAGAGTACAATTTATTCAGTTCTTTGCCCGCATACCGGTATATAAAAAAAATTGAAGCGATTAAAATATTTAAAGCACTCGATTGGTATTCCGGATTTTCATTTACTTATTTTGAGTAAAATTGCTTCGTTTATTGAGAAAAGACAATATTGAGCCTTGGAGGCGAGAGGGCACTGTGTAATCGAAGTTGTAATAGTCAGTTTTGATTTATTTAGGGATTTTAAAATATATTCGTCACAGATTCGAAACCGCACTCCTTTGATATAGCTTTATATACTATTATTTCAAATTCTTGTTTAATATCGCTTCTTGTCGTCAACTATTATATGTACATATCGGTACCTAGTCGAATCGAAGTCGAACCCTTCGCTCATACGAAATCCACCGTCTCTGCTAGTAAACTCTACCTCGGGATTTTGTCCTCCCTCTCCCATTGAAGTGTACGGTCCCAGCTGACCAAGGTTGTTTAAATAGTCCTCATAACCATTATCATTCGTTGTGATGCTAAAAAAAATACATTAGATGAAACACATAAAATGAAAAAACAATATTCAAACTAACAATATTCTTTCGATATATTTCATCGCCTTTATTTTATGAATTGGGCAAAATATTAGGTACCCCCGAAGTATGTAATCTGGTACACATACTACGCTCCGGTGTCCGTCATCCTGGTTCACATACTCTGGGAGTACCAAATATTAAACGTACACGGTGAGATTTATAGATGCTTAAAAACTTGGGAAATGACTCAATAATTGCAATTATTTGGGTATGATATTCAAACAAAATAAAAATAAAAACATTATTATAGAACAGGCCGAAACATGATAACATGGTCTTCTTCATCTTATTTTGAAGGACAGACGTAATATTCAATGCGATCATACTCGGAGCGACCTTCATTGCATACAACAAAGTAACGAACGTTCCTATTTACCTCCTTTTGGGTCGTTGTTTATCTTTTATCCACGAATAAAACGACATGTTGGTATAATCCGTGCTCTTTGAATCTGTTTTTTCGTTAGAAAAATAATTTTTTTCTTCGACTTCAGTCCATGTTGTTCTGATTGAATCTAAATAATTAAAATTCCATTCTAGTTCCTACTAAAACAAAAATTTTCTAACAAATGTTAGATTACTATGAAAAACAACATAATTACAAGAAATATCACTCGGAAGTGTGGTGAATGAATTTCGTTTATGTGAATGTTGTAATTTGTGTTTTTCAAATGTGTTAGCTTTTAAAAGTGCACAGTAGTTATATCAAACAATACATTGAAATCTGAAACACGAAAATGAAAAAAATCCAATTGATGAGGCTTTCTCGATACTTGTTACAGACCGTCGGTAAGTTGTACGAGGGATGTATTCTCAATTTAACATCCCTTCACTATGTTGTAAGTACAATTTTGCTAGGACATACGTAAGGCAGAATCATGCGTTGTACACTATATATATAATAATGGTAGGAGTACTTTGTACAGATCTTCTCTTTCTTCTCATATCAGGGAACCCATGTATTACAACTTCGATAGGTTGAAAGATTCTTTCTCCGTCTCCAAAATTGATTTCAACAAATGAACCTTCTTCAAAGTTTGTGACAAAAGCAGACGCCTGTGACATAAAACACGTTACTTTGATCTGAACGGAAGGGAAATGTATAAATATACCTATGATCAGGATTTCCCAACCTTTATTTTGTCGTTCACCCCTTGGCAAATTTGAAAAGTAAAAGTTACCGTCCAGTTACGGATATAAATTATAAACCCTTTTTCCAGTGTGTCCTAAGTGTAATATTAAAAAGTTTCGCTAGGCTAGACTAGGCAGCTACTCCGCCACAGCGAGAGCGCGATGACATTTAACAGAGGAACATCTACACAACAGAGGACGATACAATCCCAACAATGGCGCAATCTGCGTTGAGGTGAACAGTCACATTTGATTGGCAACATGTCTTCTTACTTGCAAAATTCACCACAGTAGAGTGAGAACCCCTGCTTTAGGTAGATTCACATATACGCAAATCATTATGTTATGATAAACAATTTACCTCAAACTTTATTGAAGCATCCTTCAAATATTGTCCAGTTTTCAGGGGAATATGATTCTGGAATAGTTGTTCAATTGGAGGAGTAGGTGTGACATCACGATCACCAAATGGGTAAAAGTTGATTTTGCTAGGAAAGTTGTTCGACGGATAATCCTCAGGAGCGTACGATCCTCCTCGTCCTCCCGTTGCTCCTTCAGATATTGAATGACCTGGTAACGACCATGGCTCTACAGGAGTAGAAGGCCCTTCCGAATTTTCAACGACTGGGTCTCCGCCCCACGTTAGAGGTTGTGCTGTAAGTGAAAGGTCTCGCAACTCGGGCGTAATGACTGAAACGGGCAAATGTGACGTCACAGAACCAAAATTATTATGTACTCGTACTTCAATATTGCACTTCCCGGACTCTCTAAATGTGAAAGGCTAAAATACAAAAAACATGAGTATAAGTCATATGGTGCGTGCTGTTTCTTGTTTTACAATGAAGCATGTGATACTCAATAATTATGTAATTATGCTTTTCAAACTGCCACTCCGTACATGTATGAAGACAGCTTGTGGGTAACTGATCGTATAGTATGTTAGTATTTTGAATATATATATATATTGTACAAAGACCGGTAAACTAACAAGTTGTAGGCTACTCTTCGAATGCATGCTTGTCGTTGTAACATCAACAAGCCTGTATATTTACTATCTGGCTTTAATATGAGTTGGTCTAACTTTTGTATCTCCAAAACTATGACTGTTCTTAAATCATCAGTTCGGATGGTCCCATTGACAATAGGTGCAGCACAAGTCAATTCTATTCCTGAGAAAGATCTTAATTAATGAAAAATTCAATACTCTATTTACCTGAGCATCGGAGTGACACACTGAATGGACGCAAGTTGGATTCATCATATGGGTAGAAAATTTCCGAACTTCAATGCCACAGAAATTCCAATCAAAAGTCAGGTTAAATCCGCTCGCAACACTAGCTTGAAGAGTAACATATTCTCCAACAAAAACTGAATCGCCATCTAAATGGGTACTCATGTTTTAAATGGGGTAGCTAACTAGCTATTTTTTTCCTAATTAACACAATCATAAGAACATTTTGACAATCCATAGTTGGAATACAGAAATAGGCAGTTTTTAAAACATCCTTATATATCTTCTCTGCCAATAATAGTGATATTTCAGCAATACTTTGAAATGAAAATAAAAAATTTATGAAATTAAATAAAAATAGATACTGGAAAAATGAAGGGGTATGAAATTTTCATTTTTTGAAATTTTCATTTTTTAGTAATAAAATGATTTTTCCAACCGCAATACAATTAACCACTGCAGTCAATAATTCTAGAAGTCCAATTAACCACTTGAATACCGATACTTATAATGAACGAAAGTGCCTTCACCAAATTTGCGTTATTGTATAAACTATAAAGCATCCTTATTGGGAAAATAGATTATGAAATTTTGCTCTAAGAGTAAACATAAATTGAATATATATATTCATCATTGGTAAACTATTCAGAATCGCACAGATTATCCCTCAATGTGAAATCATGCTGATGTTTTATTACAAGTGATTCTACCAAATATTTGAATCAGAGTGAACTGAATCATTTCCAAATACTATGCAAGTTATAATTATCGTCGCAGTTTTTTGTTGTCTTTCTATTTTGAAATTTTTGTGCCGGTAATTACTCTGTGATCGTGATACTTCATCAATCTGAAAGTTGTAATTGCGCTCATCAGCATGTGTTTAATAACAGTTTATCGTTTAGCCTTAAGCGTGAAGCTCTTGATTATTGGTATTTCGCAAGTTAAAATGCAATATAGAGAATTTCATTATAGACAATAGTAATAGCGTAAAACCTAATAGTCAAAATGATGAAACAGATGAATACCAAAACACATTTATCTATTTGCCGCAAAAAATATTTATCCATTTACTATAATCAATTCTAAATATTAGATTTATGCTATGATTATGCATTTACCATTATGTTATGGTTGTATACCTATAGTCTTATACTATAACATGTTTCAGCTGAATATCACCTTAATTCATACCCATATCTCTGTGAATGGAAAACAGTGATTTTAAAAATAAAAATCGTACCAGATGAAGTAGGAGTACACATTTGTACATTCTGTCTGTCGATCCGAATACTCAGTTCTCTTGGAATTCTTGATTCTACTTGTATATATCTTCGCGTGCTCAACGTAGATATGGTATTTTTTACTACAACGTCTAGTAAATTATAATGAGAATGATTGTAATTCTATACTCGGGCGTCAGGACCATAAACGACAAGTTAATGCCTATATATTCTACTGTATTCCGACAATAAATGATGCTCTATTGTATTTCAGAAAATGAATTATGGATCCAAAAACAGAACAAAACAAAAAATGTAGAATGAAAGAAAAAAATCTGAATAAGTGACTTGAAGTATATTAATTCTTTATTACACCTATTTTGAATTACTTACCAATAGGTTTGAGTCCCTCCGAGTCGTATCTGTGAGTAAATTCAATTTGTCCTTTTCTCCCTCTAATTATAATATTGTTGACCTTTTTCTTTGTTCGATATTCTAGATTTGCTGTTACTGTTACCGTTCGGAAAGACGTTTGTTCAAATCTCATAAGACCTATTTGTAATAATAATATTAAAAATAAACGAAGTTGAGTTGTACAGTTCAGTACATAATAATCCAAAACTCTCTGAAGATGGACAATTGGAGGGAAATACTCGGGAATATGTTGAAAAACCTCCGTGCAAAATCGTGTGGGGTTTAGACATGGAGTGGACATATGTGGTGCTAGATTTTTGTTGGGATTCTGGTTGTCGTGGTTTTGACAAATTTACCCTCCTCTTTAACTGCTAGGCTAATTGCTGTCAAGATTGCTCATTGTTTGCTTGTTGATTCAAGGACGGATGCATTATTTTTCACGCTATTATTCAGGACTTAACGCATGGAGAAGCCGGAGCACGACGTGAGTACACCGTTTCATAGGCAAATATGGACAATTTATCAAAGACATCGAAAACAAAATTGGCGCGAACACTGAACCTTGCGGTAGACCCATTTAAAGGATCTGGAATAGATTGTGAGTAATACTTCTGTAATTTAATATTATTAAGTGGATAAACATACGTAGTACGACTGGCTATATTGGACATTCAGCACCGTTATGACCTTTTAACGATTACATTTGCATATATTGCAAATGGTAATTAATTAAGTGAAAGTTTCTTTCCAATGCGCCGTGATTTTTTTTACAAAAAGCAAACTCGCAACGGTGTGAAAAGTTTGGGGGCATTTGCAACTATGAAATGACTTCTTCAGTGTAAAGGTATGTGAATGTGGTATTAGCCTGGTTTGAACCGAGAAGAATGACTTATCGATCCCTAAGCTTTAGATTAACATTGAACATTTCCACGATATATCTTCTAGTTATATTAGCGCCGAAGTGTTTTTTCTGTCTTTAACTAAAACTAAATTTAAAAACTTACCGATTTTGGTTGAAATGTCAGATGCAAGTTCTACCATCACAGTAACTTTAACTTGTTGGTTTCTTACCACCTTCTTTGGCCGAACAACAACGTGTATAGAAGCAATATAAGGACCATTGACAGAATATGCACTGACTGAAGTCGTACCTCCACATTTAAAAGCGCGATCGTTTCTACACCTGAAATTTGGGACACGTTAACAACCTAGCAAAAGTACAGCTGTATACTGTATGATAAAGAATAATTGCAGAATTCAGTATTTATTGCATGAACGTCTTCTGTTACTTTTCTGATGATCGATAGAATTTTAGCATTGAAGTCTTTGTCATATTCAAAAAATATACAACAATTTCGAAAGAAGCAGAGACAATTTTTTTTGTGTGTGTATTGGGGGGGGGGGGGATTGAAAATTGGCACACTTTGACATTGACATTGGCATTTTTAACGTAATGACATAATAATATATTTTTTTTTTTTACTACTAATAAATCCTCCGAAATCATTTAATACATTGAGAAAATTTGAATGTATATGCCGTGAGGAAATGCATATAAACTTTTCATAAAACTCTGAGATTGTATTCATCGTTTGCATTGTTGCGACTATACGTACAGTACAGATTGAGGGTCATTCATACGGCCATCAAGCCGACCGTGCAGATATCGGCTTTGGTACTGATGTTTTTTTACACAAAGTCTAGTTCAATTGAAATATCAAATAAAATGTTGATTGTTTCGAATGCGAATTCAAACTTACCTCTGATTACAACTTGATTCATACACTTTCCTTGTTAAGTATTTTCGACAAAAACATGCGTTTCCATTGAAAAGAAATGCAAATGAATACCTGAAAGTAATACAAATGTTCTCCAACTATTCTTTCGAATTGTTTATACAGAAATGTATATAACGTGCACATACATGTAGGTTACAAATTTGTTTCCGATAAATGTAATGAATCTTATGAATGTGTGACTTGATTATAGCACTACTGGAACATTTTTAAATACGTGAAGTCTTTTTAGTTTAGAATGAACGATCTATTACCAAAGGAACTGCGATTTAATTAGTTCAAACAATATAAAAAAAAAATAATAAAAAAATTGATGAAAGTTTAGGTATACATATGTTTGTCAGAGATTCAATTTAGTAAAATTCGTTTTTCGAGATTCGTTTTTATAAAAATATAACCTATTTGATCGGTCGGGAACGAGAACGCACACATCGTTCTTTTCTGTCTGTTTTGCCATTGTTTGGCAAACTATGATCCGTAACTTATTTTTACTAGAATGTTTTTAATTGACAACTATTCTTGGCTTACAATATCCTTGTACGATATTTTTCATACAGTTAACAATAACCAAACATAGACTATATTTGAATTACCAGTACCGAAGTTCCGCAAAAAAATACATCGCTTCAGCATATTAATATGTGATCCCAATAATTATTATCAGTAATATGTATCTTACTCTTTTGCGTCCATACATTTCTTTGCGCATTTTGCTGGAGTCCAGTTTTGTGATATTTCATATAGTGGTTGCCTGGATAATCTTCCGGATGTCTCTGGATCAGGTAAAAAGTGACATCCTCTATACCAGTTGGGACCTGTAAAAAAGAACCCAGACGATAGCGACATTTTTTTTTATTAGCATGCATATTTTTTCAATTCTGTATATGATCACATTTCTTTTTATCAATAATTAAATATTTTACTGAGACTATTTATAGAGAAAATCTACTTTAGAAAAGTGGAAATAACTAAAATATTTTACTTTGAATTACATCGTCACCATCGTGCAATTTTGGGATAAAAGAATAAATTACAGAGAGTACATAGATCACAATTCAGTCATGAACAGTTTTGTGGAACGTTCAAAAATAAAACTGCAGCATTGCACTTCGAAATTGTTATAACATCATAAATATTTATTTTGCTTATGTTTTTTTTTTTCATCTTCTCTACTAATGTTAATAATTATTTTTATCGCAAAGAAGGATTGAAGTGAAACTTACAGTTTAAAGCTAAATCGTATCAAGGGTATATGGAATTGTTTGATATATTTATTCAAGCAACTAAACATATTATGAATTCAATTTATGTTATAGTTTATAAATAACTATATTATGGTTGGTTAAACGGCATAAATTGCAGATATACAAAACTAACTAAATCTTTAGTCTTGGGGATGTTAGATACTACTAACTTTTTTTTTGTGTACATTTTTCAATTTGTTCAATTTATGTTATAGTTATAAATTACTATATTACGGTTGGTTTTAAACGGCATAAATCGCTGATATATACAATTAACTAAATCTTTAGTCTGAGGAATGTTAAATGCTACTAACTTTTCTTTTGTGTACCATTTTCATAAATATGTAACAGTTTAAGTCGTAAAACAAATCTATTAATGCCCAGAAAACAATAGGATCAGATTATTTTCGCAACATACCAAAACGGTTTATTTTTATGTCCGCGCTTAAAAATCACGTCTTTTGTATACCCTTAGGGTATACTTGAAGATTCTGAAAAGATTATTTTGTACTTTAACGTGTTGATAATTGAATTTCTGCCTAAATGTATGAACAAGTCACATTAATGTAATTAATTGGCTAAGAACAGGAAAACGTGTAGGGTTTCTAGGACTACCCTACCAGAAATCTAAAAGGGGGATGTATGTAGAAAATATAACGAATAAAAATAGTTCAAATACGGAAATAAAAAGTTTTTGATTATATGAAGGACTGGTACGCTTTGCTAGGGTGATATTTGTCTTGAAATATTTTCTATTCTAAAAGGTTGAATACCGCCCCAAAAAAGTTCACCTGGTAACTTCAAATATCGCAATCATACGATGACTGCAAGAAACATACATATGATATGCGCCAAGAGCTATAAAGGGCAATTTTATGTTGTGATTTCATATGACTGGACGGAGAACATGAATGTATATTACTTAAAAATTTATTTAATCAATTGGCATAAATCAATCGCTGTCCATTTGACGCTTCTATCAAAAAATAAATAAACCCACATGTAAACATTCCCTGCGATGCTATATAAAAAGTTTGATTCGAACCCAATTTTCAAATTCATTTCACTGTAGTTGCCTATTTGCAATATTGGTTATAAATTCGAAGCCATTGAATTTATTGTTTTTTTATACGAAAAAATAAAACATATATCCGAAAATCAACGGAAAAAAATTATTTCAAATATGCTTTACGCCTTATCAATCTTGGTCGTTGGTGACAAATCATATATAAAATAAATTATTATTATCCCTACAACAAAGTTAAATTTCGAAATATTCAAACATCTGAGTCATCGGCAATTTCGTTAACTTCAAACCACAAAAAGATATCCATTCGCTTCACTCATGAAAATTGAATATAACAAAAATCTTCGGTTTGGTAATCGAAAAAATATGTATATGCAAATTTTCAAACATTCAGGGAACCTTGAAATAAAACCATCAAAAAGTCAGCATATAAATCGTTCGGATTTACTCCGTGTCGAAATTGGTGTTCAATGGCAGGGAAAACTAAAATAAATTAATCGATCTTTATGTCGACGTACAAACTTCATGTACTTTTCCTATGTTATTTAAGATCGAAAATTTTCATTCTCTAGAGTATTTGTGATACTTCTGTGTTGTTTGTGATGTGACTGAATTTGTTGTAGTACGTTTGAATGAGTATCAACTTGTATCAGTACGAAAGTAGTTGCTGAACGTCGCAATAAACATATCTTAGTCTGACAACGTTCTCATGCTTTGCGACTGGGGAGTACGCGATGTGGGGGAAGCGAATGGGTGCTCTACTTTGACAGTTGTAAACTTCTTTCGTTCTATGCAATGGTTCAGTTTAGAATATTTTTTAGATATTATTGGATGGAAATCGAATCTAGACTTTCAGCAATGTAATTGTGAAAATCGATAATGAAATCAAAACTTTTCATTTGATTAAGTGCAGTGTGCCATAATCTATATATAAAGTTTGGTTGGCCTTATTCGTAGAATTTTCTGCATAAAGTTTCAAAATTTGTTTTATTCTAATATAAAATACTTGAATATTTATTTGCACCATGCTGCTATAAAGATGTTTTGAATTAACTACAATAAACAATGGATTATCTAGACTAAATTTAATCTAACCAAAGTATTGGTCGGCAGTCACTAATATATACACAAAGTTCAATATATTTTGTAAAAACCATAATATTTTTGATTACGTCTACTTAATTTATTACACGAGTAAATGTGCGTGAGGAAATACTCGGAATCCTTGGTTTCTAACCTAATGCATCAGCATAATCTGGGCTCATACACTAGTCCCTCTTTGTGGGGAGAAAACAAGTAAAGTACCAATCTCGTTGTATACTAGCTACATTCTCTCATTATCAAATTTTACCTGTTTTAGAACGACCACCAAACACTTCAGTGATAAATCCAAAATATAAAATCCAACCGATAATCGTGAAGAAACTACATGGAATACGAAACATATTTCCTTTGAATTACATCTCCGTTTGTGAATATGGTATAATCCAGAAATCTATCAACTTATGTTAAAAATAGCGAATAATCTAGTAAGCTTCTCCAAGAAACTATAGGTTCGTCTTGATGCGTTCCACCCGATCTTCAAAACAGAGATATTCTGTGTTTGTTCAATGTTTACAGTTTTAATTTGATAGCTCTAATTAAGTTAATTGGCTTAATAAATGCAGCGAAAACATGATGTAAAATAAATGACAAGGTAAACTTTACAAATTGATAAGCCTTGCTTGTTTTGCAATGAAAATATAAAAGAAGAAGAAAGCGTTTATCTGACAAAAATAAACTACCTCTCTACTAACGACCTTGACACCTTCTGTATCTCGAGACAGTCTTTTACCAGCGTTCCTCAAGTGGACAAGTTGTCGTTACGTTAACCCGTATACTACCTCCACATTTGAGGCAGCTCAGGCATAATTTTGTGCCAAAATTTCAAAACCGAGAATTGTATTCCGATATTCTGGAATGGATAAACCGACGTCCTTTTTTCGACTTTACTTTTACTATAGCAAAATTAAAAAGAAACAATAGCATTTTAAAATCGATTCCAATTTCTTCCTAAAATATTATCGCATTTCCTAATTTTTTTTCGTGCACGTGCATTCAATAAAGCATAATAAAACAATACCTAAAATAATATCGGATTCGTCGTTAATTGAAAGCTGAGGAAATGAATAAGTTGCATTTGATTTACTGGCAGCCAAACTTTTGCTTGAAACAGAACTTTTGTTTCGATGAATATATATAATATATTCAATATAATATGACAAACATTTCAAGTTTAAAATAAATATAAAATAAAAAAAACATATTTAGAATAAAAAATTATTAAACTTATATTAAATATTAAATCGTCTTTTCAATGCAACAACTGTTTTAATTAATTAAATAGGATAAAAACTGAACCGGCAAATTTTGTTATCTGCCTCATTTTTTGTATCATTGTAAAGTGGAAAGAGTTAAACGTAGCGTTGTGTGACGGAGGCTTCCCATACAATCGTGTTATCTCACATTTGACAGCCTGAGGCAATTGTCAGCTACATAATCACTTAGGCTGCATTTAACGATAACACCGACATTCTAAGATCAAATATGAAGCATAAATAAATTCTTTCAATTTCCATTGTATCATACTTGGATAGAGGGTATAAATTCTTGAAGAAAAATTCTGAGGCTAGTTCTTGCGATGAAACATATTCACTTCAATATGGTTATGTGAGTAAAGTACATCATCAGCAAGTGATAAATACCGAATGTAATATGAGCTATGTGAACAGTTCATTACGTTACGAATAAGTAGTTTTTAAACCTAATATTCTGGTGCATTCAGTTAATGAAAAAAAATGGAAAACTAGTATTGTGTTATTTAAAAAAATACCTGTTTTGTCTCTTTCTCTAACCTTTTTCTAGGATGATCGAAATAAAATGATGTGTTAACAACGATTACCTAAAATGCTATATCGTTTGCAACTCTAGGTTGAATTGTTTTACATGAGTGGTTTTAATAAGATATCAAAAGCTACCACCTTTCCAGCGGTCGAAAACGATTAGTTACTAAAAACACATATCCTATTTATGGAAATTTAAACATTGGAATGATTTTCGTGCAATTTGTTCACTTTTGTGGGCGACCTGTCGATTGACGGGATAGTTGCTTGGTGACGTGGCTTCATTATTAACTCGTGCTGAAAATAGTTCCATGATCGAAACAAATAGTTATTTTATATGGAAATCGTTTATTACTTTAACTTGGTTACTTTCATTAGGATTGAACTGTGATGTCACACAGTGCAGTGTTTACCTACAGTGTTTAGTTCAAACACAAGTGGGCGGAAACGAGCTAAGAGACTTCAATTTTTTGCCTGGAATGTAATTGAGCACTCTGCTCTTTGGCACTGCTGTTAAAAAAAATATCTTGGCCAAATGTCATCATGCAGGTTAATTTTTGCTTATATCTGGAGAATAATCCATATATGAACATTGTCAACATTTTATCGTGTTTCATTGAATTGTATAATTTATATGCAAATAGTTTTTCTCGGCCGGCATGCGTAAATATAACACTAAAGAAACTGTAATAGTAGCATATTTCGACATTGTACGTGTAATATGGTGGGATATAACAACAGCCATTTGTTTCTTTAGCAACCGTAATTAGGAGTTGCTCTTGAATGCTATGACGTATCCTTATTTTATTCATTCCAATAAAGCAGTCTCGAATTATATTCTCGCTTGACTGAAAATCTTATTCATCAATAATATTAAATTGAATTGGGATTATTTAATAAACCAAAAAGGACTAAACATAAAATGAAGTTGAATTAAGATAATAAAAATGATTGAATTTACTTGAAATTTCAATGTTATTCATGTTGGAAATCTCAGCAAAATGCACTTATCTTGATAGGCATAAGGTACCGACGAGGAGAGCAGCTTGGGATACGCTTCATCCACAGCATTAATCTTTGTATTAAGAGTGCTGGACGGTGAAGCATGTTGTAACAATTACTCACGTATACCATTCAAACTTTTGTAATGCTTTGGTACATATATTTATTTCTACATTTTATTAGAATGATAGCTTAGAATGATCCAGATCTTGCACGCTTTGAAACGGGGGGATTTAGGATCGGGGCGAGGTGTCGAAGCCAGTTCCTACTCAGTCAGAGACGTATATTTTTGAGAGGAGGGAATCTGTGTAGTTAGGATCTTATTTAGTTATCATTCATTCAATGAACTTGATTTTTGAAGAACTGTTTTGCAAAAATATCTTTAAAAAATACCATAGTGAGGTAGGTATCCATCCATAGAATGTTTAACGGTATATAAACACTGTTTTGTCGGCCGCTGACAATCTACTGGGTACACTAGTAAGCTTGATCGTAGTACTAAACTTAAATTTTTGTCATACAGACCCAAAATAAATATAACAAAATAATCCGTCCTGCCAAGAGGCCAAAATTATGAGATTCGCTAAAAGCAAGATATATAATTCGAAGAATTATAAAACATACAATAAAAACGTTTCTTCTTTGTAGTATGGCCACCTGTAAAGAGGAATCTTCGGCCAGAGTAGAACGAAGGTTTTCAAATGCTTATGTGCTCCAACCAAATGTAACATCTCAAATTGTCCCCTCTGCTCCAACGTATGAAACAACAAAACTCAATAAAAGCTATGGGACAAATGAAAATGTTTATCAAAATCGTATATGGACAACTGAGGTGAGTAATGATTTACCGGATATTTACCTAATTATAATATACATAAGCTTGTATTATCACGGTGGCTAGCATATGTATTTTGACTTCAGAGCGTCAGTACTTCATCTAAAAATAATATATTATATTATATAAATTTGTGTAGCCTACTACCCACAAGAGTCGCTGTAATATCACTGGACCTTTGCGGGCCTCAATAAAGGGTTCATTTGAAAAAACATGTTATTGATGTCAAGTACCATCTGAATCAGTGGTTCTCAACCGCCTATCCGCGCAAAATTTCGTTGTTTTGATGCCGTCTCAATCGCTTTTCCAAAACGAGGTTGCGTTGGCTTATTACGTAATTTCTCTTCCGCCGTCACATTGCGACTATTCATCGCGAATGCGCTCCATCAAATCTCGCAAAATTCAGAAACCTAAAAATCGGCACGCGTGCTTTTTCTGTTCTGCATGCTTTTCCTGATTAATATGACCATCCATATAAAACGATATGCATATTTCCTCGTTTAAACCAGAAAACAACTAAGAGCAGTATAATATTCCTGTGGGATATGAACTTATTGTGAACATGCAGGTCGTCACGAGACGCGCAAAGAGCATGGGCCGCTGAGATCTTCTCCAGTATTTTGAGAAGGCACAGTAGGGCTTTAATCTTGGTGCCAAGTTACCGACAACTTTGTCATTGTAATGTAAATTCATATCTTTTGAGGCGTCGATCAACTGCAGAAGATTTAATATGATAAATCCGATGAAAAAGAAAAAGATTGATTAAAATTGTTACTCTACTTTACAGTTCAGATTTTCAAAAGGATCAATGTCACAATTTTGAATATCTCTTGATAACGGATACCCATCGCTGAGTAAACGAGCAATCAAACTGTTGTCTGTATAGATTTAATTGTGTTTGTACATGATTTGGCATGTACACGCTCTTTATGTGAGATGTTTTATGTGTGCCTTTCTTGCACATAATGGGTGTCCGGCACTGCATTTCATTATGCAAATATATGGTATTCTTTTATGTTTCACCCATTTCAACTTTTTGCCGGCACATTATTCGATAGTTTTTCTTTGTGTGAAATGTTAATAGGTGTGCCTTTTTTGTCTAGAAACGAATTGAGTGCCCGACATTGCATCATATATATTACGCAAATATATGTTATTCTCTTCCGTATTCTCTTTTTCTGTTCCGGTAATTTAAATTGCCGGTCCGCGCGAGTACATTTAATTTAATTTTACCGGTCCTGTATGCAGTAAGTATGAAAAAAAGAGCACTATGTCTTTCCGTGGCGTGAGCCTAATAAAACAACTGTAAAAAAGGGTACGTTACAATATTTTATGCGATCAGCAGTCACATTTCACATTTGTGATTTCTTGCTTGTAAAACATACTCACTATATATATAAATAGGTAATTTTACCCCAAGGTAAAATATAGGTAACAGAGGTAAATTATACCCTGTTGAGTAACCCTGATCTAAATAATATATTCAAAACACTTTTCAAGATGTTAGATAACGGTATCTTGTGTTTTGTGAAACATATATATTGCGTTGAATTTAAGAATCCCACTCCGCAAGACACAGTAACTACGACGACTCAAGATACATTGACAAGAGAGCAAATTCCTCCTCCTCTGCCTCCGAGGCAACCGCAAATACAACAAGAAACAAATGATGACATAACCAACGAAATGAACGATTCACGTATGTAGTTTTATGTATTCCACCAATATTTTTATAAATGATATTTTGTTTAGACATGGCCATTATTTATGGGATTTTCACGACTTTATTGTGAAAGAGAGTTCTTTTTGTAAACCAGGGCTAAGACAGATCAAGCCAAACTGAAATCCTCTTGACTCGATACTTTATCCAACTTAGAACTGTCGAAAAAGTTATTTTAGGGGTCATTATACCTGAAACAGAAGTAACGCACCATATTTCATCGGCATATTTATTCACTTTTTTTGGTGTCGAAACCAACTTTTTCATTTCAATTCATATAACCAACATAATGTTCAATTCTGAGTATCCAGTTCCGATACGTCTAACAAATTTTATCAAAATACTCCCTTATGGTCAAATAGTTTTTGATGTACTATATTTGTAGTAAACGGTTTCATATGTATAATTCATTTTCCGTAAAAAATACCACGTGTTCCTCATCATTTTATCAGCTCAAATACAATTGAAAAAAATTGTATAGATAAAAGATAGTTTCGGTTTGAGCTGACTAGCACAATATCAATTTATTTATATTTGTTTTGATATATGGGCAATTATGATCAGTTTCGCTTTTTTTCACGTATTCGCTACAAACATGTATCCTAGTCCAGCGACTAATGAACCGGGAGTTTTATCAGAGTTTTTACAAGTACTGAAGCCAGAGTCCTACATTAAATTTCACGGAGTCACATTCAACATTTTGGCAAACTCCAGTCGTATTGGCAACCTGAAATCGGGAGTGTAGGTCAAAATTTTAAACTAGAACTAAAAATTCTTTTTTATTCAAGGAAGACGATGCGTCGCCATCATTGTAATGCTCGTGACAATCTGTTCGATTGGAATTGCAGGATTGGCACTTTGCCTGTACTTGAGATATTACATAGTTTTATGGTTTCTGGTTCCTATAATTATTATTGCAATTATTTCTATTGTTGGAATTGCAATTAGTGTTTTCAGGTGTCACTGTGACATTACTATAAATAGAAATGCATGAATACTGTACCTAAATATTTTGAAAGTATGTTGATTTCTTACGTCATGTCCTTACACTGCCAGTTTGCTATGGTCTGAGATTTCCGAATTTAACTTTAACAAATATGAATTTTACGTACTGTTTCAGAGGTTCATCTATTTTAAACAGAATATTTAAATAGAAGTCAATTTGTTATTATCAAGTGTGAACCAAAAACTAAATGCCAATATGCTAACGACTGTCTAATATAACAGGCCACGCATATTTGTAATATAATATAAAGATTAAATAGATAAAATAAAAAAAATTCTTCAAATTGAAAAATTATTTATTTTTTCTTGTGAGGTTTTTAGTCTCACTCATTTTACTAGAAATAGTTCTCTTAAATTGTTGTTCTCTTAAATTGTTGAAATATATATGTGTTTTAATGCAAAAGTTATTTGCGTCTATTGCCAGAGTTAATTGTTTCTTTAAAAGTAGCCAAATACGAGGTGTTGTTGTCAGGAGACGCACAATTGTGGTCCGCCTACGAATGATGATAGAATATGCTCATCAAAAACACTGTATCTAATAAACTACCTTTAATTCCCAAGAAATCACTTTTACTTTACTTTCATTTATGCTACTTCTTTTGAATATCATTACTCAATTCCAAAAAAAAAACACGTCAGACTATTTTGTGTATTGTGGTCGCAACGGCTTCAAGTTTTCATCAGAGATTGGAGAGCATTTGAGGTACGTCGACGTTGGCATAGATACGAACAAAATATAAATCGCGTTTTGTAACCCATTATGGCACATTACTAAACCCCCCAATAAAACTCAAATTTCATGGTAAAAACAAAACGCTTTGAAGTGCAGTGATTTGTTTTATTTTGCTAACAGCATATCTTTGCATGCGTATGCCCTTAGGCTTGTAATTTTATCCAAATAATATGGTAAGCTTGGCTAATACACTATCGATACGCCAATTTCAAAGCACTGGAAAAAGAATTTGAAATAATACTCTAATTTGGAATATCACAAGAGATTCCATATTTGATTAGGCCAAATATAAAGCATATTTTTATCTATGACCCATTTTTCGAATACGCAATTTCTTGTAATGGAATCCGCGATGGTTATTTAACAAATCAAATGGTATTGAGTAATCGTGGACCTCGATGTTTTAATGTTAAGCATGGATTATGGATGATGGGTAAACTTAAATCATTTTACGAACAACTTTAAAATGACAACACGTTATTTTAAGGCTCCATAATAAAAACAGCTTCTTTTTCCAAGCCATTTTTAACATTTGGTGGTAGTTCTTCAGTCTTCTCTTCACCTCCAGGATACTCCACCGGCCAATCTTCTTCACTTACTGTATCTGCTGCGTCTTCATCGTCGCCTTCTGTTTCAATTTCACTTTCATTCTCTGTTTCCGCTTCTGGCACTTCGTATGTCTCATCTTCCGCCATTCCGTTTTCCACCTCAGTCTCCGGCTCGTACTCTTCTTCATCTTCTGTCGTCATTCCGTTTTGTGGATCAAATATTTCTGAGTAATATAAACGTAATATAATGGGCTCGAACGCACTGCGAGAAAATGACGCACTGCGAGAGAATGGTGCACTTTGAGAGAATGATGCACTGTGAGAGAATGGTGCACTGTGAGAGAATGATGCACTGTGAGAGAAGGATGCATTGTGAGAAAATAGTGAGTCCTGAACCAGAACCCCAATTCGCGCAATTTTTGAAACACCAAACAGTGTACACAGATTAGAAAGACCTTTACGTGCACCGTAGCTCAGACATTGGAGAGAAAATTTCACCGATAATAAAATAATATATGTGAATAATAGTTTCTTACTTTTGCATGGATTCCTTATTGCAGGTGAAAATGTATTTTTTCCGGCGTTGAGCGAATAGCTAATGAACATACTGTAGTTTGAGAGATCGATACTGTTTGCCTTGCACTTGCTTGTAGACGGGCCTATAAGCTCATAACCTTCTTTGCATGAAAGTGTGACTTCTTCTCCTTCATAGTAAGTTTCCTTCATCGGAGTTAATACCAGCCCCTTTTCCTTATTTGGCACGGAACACTTGGGCTTTTCTGTTTGAGATTGAGGCACTTCGGTTTACTTCGAATATTTATATTTATGAGTAGAATACGAAGCGATAGCAACAGAACGATCAAAAGAGGTGAGTATAGGATATGGAACATAGAAAGGCTGATTTTGATCGATCAGAATTGGCAAACTTGGAAGTGGAATGAAACAGATAAAATGAATTTCCTACCTTTGCAAATTCCTTTAGAAACTCCAGGGAAAAAGCAGCCAGTAACACCTTCCTTTCCTCGACAAAATGCAGCTCTTCCGCACATCATCGATTTTAGAGATATCAGACTATAACCCCGAGCGCATGACAAAACTATCTCTTCGCCTTCATGATACGTTTCTTTGAGAGGTGTTACAATCAAGTTGTCCTCTTTAGGTAACTCGCAGACAGTTGGCTCTACAAAATTTATCTTTTTCAGTGGGTTTACGATTAAAAAAGTTTTAAAAGTTATTAATTTTTGTCGGGCAATAAGGCATAAATAGTTTTGCACATATCTCAATTACGCAAATACGAATTAGTCATGGCCAGGGGACATATCAAATTTTGTACGTTGCTTGACTGCTAAATCATTCACTTAGAATAGATATTAAAGGTGTTCAGAAGATCTTAGACTTTTAAGCTTTGACGTGTTTCTTTAGATGAACCTGACATCGATAATCCGAACAACCCTGAGTTTTAATCGAAATCCCTAGTTCAATCTATAGTGTGACTCACTAGCTGCTGCATCGTGTCCTCCTGGTATAAATAATATCCTTCTGAAAATAAGGGGCCAAAATTACACTATTGTGATTTCTGTTGTCTGACTTGGTGGCATTCCTAAACTCGTAAAATATGCATTTATTTATTTAATATTAATTCCACATACTTCTACAGGCGTCCCACGTGATCTGAGGATCAAATTTTCCTTCTTTAGACAGTTTACTGAAAAATGATCCAGAACTTCTGCAAGTGCTCATTGGAGCAACTCTGAGTTCATACCCATCTTCACACGAAAGTGATATCTTTTCTCCTATTCTGTAATATCCTTTATTCGGCTCAATTGTGAGACCTTCTCGTACTGGTGGACGACAAGATCGGATTTCTGCAAAATAGAGTTGTCGAAAAACATTTCTTGAACTTTGTAAAACGTGTTTTGCAAACCCTGAATTCGTGGCATCGAAAATCGTTGTAAGGAAAAAGGTAGTTTGTCTCATAACGTTGTGATGAAATATTTTGGTAGGTGTAATACACAGTAAAGACACATTTAGCAACTTTTATATTTATAGCACATTTGATGCAACATTGTGATTTATGAATTTAGTGTCGTAAATGACAAACTCAAAAGGTGTAACTACCGGCATTTTAATGAAATAAGTTACAACTTTTGCTGTTTAAACCTGTTTTTAATATTAATGAATGCATTGATGTTGCATTGATTTAGATATACTTACTCTCACAGACTTTGCTGTCAATTTGTGGTGAAAATTCTCCGAATTGTGCTCCATCGAGGTTCCATTCCATAGATGTACTGGCTTTGCAGAGACTTTGATTAGTTCTTTTGAGTTCGTAGCCTTCAGCACACGATATTTCTACTACCTCGCCAACGTCGTATGCTCTCTTTTTGGGGCTCAAAACGATGCCTAGTTGTATTGGTGCTCTGCAGCTAGGCTTCTCTGAACAATAAAAATGTAATGAATTTTTTTTTTAGACTTGAAGTGTACTCAAGGATCAATTTGTTAAGTTACCTTTTTTATTATTCTTGTTGCTGTAGACTTAATGGGTCAATCGATTTGACATTTTTAGTACTTGATTTGATTGATAATACGTTTCTCAATAATACGATTTGATACAAAGGAGACTTACTTCTGCAGATGGAGGTTTCAATGGAGGGTTTGAATCCGGCTGTAGCAATTCTGTGGTATTCTATGAATCCATTTTTCGTGCATGTTCTGGTTGTGACGTCACTAGTAAGCTCGAATCCCTCAGAGCAAGATATTGTGATGATCTCGCCCAATTCATAGTATGTCTGTTTAGGTACAATTTCCATTCCCTTTCTCAATGGTGAAAAACATCTTGGGAGTCCTAAACATAACCAGCTTGCTTGAACATGAAAATTTTGACTGGAAAGGAGACACATTTCAGCAACATTATCTCATGTAGGCTACTATTGCTTTCTGTTAACGAGTTTTCCTACAAAGCACAAACATCACAAAAAGAGATGTTACAAATGGTCAGTTGTGATATTTAAACATCTTTTTATTTTTGTTCGGAGATGTCTGTACATATTGCTCGAATAATGATTTTAAATACCCTACATCTACGACATTATGTATGTAGGGCCATCAATATCAAATCGCTTGCTAGGTAATTAGAAACATCTTTCAATACAAAAGTATACATAGCTACAGGCATATTCAAGAATATATTTTACATTGCACACAAATCGCAATTATGCCTTAAGCAACTGTTGAATTGCTCGTACCATGAGGCAAATTATTTTTAGACATCTACTTTAACCGCTTTGTCTACAGAGAGATTTCAAGTTCAAGCGCCACATTTTTTTCATTGCGATACAATCTTATTTTAAGATTAAAGTAAGCAACCGCATGCGTAAAAAATACATTGACGGGATAGATTCTCAGAAAAATTTTCTGTAGCTGGACCCAAATTTTATTAGTGAAGAACACATTTTAAACCTTTCATCCCAAGGTGTGCTTTGGGCCAATATGCGCTGTAACGATGTAGTTTTTCTGCAGTTAAATAATCAGGTCGATATTCTCCAACAATTTATTTATTAAAATGTGTTTTTTTTTGCAAAAAATGTTATTTTTGGATAGACAAAATTATGACAAGCGAAGTAAATTCAATACGATGTTATCACTACACAGGCAATCTCAATAGCTTTTGGTTATAAACTACACGGCGCTCCTTAAGTATGGGCACCAAGATGGCGCACAACCTGAACCCTAACCTGGTACACATACTGTGTTCAGGTTGTGCGCCATCTTGGTGCACATACTTCGGGAGCACCGGCCACACTTACTTTTGCATGTGTTGTAGTATATTGCTGGTCGGAAATCTCCAACTGGATTGCTGTCCAAAATATCAAAAAAATCAGCGTTTATTTCTGTACAAGTTGTTGTGCTCGGCCCCGTCATCTCGTAACCAGTTTTGCACAAAATAGTAATGGTTTCTCCGGCGAAGTATGAAGACTTTGAGGGAGTTACCTCCATCCCCTGATGGAAAGGTGGTCTGCAAGTGACTTTTTCTGTTAAGATACAAGAGAGATGTTACTCACAAAATGTATATGGAAATAGAGAGAGAGAGAGAGAAAGGGAAGGAGTGAGTTGATAACAGATTATAAAAGTACATCCTATTATCAGGGTAGGTTCGGAGTTGTATATTTTTTGTTCTTGCACGGGTCATTGTCTATGAGCAAGCCTGCATGAGTATTAGTCTTACACCAATCACGGTATAGTAATCGATCCCGCCGATACTTTTATCAATTTTTCAAATCATCCCCTCAAACAATGTGTGTGTGAAATTCGGTCATTTCAGAAACAATAATGCATGTCATTACTTTTGCACGGTATAGTAGAACGCGAAATGCTGAAATAACCAACAGGTGACACTTCAACTCCTGAGTCAATTTGCATGTCAAAGGCCCCAGTCTCGTCACACTTGCTCTTGTTTGAGGCTACCAAGTCGTATCCTTCGGCACATGACAAGGTTATTTCTTCACCTTTCTTATAAAATGGTTGAAATGGTTCAACAATAAGTCCGCTGTAAATTGGTAATGGGCAGTCTCTAATTCCTGCGAAAATATAGATAATTTGTTTAAGAAAATTGATTTATCAATGTAGTGAATCAGTTAACAGCGAAAACGTAGCTACTTTCTATCTTCAAGTACAGTATTCTGGCTTTTATCAATGTAACTTTGCATTCATTATTTTTATTTGGTTTTTGTAGAATTAGATTGTTCTTAATAGTTCAAACCCATTTTGTGAATTTCAAGATTAATTTCAACTTAGTAACCCGCCCAATTCTTCATGAAAAAGCTTGCGGGGTGTTATTAAAAAGAATGAAGATGAGTCAGAGATCAATTTTTCGGTTGGAAAGGTAGAAGAAGGTTGGAGGGTACGAAAAAACGTATAGACGGTACCTTTTGAGAATATGAATATGAATTCACAATAAAATTGACAGACCGCAAAATAGATTTTCCGTAATTAACTCTATAAAGTAGTCACGAAGCTTGAAGCTAAACAAGAAATAAAATCATACTTTGGCAAGCCTGCATTCCTTTCAATAAAAATTTCGCTCCACCAGAAAATGAATAATACATCATTTGAGAGTAATAATCATTTTTATCTCTACTGCAAGTAAGTACTTCTTCCTCTGCTAGTGTATAACCTTCCATACAAGATATTGAAATAGTTTCTCCGATTTCGTAAAACATTTTGAATGGCTCAACCACCAGACCCTCTTGTATTAATGCAGTGCATTTTGGAATTTCTATATAAAAAATATTGTAAGGTTATATACTATATTGCGCCATTACATAATATGAAAAAAGAAGGTCGATGTGAAATTGTGGAAGTTCGAACTTCACTGGTTAGCTTAAGGGGGAAATGATGAAGGAGCACACAAAAGAGATATCAGTAAAAACTAATATTTTAGGTTCTTCTCAAAAAAATGTGAGCCACTATAGTATCGTTAAAATACTTACTGATGCACGTAGTGGGACCCACAGCTGGCATGAATGTACCGTAATCCTGTAGGAATGCATAACCTTTACAAGTTGAGGTGTTTTGAACTCCAGCAAGCTCATAACCTTCCTTGCAAGAAAGCGTGATCTTTTCTCCGTCATCATACGATCTTTTGAATGGGGTGACAACAAGTCCAAATTGGATTGGTGGTATACAGGTTTTTATTGTTTTCAATTCTCCTGTAATCATGTCCGCAGTATCTGTGAGATCTGTGAAAAATTTGAAAAATCTAGTTAAAAGGATGAAGAACCAATGTTTCAAGTGAACACACTTGATAGTATTATTTATTTTAACCTTTTTTCTTTCAATCACTTACCATCAAGAAGGTTGGGAATATCAGGTAAGCTAATCGTGGGAAAGTCCGTCAATAATGCGTCTGTGTCCCCTAGAAATGAAAAATATTTTTCTTCGGTTAGAGTAATTTAACAGAGAAACAGTTGAAAGCAGTCGAAAAGTTCTAAATGTATTATTTTGATAGTATTCGTTATCCAAAAAAAAGAAGAAATAGTGAAAGATTCAATGATAAAGATTCTACTTATGATCTAAAATTTCGATCCGTATTATTTTAAATAAAACCAGTAGATGTAAGCAATTGTAAAGTACAAGCCCCATTACAAGCTGAAGAAATAATTCTTACAAACACTCTCAAGCTACTGTGTTTCTGCATCCATGACTGTAGAACAAAATTTCAAAAAAGTTCACAATCAGGGCAAACTATTAGGAGTATAAGATGGAGCAGTATCAACGTTCTGCAAGGTAATTGATGTTTCCTGTTTAACGTTTGCAAATGATTGTAAAAGTAAAGAGGTAATATAACTTTTTTAAAACTCACAATCATATCCATTTTGAGGAACAAATGGATTGTAATTATCATTCGTTCCATATCCCCCAGCGTGACATTGCACAGTTGTAAAACTCAAACAAATAAAAACTAGTTTTAAATCCATGTTGTCACTGAATAGAATATTAAACATAAAATATTACACATTTCTATTGAATGAAGAATTATAATTTACGTTGATCTCAACTAAGAAAAAAGCACTTCCTAATGCTCAGTGTAAATATCTCTGATTCTAATAATAATGGTCACAAATATTAACATCAAACTAAACTTGATTATCAAATATATATATATATATTCCAAATTATAGATGATGAGGCAAAATGCCTTCTTATGCCACAAAATAGAATTACTTCTAAGTTTATTTTATTTTATTGGTTCAAAAGTTTATTTTACAAAATATACCTGATATGACTAAGTTTTGCATCAAATAATAATAGAATAAAAATGAAATAGGAATTTGAATTTGCAACTTGCTAAAGCCCTGTTCATATAGACAAGATTGAAAACGTCAATGTTTATTCTTGAAACGACCTTGATAGGTAAAAACAGCCAGAAGCTTCTACAGTAATCCATAGCCTAATTATGATATCGTCTAACTCTTGTTTTTCAATCCATTCTAGCCGTATCTATTTGCTTTCAAGTTTTATCAAATTTCTTCATTTATATATCTTTTTACACTATTAGAAAAACACATGAAATTGATACTTTTTTTTATTTAAGGATAATTCAAACTTATTATTTATTGCAAACATTTTCTTTGGGTAATTGAAATATTTGTGTCACAATATATGACAAAGAGATAAATTTAAACCAATTTTCAATTTGAATTACAGATGAATATCACTAAATATTACTAATATTTCTTAATGTGATAGAATAGTCTTATCATTCATGTAGTTTATTAAACCGCAAAAGCAATTTTGTCACTTCAAATTTGGCCTCGGGTCCTTACATCTGTGTTGTGTCTCACAAAGTAATTTTGTGATTATAAAAATCCTTTTTGTAAAAACTCAATTTGAATTTCTTAAACCCGATTGAACCTGCCCATTTTAGCTCATTAGACGTATAGTTTGACTCATCAAATCATCGAAAATACTAATTGCTTGATAAATTATAAACCGTATCACGATTACCAACTTTAATTATGTTAATCTGTTTTACAACTGCCAGATAACCTGGTTATAATGACAGTCGTAGCTTCAATCGACTTACTCTTAATGAATGAATTCACTGAATGCATACTGTAAAATACACCTCATTGAAGAAAAAAATTAGTAAACACATAGATTCATTGTAAAAAAGCAATGTTCGTTATACACTAATATAATTGAAATTCTAAAAACTTGAAATTAATATTTTTCTAACAATGTCTATATATAAATATGTAGAGTGAACGATTTTGGGAATATAGAATATGATATAAAAAGCGTTAGTTTGATTGAAATTGAATTGCCGTTAACAAAACAGCTTAACGTAGAACGGTATAAGAATAATTTAAACTGTTAGAAATAGAACTGAAGGAAACCAGTTATGCGTCTTTTCAAGTCATGGTGGTGAGACTATCACATCGCGTATAGCTCATTGTTCAACACTCTTCTCTGTGCTGCACCAACTACTTGAGGTTTGTCTTGCCTGTAGGTTACTTAGCTGTTTATATTATAGGTGAAAGATTTTACAGTGGTGCAACAAACATACGAAAATGTTAATATATATTTTATCATGTTTTTAATCAAAAAAGATACAGAAAACGTGAATATGTATGAAAATTTAGTAACTTGAAAAAAAAAAAACTCCAGAAGGGTAAATTTTCCGTGATGCAGTGGTGAATTATATTATCTAATAACGACTTCATAAACCATAATTTTTGTATATCCATCCATGTATTTCTGGAGGCGATGAATTCGTGTCATTTATCATAACGCATTTGTTGCGTCAGCTACTTAGCAATAGTTGAATCCCATAATCCAATATGAAAGGTCAGTTGCAATCCCAAGCAGTAGTACTAGATTATTTCAAACAAAATTAGCCCATTTACACTATTTTTACAATGAAAACATGACAGCCATTTTGTTAATTTGTAATACTGCTTATTATTTACTGTTATTCTAATCTACCCTATTCGATTTGAAACACAAAATCTGAGGTGAAAATGCGATAAAATAGGCAACAGTAAAAAGTTTAATAAAATAAAATTGGTAATGTTTTAAAAAGTTTTGGAACAATACTACAAATTATATACCCAAGTTTTGTTGACAAATCAAATTAAAGAAATGATTTTATATTTATAAACTATATGTGGAAATACTTAATTATATGAATACCTTTGAAAGGCTCACGAATTAATGCATTGAAATACATATTCAATTATATTATTCAGTATAAAAGTATAAAAATAATACCCTATTCATATGAGACGGATTTATTGTTCACTAGATATATCAAAAACGGTACTCCTGAAGTATGCGCACCAAGATGTCGCACAAACTGAACCCCCAACCTGGTACACAACCTAAGTTCAGGTTGTGCGCTATCTTGGTGCGCATACTTCAGGAGGTCCCAAAAAACTATATACTAGGATGTATTAGGCGAACTAATTTATGTTGTCTTCGAACATTTTTATATTTTGTTCCAGAAAAAATCCATGAACCTAAATTATGTTTTTGATTTGTCTTCATCCTAGACTCACATTGTCTTTTTCAGAAACACTGACTGGGCAAAATGATTAAAAGTGATAAACCATTTTCAAACCCAAATAACATCGACTACTTCAGACCATTCTATACCTTAACAAACTAATCTACCCAACTTTTAAACGTTCACTGCTGTTGGCCGTTCTATTTATATTTCTATCAACTTTGCCAATTTTGTCTTTTTGCAGCACACCTTCAATCGAAAATATGGCAATCTTACCAGAACCTTCGGTCTACACAACACAGGTGCATATAACAGTATTGACAACTAAATGCATTATGTGATAATAATCGTAATAAAAATAAATAAGCCAGCTCATCAGCTCAATCACGACTCTTAAAGATGTAATAATAAATAGGCCGATAAAAAATTTCAAATACAATTCTATAATGTGTTAATATAAATGATAATTATCAAATTTGATTTTTTGGGGGAAAAGTATGAGCCAATTTTAGTAGTAATTTAAAAAACACCTGACTGGTTGACTCAGCTGATTAAATAATGAGTTATTCTATTTTAACTAATTAATTACTGGAAATCCGTCTATGTAACTCGAATGACCTGACCTAAGCACAATAATTTATGAAAGATACTCAGATAGCAGTTTCGTAACGAATTATGCAGTAACATGCAAAATTCTGCAAGATCAATATTTTATGTAGACGTTAAAACGATTGAACAAATTCCAACAATTAAATTTATGCCGTCAGCATTTTTATATTTTCCTTTCCCCCTATATCACAAAGACTCATTTTCGAGTTGATGTCAGAAAGTGATTTTATATATACATCAATTTAATGCATTTTTTCATAAATTATGTAATTTTTTCGTAGCTAACATTTGCATCTTAACGTGAAGTAAGTTATATCTATAAATTATGGTGAGTCATTCCGGTCATGCTTTTTTCGACTTAACATTTAAAAAAATATATTATATGAAAATATAACAACATATAATGCATAAACATTAATATTGTTTAAAATTTATAGCGATTTATTTTGCATTTTGCGCAATTTCAAATTCCATGAAAATTTCAAATGATGAATAGAATAAAAATTTTCAAACCTAGGAACTCAGAAAAATCATGATTTTTATGATTAAATTATTACAATTTTTCATATTTCATTTTACTATTTTCTCAACAGTGATAACATAATGTGGTTTTTAATGCCCCAACTGATAATAATCATGTAGGTATAAATACATGACGTAAAAGCAGATTGTACAAACTTAATACTGACGTCTGTTTATACAATAACTTGCCTTGTTTTAGCCTCCAGCAAAGAATGATCATTTTGCTGATCATATCAAGCGGTACGAAAAATTTTGTAAATATCCATAGGAAGCTTGTGTGTGAAATATTATATTTCCAAATTTTTTCTTTGTCACGATTTTTTATCAATCTCATAGGTATTATTTTTATAGAAAAGTATGAAATACAGTAATTCAAACAAATAATTTTGATATAACAATTCGTATATATTTTAACTTTGTCTTATGCGATGCAAAAAACTACGTGTACCATTTTTTGATATGAATAAAGTATACCTATAACCATAAAATATCACATAAATCATTACGCATAATCAACCTAATTCCCGTTGGTCTTGATTTACGTTTATTTTTGTGGTAGCGCAACTGCGATACTGCTATGGGCAAATAAAAACTTTCAGAGAGGGCGCTGTGGATTCGCGTTTGTTTTGTTGAAATGCGTCACGTAAACTAGAAATTTCATCAGCATTGTGCAAATACGCGGTTTATATTTACTAACACATTCAGATGAAAAAAATTCTGATTTGATTATGATTCGAAAACTGTTCAGTTCTAAGTTTTGTCATATCACTGGTTATGGCATATTCAGAATAAGTATCAGCTGAATTGAACAACAGTGTCCTCTTTAAAAATAGATTTTGTTAATTCCTGTGCATTCGCAAAATACTCTCTTTATTTTCCATTATTTGATAACGTTTCCACGTATTTCAACTTCCTATTCAATTAGATCGTGTCATTTGCATTTATTGTATTTTCAAACCGTTAGAGGGCAGTAAAAGCAAAATATTATACTAATATACAACATTGTGAAGTTTTTTTTCAATTATTGGAGCCGGAGTTGGAATTTCAGATTTTTTAATGATGATCATCGAAATCAGAATTTCAGTCACAAACTTCAAGAATTTTGTGTTGGCTTGGGTAATTTCACTAGATAATCAAAGAAGGTATTCTTATGCGTACGTTATATTGTCTATGTTTGGATTTATTGAAGCCGGATGCGGATTCAACATTTTTTTCTATCTTTATTCAATAGTCGGAGTTGGAGTCAAAAATTTTTTTCACCTAGAGTTGGAGTCGGAGCCGGAGTCGTTCTTTCAAATGGTTTGGGGTCTGATTCTGTACAAAATATCTCCGTTTCGACAACCCTGGACATTATGGCTCGACCATAAGCGACGTGATCCTGCGTCATGATGCAAAAAGCTGACGCAGTTATGGCTTATGGGGAGGGAACTGAGTCGGTCACCACGAATTAAAAGAAAACGGATGTAGGGATTTATGTCCTTATGTGATGTATTATCTCATAATTTTTAATTTAGGAATAATATTACCGGAATATTTTTCAAAACATTTCAAATAGATAAAATCCAAATCCTTACATCGCGATATCGGTGCGATTTATCAGGTCGTAAAAGTGAGGTTATGTAATTCGATGATAATAATACACAACCTAAATATTGAGAAACACAAACTACAAACTATATTGTTTTGAATATTGAAATTATTTTAAAAAAGTAAATAGAATCCGTACTGCCCCGAATCGTTGACTTGTTTATTATGAGATCATCTTAGTCTGGAAATCCCCGCCTACTCCCATTATGACGTCATTCATTTTCGCCAGACCGTGTAATTCATAAGGGCTCTTTTTCACGCCTCATTGAAGGAGGCGTGTACTTAAATTATTTATCTCCACAACAAATAGAACAAATAGAGACTTTTGTTTAATCAAGACGGATATCCACGTGATTTATACCTGTATTAGAAAAAGTGTTTATATTGAGTCACTCCAACTAATGAAAATATATCTCTAAATTTACACACCCGTACAAAAATGACGAATAAACCTAAAAACGAAAGTAATTTTTCCTAATTTAAATATGGCCCAACCTTCACTAAATGATAAAGAATATTATTAACTTCTATATGGAAAATGTTGAATATCTTGTGAACTGTCGACCTTAATTGAGTCGTCTATGCCTTCATCTTTTGTAAAATATTTACATACCATATCATGGTAATTTAATTTAGCTATTTGATTTAATCAAAACTTGACTTGAAATAAATGAAACATACATTTTAATTCAAAAGCGGTCTCAGAATGATTTTTTTCGCTTATCTTCAGATAAATGTGACACACTGCTTTTTGAAATTTTGTGATATTTACACAAAATAATAAAAATTTACTGGATTTTGAAGTTTATAATAAAACCGGTATCTTGATAAGATGAGTAGATTATTCATTGGGCTTTAAAGACCTCTTGAGACGGTGTGAGTAAAATGCGAATGACGGAACGCGTAGGAAGATGAAAGAAATGGAATTTCATACAGACCATATCAACCTGAAAGCCTCATATCAGAGAATTTGAAATCTTTAAATACATGAAGTAAGTTTGGGCGTAATGCAAACACAATTTTGTAGCCTTTTTTCTGCAATGCTGCCAAAATCAAATGGACACCAAACCCCCCTCTCCGCCGTTATAAATTTTCATCCCCACACCTCTGGTTTAAATAATTACTATTATTACCTTAAAAATATTCTTGTTGATATAATAATGCCGTGTGTATTGGTACGACATACCATTAAAGGTTTACTCATGAAAACAGTGGTTATTTTGGCCAAAGTGTTACCCTCGGTGTGTACTTTTTGTCGTTTAATGAGCTACTATCGTCCCAAACCAGCTGCGGATAATGGGCAACACAGTTATGAAAAGTTTCCTGGTAATGAATAGGTAATTTTTGAAATTTTGTTTTCTTTTTATACCTCATACTTGTAATTTTTATTTTCCAAAACCAACCAAATCGTATTTTTTTGACAGAATTTATTACTATAAATATTCGGTATTTCAGCGCAATTCATTTGAATGAATCCTAGTCGAAATATTTTATTTTATTGAGTAATCAGTTAGACCAGTGACTAAAACAGATTCGATCTGACGTCTGCAACTATTTGGAAGAAAAACTAAAAATTCAATGTACCCAGATTTGTCTTTCACTGGTATTATGCACGAAATTACCAGTGAAGAGTTGGAACATGGTATAATATTAAGGCTGAAGGTTTTCATGTGAACGAAAAGGAAATACAATCAAGCGATCATTTATTTTTTAGTAAGTCTGAGCATTTTATTTAGGTATTTATTTATTAATGAGCATAGAATCCAGGAGAAATTAGTCTTGGTTGCATAACTTGAGTTGTTCTGGTATAGGTTATAAGAAAAATAATTCTGTAATAAGTATTCCAAAAACGCAAAATAAAAAAAATAATACTCTGAGAATTATTCAACTTCTTTGAAAAGTTCAATGCAGAATCGTCTCCAAAATAACTTTTCACAGTGCCAATTTTTGATTCTAAATTGATGGTTTGTAAACCCATTTATCAATCATGAATACATCTATGAAAAGACCGGATAACAGAATACATCGTCAGGGTGAAGAGTGTCAAAAATCTTTCGAAAAATATTTGCTATGGCCTAGCTTTTAATCACCTTTAACATTGCAAAATATCCTTGAATCATGCTTGGAACCATACAGATTAAAGGTAAAAGTATCAGGTGTGTCTGGTTTTAAAAATAAGCTGAATTTTGACCTTAGTCAACCCTGGTAATCGTTGAAAGCCTAAAGTACTAATTATGTATTCATAACCATCAATCCGTTGACACAAACACTATTGTTTATGATATTCTGTCGCGACTCTGGCATGCGATCTCTCTGCTTTCGTGAGGGAATTTGAACAGATAAAGAATTCGGGTGTTTTTATTTATTGGATACTATTTTTAATTTGTAATTGGGGTGGCGGATGTTTTGAAAAATATTTCATATTTAAAAAATATATATATTCTTGAGTGGTAGACGAACGACGCAGCAAGACTTTGATTTTATTGTAACAATCAATATTTTTGATGCTATATATATTATAATATGCTAATATAATATTCCATACACTACAGTAGAAAGATATTTCATTTTAGCTCTTCAAACCAGCCTACATTAAATCGAGTGAGACGGATTTCAAAGCACGATATTTGTATACCCAAGAAACTTGAACAAAAAGTATTCTGCAGTGTGTATGACTTATAAATATGGAAAATCAAACAACTCTTCTTTTATAAGGAAGATAATTGTTTTCAACTTATTGTAAGAATAAACAATCTCAAATCGGATTCAGAGGCGTTGGTACTAACGTTTTAGACCACCTATACAACAATATATTCCCACATTACAGTAACTCATTATGGTGATCCGCTTTTCGAGTTTGTCTTTATGTAGAAGACAAGTAACAAAAAGATAATATGTTACATGTTAATCATTTTTAAATTACTGTATTATTATTTTTTTTGGATTTGTCGACTAAAAAATCGTTAAGATTTTTTATCTGTAACGTTATCCATCTTTTACTTGAGTCCATAGCTTTTGTAAGTGTTGACATGTTTGACCCAATTTTCCCACTTTTACTGCGGAAGTCACATTTTTCTTAAGTGGTTTGTAAAGTATGTTTTGTGCTACACCAGATTATTTGTAACTTTGTCAGGGGGATTTTATGTAATCTTGTTTCAGAAATGGATAATCCGAAATCGGTCACAAAAGCTATTAGAAATAATGTAAATTGTAGTAAATTTCAATGATTTTCAACGCAAGCTTATATTTACTTAAAATTTGAACTTCTTAATTGTAACGCTCTTTCGTGGATGTTACGTGGTATTATCTCCCTATTCGCAATTTTACAGCAAATATAAAATGATTCAAATAATATCGTAACTTGCACATTTAATTTACATACAATTTTGAAACGCGTGGTACCCGTATTTTATAGCAGGCTACATTTGTGCCACTCTGTTGATTTGCTTGTATAGGCAATCGGAAAAAATTGTAACGATTACTTTCATTTCATCGTCAAGATTTTGAGACCTAATATTTAGTAAAGCATTTACGACTACAAATCTACTGCCAATAATTGAAAATTGCATCGGTGGTTAGAAAAATAAACATGAACTATGAGAACTATGAAATAACCATAAAAATTGAATTTTTATTAGTAATTTCACCCAATCGTATGAACAATTCTTCATCAAGCATGATTCATAGACGGACCGCGCTTCAACGGCGCGTTCCATCAATGAATTATCCTTGGCCGTGTATAATGCCTAACATAATATCGCATTGACGACAAAAGAGAAAAACCATAAATCAAACGATATTCTTCGCCGTCGTTGAGAGCAGTTCAAATATATATATAGCGGGGTCCCATCTGCCTAGCAGTTAGTCTTAGTCTAGCGCTCTTCAATGTCGGTCGGGAGCGCAGAGAAGTCGACCAGAACTTGAAATCTGGGCTGAGGTCTATATCGGAAGAGACGCTTGTGGATAATACCAATTGAAACTATATTTATGCGAAGATGTCGCCTAACGCAGATAGTCTACGAATTATGGTGGTAGGATCGAAGCACGTTGGCAAAACAGGTATGTAGATTTTGAAACTTTACTTCGAGTTTTTCGGTTTCGATTTTAAGTTACATCTTTAACATTACAGAGAGGTTGCTTTTCATAGTAAGAGTACTATATTGTTTATAAAGGCAATGTAGTAGACTAAATTTCGCGTAATTAGGCCGGGTGAATATTCATCGAAGTACCGGTAACCTAAATGTTAAATCCCATCTCGTCTAATTTACAGACAGACAAGCATTGGTAACAGTAAATACAGATTGGTTTTGGATGCAGCAATTTACCACAGATCATATTTTACATCTTAACTATATCTATTTAGCGCTGAAGCTCATAAGTTGTTATTGAATAATACTTCACACTTTGACAATATATAATTGGCCGAAGTAATACATTTATGCTGACTCATAAGTGAAGATATTATTGAATTGTTCAACTTACAAGCACCGCGATTTTAAGTTGTCGTTTGACAGAAAAAGAGATTCCCGCAGTATGTACATACATAACATTTTATTGTGTTATACAAAATAAAAATTGATTGCCTAATGATGAGTTGCCATCCGTTTTTTTACAAAAAATTAATCGATAGTAGTATATCTATAAATCAGCAGTATCCATTGGTAGAGTGAGTGCTATGTGGATATTAATTACATTGTACTATACAGTACTTATACTAAACTTTAATACTGTTCATCTTATCCGTACAGTTGAGGTTAGAAGCTTTCTTGTACTTGTATAATGTAAATATAGCGGTTAAAAATCCTACAAGTGAAACATATGAAACAAACAAAAAGCCGCCATTGATTGTTTTCTGTATTAATACTACAGAAACGCCCACCCAATGTACACTTCGCTTTAAAAGATGTGTCACTCGCTTACAATAAGTGTGACATTTTGACAAGAATAGGTGTGTCCCTTATTTATATATTGTCTGTTACTGAACTATTTGTTGGCAACGTTGATAACATGTTTGGCTGGATATTTAAATAACCAAAAATCAAAACGAGACATAGTCTCTATAGAATCATGATCATGTATACCTTATGTTTGTTCTGTGTATTATACACTCTATTCTTCATTGGCAAGAAGGCTTGTTTAGTTATTTTACATTCACAACTGATTGGATTTATTTTTCATTTTACCAATCATGCTTGGTCAATGGTTTTAAATTGCATGGAGATGTTTAGTAATATTTACTGAATATTTTTCTACAGATTCCTATGTTAATATTAAAATTCCATATGGAATATTGTTTGCTTAAATGTTACAAATTAAACAATTCATAAGTTATAAGATAGTATAGTGTCGTACATTCAATACGATAGACCAAACGGTTTTCACATGTTTTTACTTTTTTGGGTTGTGTTTTCAAGGTTAACAACTGTACAGTACAAAATCATCTACTGCCGAAGTATATGAATCAAGATGGCGGGCACCGGATCGTAATATGTTTACCAGGTTAGGGTTAGGCCATAATTTCAGGTGAAAATACTACGGGAGTCACTTGGCTAGTCCCCGAACTCGTAATAGAACTAAAATAAGGGAAATTGGAATAAAATTATGGCCTAACCCTGATCTGGTACACAAACTACGTCCCGTGTCCGCCATCTTGGTTCACATACTTCGAGAGTACCCAAAATCGATCACATTTACACCGTAATATGCTCAAATTTAAGACGGATTCAATTATAAGATAACAAAAACATTGTAAATTTTAGCGCCATGTTAAATTCAAAATTATTGCTGTACCATAAATAGTGTGTATGGATACAATCGTACTGAACATATTTTCAACTCAAAAATTAATAAATAAATATCTTCATTCTTATAATTTTATTTCACAAAAAATCACGACATGAACTCCATTTGAAAAATAGCGAAATTCGTTGAATTTATTAATGCTATAAAACTGGCTTGAGAAGATAAAAAGCCCATATGAAAAAAAAATAGAAAGTGGAATAGATTTACTTTTTGGAATTGAATCACCTTTCATTACAAGTATGTTTTGTACTCTTTCACAATAAATTTTAACAATTCGACTTCATCATCTAGTCAAGCTGTTATAAAACAAACACGAAAAACAAAAACATGAAAGCATAGAATTGACGTATAAATTTTTCATAACGTCATTTCGAACAAGTTCGAACTAACTAATATTCAGTCATACTATGCGTAGACTACTATTACTCAGACTATTTAAAGGATGCTCCTTGTATGTCCCAGTATAATTCGTGAATAATCGAATCTGAGAAAGTATAAACAATTTCTCAATCAAGTACAGTCCATATTTGATTTTTTTGCAATTAATAATTCAATAAAATGATGTCATTCATATTATATTTTACAGCATTGGTGGTCAAATATTTGACAGGACGATTTATAGGAGAATACAATTCAGATGTTGGTAAGAATATCAATTATATTTTATGCAAAACAGTATAACTAGGTTGGATGTACTATCTAACTATATTCCACACCGAAAATATTATGTACGTATCATCTAAAAAAATAAATGGCCTTCTGTGTATATGATGTACATGAACTTGTCCATGCAGTACATACTAACAAGGAAACTTCGAATACTTAGCACAACAGTAATTGATAAAAGCATATTTATATATCAGACATTAAAAATATTTCAAGTCACCATCAATGGGCTTGCTCTAAACTTAGACGCTTGCTCAAAACATAAACAGTTTAAAACATAAACAGTGTGTAAAATGAGGACACGATTAAAAAGAGTTTAGAAAGTAAAAGTGCAATTTGACAGTCTTTCCTCGTTTGCGGAGCAGATAACTCGTGTCTTCCAATATTGTTTATGCTTAGCTGGGCGATGGATATTACAAATAATAAAGTCCTGATTCTCGTTGGTAATTGGAATTACCAAACATTTTTAGTTATTGCGTCATTTTTCTTCGATATTCTTACACATTCTCATGAAATATTTCTCGCCAAGCATAATTCAGAGCTGTATTTGTTACATATCATGTATCTTGGATATTTTTATCATTGTATATTATATGATTTCCAAGGTGCATTCGACAGTATTTTTGAATCTCAGGTCTAGTTATACCTACGTTTTCAATATAATGCCTGGTAAATATTAGAACGGTTTAGAAATTGGTCACTTTTGTCAGCTTGTATACGCTATGACTAACACATGAACCAATATTTAGCTAGAACTCATAAACTCCCAATTTTTACGAAGTAGTTAACGACCGGTAGTATTCTATGAGTTTTACTATGTCGGTTATATCCGAAAGCAATACAAAATTTCCGATGTAAAATTGATATTTATATGTTGTGGGAGGAGTTATACGGATAATTAAAGCCTAATCCGGAAGATGACTATACCATATACCTGAAAAGTATTGTATTTTTTAATTTGGTCAAGCAATCAATTGCTATTCGGAACAAATGAATGTATTTATAGTCACCATCTGATATATGCCAAATTTACAGAAAAAATGATATATTGCACATCAAAACCATAATTATGATTACGTGCTTTCATAAAAGAGTCTTTTTCCATAACATAAATTTCAAATTTTATTCAAACTTCGTTATGGCATCGCTGTGCTAAAGGAAGGAACATGCGTCACCGCCAGTTTGAGAATATAAAAACTCCTACAGATTTGTATTATCAACTTCGTTTGCATGTACTGGTTATGATACTGAAAATTATGCCAAATTAATAAGACATTCATTGGCTTTCTAAGCTAGAGATTCGGTATGTTGTGAATGTAGTATTGAATAATATGAACATGGAGAATACGAATCTATTTAATTGTCTGTCATTGATTGATACCAGACAAAAGTTTTATTTTGCGATGATTTTGTCTTGGCTGTGCTTTTATTTTGAATTTGTTTTATAGGCAAGTTTGTTATAAGGGCACACGGACATCCCGACAAACAGTACGATATAGTTACTCATTGTATTACACTGTAGTTTATTGTTAGCAGCTATTTACAAAATATAACACTATATGTGTTTTTATATTCGTAACAATAAAATTTTGTTGTGCCGTAGCTTACTCTATGCAATCACCATTGTTCGAGTATTAACCGTGGATAATATCTACTATCTAAACGCGTTTATAGTTGGGCCATGATAAATATTTTTGTTGCTTATATATCAATATTCATAAAGTTTTATTGGTGCAATAACGCGAATTACATTTCATGTCAAATCATATCATAGATCCTTTCTCATTACTTTTTTATTTTATTATTGGCACCTATAAAATTATTCACTATGTACTTGTATGACATCACTTTAATCATTGACGCCACCAATTTGCATCCAGTCATATAATTCTGAATAACGTCATGACTTACGTCAAATGCCCTTTCTTCCTTATGGCCTGCTTGTCAGTAAATTGTTGATTTTGTCGCTTGGTTCTTGGTATCTGAAGAACTTTTGTTTTGTGAATTCGCGATACAATGATCGCTGGCTTGCATGTTCAAGAATGTCCATCTGTAAAGTTTAAATTTCAATACCAACTTTTTGCGTGAAAAGTGTTTCTTGAAACTTTGTTTTTGTCGAATTTGCATCCACCGAACAGTTTCTCCGTCACAAGGAATTGGAAATGCGTTAATCAACTAAGTATCTATCAAACAATGACTAAGTGGCAACAATGAATCCATATTCAACTCTTTGCTAGTCTGTATTTGGTACTCCTGAGTATGCGTGCCAAGATGGCGGACACCGGAACGTAGTATGTGTACCAGCTTAGGGTTAGCCCTAATTTTTACCAATTTTCCTTATTTTAGTCCCATTACGCGTTCGGGGCTAGCCAAGTGACTCACGTAGTATTTGTACCTAAAATTACGGCCGTACTACGTTCCGGTGTCCACCATATTAGTACGCATACTTCAGGAGTACTCTGTATTTCACTTTGCCTTTTTTGAAATTCAGTCATCTTTCATTTTTAATTGAAGACTTCTTGTAGCATCGCAATGGGCGAACTTGCTTAAAAATATCATTATTGGAATGTTGTATAATTTATAATACTTTAAGTTTCCAGGGCATTTCGTGGAGAAAAATCCAAAGTTATGCATAATCTAGTTGACAGACAGTCTAGATTGCACATACCCTATCACATGCCTCCAGTCACTTTACGGTTTTTATTCACAGACCTACTTGTTATGCTAATAGGCCATTTTCGCAGATGTTCAACCAAAGTGTTCAAAGCGAATCGATTTCCCGCTTTGTCAAATTCTGAATAATTTTAAACTCAAGGAAAGTGGGAAAGTGAATAAGATTATGCTTATTATGAAGATGTAGCCATATTTTCTAACGGAACATGAACCATTTTCTAAAATTCTGATTATATTTGTAGTTGTAATTAAACATGTAGTATAATTAAATTACTAAAATATTTCAACGTATAGAAACTTTGCACAATAATTATTTTTTTGACAATATGGCCTTCTACGTTTCTTATTTGGCACGATATCGATTAAATTTTCCGGTACTCAACTTGATGCATGTTTTACGAATTTTCGATTAGATAGGGTTACATTCAAGTATTGGAAAATGTCTTGAAACAGCGTTCAACTGTTATATCAGAACTTAACATATGCAGTTACTTACATATTTTGAACCCCAGGCAAATGTGATCAGCACCCAATCCGGAATTAAAATTTTGATGTGTAATAAAGCAATAGTCATGCGTGCTTAGTGCCTTTGTAGAGCAAAACGCTACCCTAGTATTTATAATTATAAACTTGATTTAACATTATGTATGTAAGTCCCAAGTGTGGACCTATGAATCGTTTTGTTATTATTATGGGGTTGTTCTTGTTGGTATTTTTCTTCTTGTTGTTATGTGAAAAAAATTTGATTACTGGATTATATATCAGTCAGTTCTATTAGATTCTTTTTGTGTGTGTGTGTGTGTGTGTGTATGTGTGTGCGAAGACATTATCAAAATTAAAAATTGCGCACCTCGTGGCGGTTCCGCACTCGCGGTCGTTGATATCTGGTAGTCAGCAGGCGAAGTCGAGAAGACTACGGTACCGGTAATTAACTGTAAAAGATCCGATACGCATACTACATCGTTTTGGTCCTTGTGTCCATATATTTGAGCATTGTTTCCTTGTTGGTGATGTTAAATTGTATTGACAATGATTTTTATCCCTTCCGGAAATTCATTTTTCTAAACTTTATTTTTTCTTATTTAATTTATTTTAAGTTTATACCAGTCAGTATAAAAATACCCTACGTCGCAAAACTGTCCCCATTCAGTTATCACAATGTTCTCCATTGATAAGGGTTTCTGTTCAATTCAATATTTATCAAAAGGGCGCGGAAAATCAGCACTTGTACAAAGCTATCGTTTGACCTCAAAGTCGGTAAATAAAAAGATCACAGGAACAGCGTGGGTAGTATTTGTAGTTTAATGCCACAAAAGTACAAAATTAAATTTTATTTCACCCATTCCAAGCTTGATCAGATCAGATACAACTATAAAAATGCTTTCGTAAAGTTGAACGGGACACTGTTTAAAAAGTTGTAAATTGATTTGTAATTCTAGACTGTTAAAAATATTGTATAAAAAGCTAGATTAGTGGCTGAATCATTTCTAATGAATGTGCAATCTTTCTAGTACATGATTATTTATCGACCATACTTTTTGTAACTAGTGTCACAATGAAACCATATAAATAACTGTCAAATGCTAGACAATTTTCCGCGTATTTGTAGCAGTGTTGTATAGACCGGTAAGCATACTCATTGTTAAACGTTTATCACTCGATTAAGCGATTTATAAATGTCATTCATTGTAGATTAGTTCTTAATATTTGTAAAATCTATGTTTGGTTTGAAATACCACAAAGTTAAATATAGAATTCAAAGGATAAGATAATAATTCTGATAAATTTTTAGAGTAAGTATGCTACCACTTTCCTGTGCGATATAATACCATCACGAGTTTATTGTTTTATTCAAGCTATTGTGAGGGAATTACAAAAATGCCCATTTCGATCTAAGATACGATATCGTATATCATTTCAATTTGTAAAAATATACGAAGGAATAGGTTAAATTGGTGAAAATCTCGTAAGTTATGCTTACGCGAGGAGCCTACGAGAATCGTCTGTCTGTCTTCTCATATATAATGACATAACAACCAGGAAAAGTTGGCTTTAATGCTGTCAATTTGATCCAAAAACGTTTCTTATCTTCGCCTGCATAATATTCATTAGTGACTTGAATACTTACCGTTGATGACATTCAATATTTTATGATTGACAGTGATGGAAATGCGATTTTACGTATCCTTACCTGGTTAACACACTGGTCATTTATTACAAAAGCTTTTAGGCCTTCCAACAACGTAACCACTTGTCACATATTATCTGAGTTAAAAAATATTAGGAGATCAATTCAGATTCAGTTATTAATATTGATTTCGTTGTCGAATTTAATATCACAATGTCTGTTAGTATAAAATTAAAATTCAACTTGATAATGGCTTACCAGTTGTAGAAATGTAGAACTACTATTTCAAAAAGCAGTGTAAAATTGCAACAAAAAATTCAAATCGAATGTTAGAATTTACAACGAACTAAAACTAGGTTGGGCCACCATATTTTGCAAGGGTATACATTCTACGCGATGATACCAGTCATACAGGTGACTTTTTCTCGCGTAAATTATTTGCTAATAAACGTTTGTCGCTTGGGGTGTTATAATACTATCTCTACAAATCATTATATTGCGGCACGAATGGCAAATAAAATTCCAGGGAAAGTCAATATATGGGCGACAGAATGTCTACTTCAAAAGTTATTGCCAAATAAAATTATTTAACAAAAGTAAATCCCGTCTCAGCATATTATCGTTGTTCTTGTCTCAAGTACGCGATGGAAAAATTGATGCCAATATCTAAAAATGCGTATCTTTGGGCTTTTATACATTTCTTTTTTGTTTCAATTATTAACAACATTTGTTTTTCAACCTTAATTTGAAAACATTTTTTTGACATATTTTTTTAAAACTTTCACCCAAAAATCGAATGGTATTTTCCGTTCATCGGATTCTTAAAAAATTTACGTTTTGTTTTTTACTTTACAATTATCTATTTTGGGTATTTTCAACTGACTCATATTGTTTTAATTTTTGATGTATCGTTTAGGTTCAATATATCAAAATTACTCATATTTTTCATTTCAACCTCTTTAGGACTTAAAAATAGGATACCTTGAGATTTTTTTATTTAGAAAAGTGTATTTGCCGTAAATTTGCTATTATCTGTATAAGTCTGTCTGGAAACGTACCCAATTATTCCTTCGAAAATCGCGATTAAAAAAAATCAGAATACTCAAAATAAAAATAGAAATCTCTTAATATTTTTATTAGAAATAGTGTATTTTTATATTTTGAATAATCGAATGCATCTTTTCTGTAAAATTTCCCTTTCGCTATAAATCTGTTTTAAACCAACCTAATTACTCATTTGAAATTCAAAATGACCAACAAAACAGAATTCTTGAAACATTAACTACTCATAGTTTCTGCAAATCGACCAAAGACAAATAAACTCGAATCTAAAATGCAAGCAAACATCTGTGGAATTCAACTTCTTCATAAACAACGTTTTATCAGCTGATTCAACCTCAATATATCTTATCGAATTGTCAATAAAAATATTTGCTAAAATTTATCGGGTATTTATTTTTCAATTAGTTGTTTGACCAAATATTGAAAGCTTCAGAGTCCTCAATCAAATCATGGCAGTTTAATGGAAGGCAACAACCAAAGGGTTTGTTATTATTGGAAATAAAAGGAACATTAAAATAAGTAACATCATTGATGCGTTACCCATGATTTTGTGAATTATTTTATTAAATTTAAAACCTAAAGTTCAATTTTAAAAATTGAAAAAACACAATTATGTATGGCTGGTTATCACTTGAGGAAACGTGGTTTGGAACAATTTATATGTTTTCTAGTCGAAACACATTAGGCAATATATTCCAAATGTGGTTTTCCGCTTCTTCAATCTTAATTCAGAGAACGTTATGGTTTTGCGCTCTCTCACAAGTGGAAAAAATTAGTGAAAAAAATTTTTTATTTCATGAGTGTAACGCAAATGCTGAGAGTTTAAACATTTTTATGAATATTATATTTGTTTTAATTTTTCATTGCTTCACTACCAAACAAATGCCAAATATTTGCAAAATTTTAGTATTTTGTCTCAATACTCATCCTAAAAAATAGAACAATATTTGTTTTGTTTTTTTTTGCACAAAAATTGATTGATATTCAACAACTCACTTAAAATCAAATTAGATTTGTAACTGTTACAAATAATCTTGGGTGCGTGAAACTTATTTTTTTTATTGGTGAAGCGATATTGTTTGCAAATTTATTACACATTGAAAAACTCGAAAACATAAATTTTAGGCTAAATGATATTAGTCGTCAAAATGGCTGATGAAACTGTTGTTTTGAATATTGCCGCCAATTGTTAGTGCAGTCCGCGTATACGGTATCATTTCAATTAAAATACTTCCTGTCATCTCAATCTATTTAAAATATTCATAAACAGTTCAAAAATATCAATTAATCATTTCAACTTTCTAAAATATAAAATAGATGGGTCTTCCATTATACTATACCCAGAAACTTGGGTAATTCGACACTTATGATTGATATGGGGCTTATAAAGAAACTTGGAACGCGTCAAAACAGTATCGTACCGTAATCCCCGATATTACCAAATTTTTTATCTACGAAGTTTTGTATTATTTAATATTTTCTTTCAAGCATGATTTATATTAAATAATCGTTGATGGCATAAATAATTTCATATCTTTTGATTTTAAGCCGATTTTGTCATTGTAAATGATTTGTATTTAATTACTTAAATGTTAAACTTCAAATTTAAACATTATTATTCTTACATTTTCGTACACTCAAACAAAAATGCATAAATGACAATAAATTTATTTATTCATTCCGCTAACAATACTCTGCTATCCAACAGCGTGGATGTAAGTAAAATCCGGTAAAATCGAATAAAACTAGCAGCTGAGTTCGTGATAAAAATTTCGTATTTAACAAGGATTAGGCTGGAAATACCCGTGACTAAGATCAGGCAGTATGATAAATCTATTACTATAAATGCTTGCAAAAGTTGATACAACAACTCTTGGTATGATGGGAGTTGAACTATGCCGCATATGAGTTACCCTATTTAAAGTAAAAATCCGAAAGTGCAGAAGTCGAAAGGGAAAATAAATTAGAGATAATTAACCATCAAATGAACATGATCATGACGGAAAAGATTCCAAACATTTTCATATATAATATCTTTAATGCACCTGCATTAGGCAATGGTTGATGGAAAAGACGACGGATTATTTTCAGTGATGAATGACAATTGGATGTATTCCGTTTTTTATGGATATTTACTCGCTTTAAGCCTTTTAGCGAGTGATAAAATTAAATATCAGGCCTTGTGTAGGCCATGACTATTCCTCGTTTAAAAGTACGATATATCCAACGACCATACGTCTTAGAATAAAAGATAATATATATATATACTATGATAAACACCAGAACTAATCTATGGTGCACAAGTAAAAGCATACATGTGGTATAATGATAACCAGTTTGTACACCTGGTGAAGCGGTTACCAATGGGATGAGGGTCGTTTTAAGTGCGTTTACTCAAGGCACGGTCACAAGCAAACTGATGCCCCATCAGTGATATATGATTTGAAAAAAATAACTCGCGCCACAGGAGCGAAAGTGCAGACAAAACCCAGCTAAGTGAAAAATATAGTACTTGTATAAAAGTGACTCCCCATGTCGTGAGATATCACTGGCTGCTTGTATGGGACTATGTTTGAAGCAAAATGCGTGAATAGCCGTCGGACAAATAGTTGTAAAATGTTGTACAAACCCCCCAATTATTTTTGAATATCACAAATTGAGGCAAATTGCTATAAAAATAGCTGGACGACTATAATCAACATAACATAAAAAGTATCTTATCTATTTAATGTATTCAAACTTCAATATTGACACTGAGAAGCAAAGAAGCATCGTCGGTCGACCAGTTACAATTCTGAATTCCGTTATAAAAATCATGGTCGAATATCTGATCTAAACTTGAAATAAGTCTGTTCTACACTCATTGACCTATAGTTGCCAGGAATTACTATCTAAACTATTTTTGAGTGATATCTTCAAATTCTTCGTGGCAGGTTTAAACTCTCTGAAATTGGGGTGTGTGTTCAAGTGCTTCCAAAAATAGCATACTTCAGCCCTAAATTCACTTCTCAATATTGCCTTATATTCATTGGTCTTAAAGAGGTTTAGCGAATTTGAATTTGAATATGGGGGTTGATTATGTCGCTCTGAATAGGGTTGTAAACCTCATTAAGTAGTAATTATTATAATAAAATATTATTGCATTGTAAATTTATTGACCGTCACGTACTTTGTGTTCAGAGACGAAATACGACAGCAAAATAATAATTGACGGAGAAGAAGTTCAAATGGAAATAATGGATTCTATTAGACAGGTGAATAAATATATGTTATTACCAGTAGTTTTGATCAATTCAAGTCATTATTGTCAAAGATACAAATAAAAAGATATAATTTACACAAAGCATACGCCCTTATGGAAATGCTCTTACCCTAAAAATGTCATAGACACACGTTGTCGTTGAAGGTCAATAGAATCAAAAACCCAATTTGGATTCTATGTCCGTTGTGATACTTATAAAATGTGCTGCATTTACGTCGATACATTTATCAGATTTTGCAAGCCTGGAACAATCACCTAATATGTAACATGTAGTATTATGTCATATGAGGGGGACTAAGTAAAAAAAGAAGAACAGTTTTTGTGATTGAGATCATTCATCGCCAATAATTTTTTTCGCTATTTGAAGTGTAGCGAGATGGTCTCAGATATTCTAACCGTAGTGCATTCAAGGCGCGCAAGGTATGTGCATTACTGAGAATCAGGATGCATCCAAGAGGCATAGAGAAGATTGGAAACACATGCAATAAACAGTATAATTCCCATAGCTATCCCAGGAACACATTTGAAAATTTAGGATTTCAGAATTTTTACCAATTTTTATTAATTCTTTTAATTTTGAATTTTTCAGGATGAAAACCTCGTAAGATGGGCTGACGGTTTTATGATTGTTTATGACGTAACCGATCAAAAAAGCTTTGACAAAATCGGACAAATCAGAAAAGACTTAGAAAACGTTAAATCAGCGAAAAACATGTCCTATGTAGTAGTGGGAAACAAAACCGATTTACAACACTGCCGGCAAGTTACTATAGACATGGCAGAACATGTATGTATAAACATGTCTGTTGCTCATTATGAGTGCTGCGCTTGTGCTGCAAACGATGAAGACTATACAATAAGCCTTCGAGAAGCATTTGAAGAACTTTGTCGCGAAATTCAACATAGAAGAAGACTTAATTCACAAGCTCGTCGGCGGAGACGGAGTAGTTTAAGCCAAGTCAAACAAAGTTTCAAATTTTTGGTAAATTCAAATAAAAACAGGACATTGCTTGCTCCGCCAAGTATAAGCAGTGGATCTCTAAGCAGCCGTAGGGGAAGCGCCGCCTCTACCGGTCGCAGAGATAGTCTAGGAAGACTTCTTGAATCGTCAAATTTAAAAAACAACAAAATGGTATCGATGAGATGCCTAAAGCCAGAGCATCGACACTGGGAAGGTCTGTGGGTAGTTATTATTCTGGGTTGGCAGTGAAGCTGTAGTAACCCCCTAAATCAGAGTAAACTTAATGAGCAACCAACAACACGCTGTATTTGTTAAATTCCATTTTTTATTTTTCTTTAAAAGCACTTTTAAATGATGTACAAGTTTGATTGCTGTTGTAAGGGTTGTGGAGCCGGAGTAACAATCTACTAGGGTTTCGATGTCATAGTCGAATTCATATTTTAAAATTCTGCTATCCAGAATCTGATTTTCAGTTGAAATGTTAAACTCATTTGATAGTGACAAAAGATTAGCATGGGAAATTTATGTTATCTACAACTCAAATCGCATTGTTTTGCCAGCAGATCGGAGCCGGAGTCGGAAATTTTTGCCATCCGGAGTCGAATAAAAATACTTTGGATTGCACAGCCATGAAGCTAATTGTGTTGCGTTCGCGCGTCTTCCCTGAGCTTGTAAAGTTCAATACCATCGGTTTTACCGAGCCACCCACACCGAATATTTAATGGCTATGGTCAAATCGTAACTGCTCTCTTTATGTTCCAAGTTTTTCCCTTCTGTTTTCAATCTAAATTGAGCTTAAATTAATATATTTTAATGTACTGTACTTTAAGTAATTCACATGGGGTCATGGAATAATTATTTTGCCCGGCACACGAATGTATTTTGACATGGACTATCCTGCCAATGTTTTTATGTTGCAAACTTCGATTTCAAATCGGGCGTTTCAAACTTTTGATTTACACTCACTCATGCGTGACGTTTTTGGGCGGTAAAATTCATGGTTGCGTGTGTGTGGCATTTTATATTTCCCACTATATTCTGCGGTGGTAATATGATTAGCGAAATAAATTGAGAACCACAAATTGAATTTATACCAGGCATGAATCATCCGTAAACCGATAATATATCGTGGTTTAATTATGGCTCATATAAAATCATGAATACTGATGCTACACCGTCTATCGCTAGGTGAAAAAGTTGTTGTCAAGTTCGTCTCAATTAGATAACCCATGATTTAATTGGTGGTGAGAATATAGTTAGCGTGTCCAGTATTTACAAGTGCATAAAACGATGAATGTATGACACGGCATTCCTTCAGTTTATATATACAGCTGGTGACTACCCTCAACTTTGTGGGGTGTCATTTTTGGTTATTGAGAATAGCCAATCCAAAATTGTCTTTTTCTCGGCGACGTGCACCATCAGTAGCCCACACATGACTTTGTTTATATTTGAACAGGTATTTTCTTACCATCACATTTTTGTGGGTTTGAATATCATGAATACTGCCTATTTTGGGGGACCAAGAACATACTATTTACCATAAATTATCCTTTCAGTTTTATTGGATTCTACCCTATTTATTAGAATCCTGTCCCTATTTTTAAGTCTCGGATAGTCGACATACGTTTCGCACAAAACTCTTAAAATTCATACAATCGAAATTAGTACTTTTCAGTGTAGTGTTGAAGTTTGAAGTTTTTATGAGAGCTATCAAATTTTATGAAGTTATATATGGCATAGTACTTTTTTTTACAAGTGAATCCTTTTAGGAAATATAAAATTGAAATTAATGGAAGGCAGAATTCTGGGATATCACACAATGTATTATGGCCCTCACCACAATCCAATTTGGTATCTCAAATTTTGGCTTTATCTTGTTTGACATAGCTTGTTCCAATCAGCAAGGCTGAGTATACGATTTCTGTTGTTGCTGATATTGATCATAAAAATTTGTTGTCATTTCTTGTACAAATTTCGAATCAGTTTTATTGCTTTTTTATATATTTTACAACAACGTAATGAATATGTACTGTGAAATTCAATTTTTGTTTTTATACTTAATTTTCTTCAAATAAGGAATGTACCTCTACATCGTGCTTGACTAGATTTGTTAGTTGTTTGCAAATGCAGGGTTATCGTTTTTACCATCTTAACGGATGAGTTTGCGCGTCTCGCACACTCACTTACCCCATATTCATCATAATTACTTTGAGTTAATAGCTCGGACGCTCAAATTCATGCTGTCAGTTTTTGGCTGAATTTGCTTCTTGCAACAATTTCGAATCGACGTGTATTGGTTTACTCCACTCGCAATTTTAAGGCAATTCACCGTGCGTTTATTTAAGTGAACATGTTGCCACGCTTTCGAGTTCCATGCGTGATTGTGATATATCCTTGAACTCACTTTTTATGCGTGAATTAGAAATGTTATTTTTAAAGTCTTCAAGCAAGTTTCAATTTGAAATAATTGCTCGTTGAAGATCTCGGGCTGAACTTTAATGACCTCTTTCTCGCCGAGGGTGAGATAAATCGGGTACGCAATGCCCGGCCAGTAGGATTGCGTACACTCCTTATTTATCAATGACCGACTGTTTGGATATATATATGTGATATGACGGGCGTCAGAATAAGTCTTGAACTCGTTCAAAAATCAAGTTCAAATTGGTGTCTAGGAGAGAATTTTGTTTCCTTACATCTTTACAAGGAAAAGTATTTGCCATGCTTGCCTTGACGTAGGCGAAAGATTCGAGTTAGCAACTGAACTAAAACATAAAAATCCCGCCTGTGATACCGCAAATACTTTTATTAGGCAAGCTAAGGAGATCTGTATGTGTATAAGGTCACGTACGGCAAACGAAAACCAAGAGCCTATATGGTAGAAAGTTATGCTCTCGATGTTAGTTGAATATGTCTTGAAAGACCTTAGGAGCTGGGATTACCGCCAGCCACTTGCCATTTTCCCTTTTCAAATTTGCTATCACGCTCCGTCTACCAACATAAATTTTAGTTTATTGAAATCGTAGCAGAAACTATTTTGATCCCAGAGTCGGGGAATAGAATTTTAATCTGTCACTGCCGAATTGAATCTCCTCAAAAGCAAAGCTTTCGCCCACTTGGACAAAACTAGTAATAAATAATAACCCTTCTGTCGTAACATATCTATAAAACAAGATCGGAAAACACAAACAGCTTTTCAAATGTATTGAAACAACAAAAAAATACAACATAATTTTTATAAAAAAAAGCTGTCAAGAAAACAGAAATTGAAGCGATAGAGGAAATAGAAACGCAAAAATGCATTTAATAGTATAATACAACGCCCAGGAAAGGCACAAAAATGGGGTGGTACTGTAGTGAAATTGATGTGCAGTCGACCATGCGGAGGGCATATAACTTTATTCGTGGTAAACTGGAATTTGGTAACAGTTAAGAAATTTTTGAAGATAACCTGTTAAATCCTACGAAAATTTCGAATGAACGATCATATTGGGAAACGCATAAAAATTATTAACGACTGAGTCACCATTAATAACTAAGAAATAAAACATTCAAATTTCCATCAAAAATATATGTATTTATAATATATATAATACAATACCTCATTTAATGCTGTTTTTATTCCTGTCATTTGTTATGATACAATATTTTACAATAAGACGAGATAAGATACGATTTTAATTAGAGTTCAACCATAAGAGAGAATACGTTTCAGAAGAATTACGCAATCGCCGATCAAAGATACCGGATTCGAAGGACTCCGTACACCACTTCGTTCAGGCAGTGACAGGGTGGGAAGGCTATTTTTCCACATATTCCTTAACAAAACACCAACACGCCCTGAAGGAGGCACTAAACAAGCAAACATTGATAGGTAGAAAACTACATTGTTTTGTAGATAACGAAATCTACTTGTATCTAAATGGCCCACCCAATTTTAAAGGGCATATAGGGAGGTGATGGAACAAACTATTCGAAAAAGAGTGGATCTGAACCTACATATTGTATGGTTAAAGCCTTGTTCAGTTCAAAAATGTGTTTATATATAAGTCAGATTGATCGCCGAAGCCGAATTCAGCCTAAAAAAAATTTTCAACTTGACATTTCCAACAGAAAAATATATTTGAAAACATCTGTTAAATTTACCTACTTGAATTTCTTAATACTTTTTGAGAAAATCACCATCCTTGTGATTTCAAACCTAATACATAAATTGTCAGAGGCTCTAAAATCGAAAAGATTAAAACTGGAAATAGGATAAAAATTATGAAACGAAAAATATTTGAAATGAAATTGAAAAAAGTCTGTCGTGACGAAGTGAATGAAGTACAACAAAACGATTGAAAATTGGCATGAATGGAACAAAAAAGAGCTAAGCTATAAAAAGTACAAAATAGGACCAATTTGCAGTATATAAAAGAAAAGGAAAGTACAGAATGCAACAAACAAAAACAAGTACTTCGAATAACTCATTTGCTATTACTTAGCTTTACCCTGAAAATTCAATGCAATAGGCTTTTTATTTTTAAAAAGCACAACCTTGACCTCTGAACTTTGGTACAATGGCAACATATTTAGTATGGGATTCAAAATTAATGATTCAGGTGTATTGGTAATGATCGCAGTATGAGTTATACAAAGATGCCCAGATTGAAATTAATTTATAATATACCTTTGAAATTGGTTATATTTAGTATATGGAGGACCAAAGATACTAGTTCAAAAGAGATTCAATTATCATTGAATTAGGGTTTAATTTACCATTTTATCATTATTTTTTAATTATTTCAGCGAGATCAAAGCTTTGTGTCAACTTTTCTCTTGTATAATGTAGAAATATCATGAACTAGGATTTCACTGTGAAAATACTTCAATATAATAAATTGGTTCTCTTAAAATAAGCTTTTTAATATTATCACAAAAAAATTCATATTTCAAGGAATCCGAAAATCATCAGTCTCAAAATGTTTCAAAATTTTTTCGACAACTATGGAAAACCAAGAAATAAGTTTCCCAGTTCTGAATGTTTATTGATCGTTTCGAATGTTCAGTTCGAAAACATTTTTCATTTTTCAAAGTTTGTAAATTCACCTTATTTGGCTTCTATAGCCGTATCTGGATGTATTCATAAAATGATATATTTACCCCAGAAAATTTTTTACTCAGAGCATATTTCATCATGGTGTATTATTTACGACATGGCAGTGGTTGAAACTTGAAAACTAAGATGTAGAATTTGTATTATTTATTTTGGTGCAAATAATATATTTTGTTTTATGCTTGTTTCATTACAACATCCGCAAGTTGCATCAGTGATGATGCATTTGTGGTATAATAATCGTTATTCATGTCTTGCCGCCTGTGTAAGTCTACGGTAGCTGACTCTTTGTTGTTAGGTATAGGTGATGGTTTCACAACAGATACATTTTGTGATTGTTCGTGATGTACCCTCGTAATGTTTTGTATTAAAACTGGTAAATTACGTTTAGAATTTTTCAATTTCTCTTTGGATGGACTTTCGAAATCGTCGAGTGTTTCAGTGCACATGAGTTCCATAAGTGATCGACTTCGCTGCCTTTGTGCCGCTGCGCTGTCTTCAGACTGGAATTTGGCAGGAGAATCTTCTATAAAACTGGATGAAGCGGATGTATCAAAATCCTCCGTGCAAACATCGACTGGAGGTGTCCCAACTTCATCATTTTCCGATCCTACATCACTGAATTCGCATTCTGCTTCGCCTACAGAAACTGGGCTGCTACGACTCGTGGTTGAAGCGCTACTTGGAGGTCTTTTTGGTTCTAAGTTGTTCACGTTTAATTTTCGTTCAATGGCTGCCTCCATGATGCTACGAAATGCTGAAGGTGACGAACTTCGATTTCCGACAGAGCCATCATCACTTTCAGAATTTCTTCCTCGGACACCGAGCCTTGCACGTCTTGCAACTTGCCGTGCAGAAAATCTAGTGGCTTTTGGTGCATCAGAAGCACTTGTATCACTGTCGTTAGGATCGGTATTTACCATTTCCTCATTACTTCGCATTTTGTCTTCAACCTTATGCACGATCGCGACAGGAGATTTGGTTCGAACTTCATTTTTCTCTTCTTTTAAAGGTTCGAATGCTAGTTTTATATGTTCCTTGTGAAGAGATTGTGTGTACTTTTGCGCAGAGAATACCTTTTGCTTCTTTCTGCCTAAATTTCCCTTTGCCAAATCTTTTTTGGATATCACCTTATTCTCAACTTTCTGATATCCCACTGTCTTATACTTTTTAGGACCTTTCGAAGTCATTTCAAATCTTTGACGCATCGGATTGATAACTTTTTTATGATCCACCATTTTGATTTGGGAAATACCTTGTTTGATGGGTTTGTTGACGTTCGGTTTAGTCTTCGTTAATCCTTTACGTTTATTGATTTGATAAAACGATATTTTTTCAGCAGTTCTCTTCCAACGTGAAGGACTTATTGAAGTCTTTTGTTTCACAGTTAATTTACTTGTTGAAAATTCAGACATACTGAAGACGAATTTGTGACATCCAAAGCAAATAACGGAACCATGGTTAAGAATCGCCCCACCTAAATAGAAGATTCAAAATCACAGTCAAAACCGAAAGAATTGATATCACTTAATTGCAATTGGTAAACGCAAAATTATAGACGCAAAATGCTATTAAATGCACTAGCATGAAGAGATATGGAAGAATGTTAAATCAAAACAGGGTCAAATCAATTGAATGAAAAAAAACCATTCTTCATCAGTTTTGAATATTGATTTATACAAAACAAATTTCAAACATATCTTAAAAATTGAATCAGTTGTAGCGTACCTTCCCAGCCACATTTTTCTTTTCGTTTGTTTGGGCATTCACATGCTGTAGGTAATTTCGGTACTTTTAGTGCCATCACTTTATCTGATGAAAACCCCCTTGTAGATCGTTGATGACCAGAAATTTCTTTGTCTGTGGAGAAAAAATGAAAACCGTTAATATAACAAAAATAAACTGAACACAGGAACAAGTTAATACTTACAATAGCAAAGTGCAAATAATACCTAGCCCGAAAGATTTGAATTATTGCAAGGGTGGGTGGGAAACTAAACACAGGAACTAGGTATTTACTGACAAGAGTAAAGCAGCAAATAATTCCTAGTCCAAAAGATAAGAATTAGTGTAAGGACAAGATGGGCTGCTGATCAGGTCGCCATATTTGAACTAGTAACTAAACGACGGGCAGTGTTGGACTTGTAACAAAGCCATTTCACTGATTCTTCTCCTCTCCATACATAAGCAAAAAAGTTTCACTGTCAATTTTGAAGTAGTGGCATTATGACAATTTGCAACTTCGGAAAAAAAAGTGGCAAAAATAATGTTAGGATAAGAACTGTTAGAGAAAGTGTTCTCGAACTCAATCGCAAAAAGGTACCAACTTCTAAAAGCTGTGGTTAACTCTTTCTCTAAAGACTTAGACTCGATCTCTTCAAATTATTCAATTAGGGACACACAGAAAAAGAAGTACTACATGGCTTCATTTCATGGTAAATTAATCATGAATTGAGATCCTTAAGTCAAAGATGGGTTGCAAATCGACCATTACATAGAGCATTATGGTATATCATATAAAACAACATTATACCTTTATTTTTCCCTTTTTTGATGATCGACCGAACAGTTTTGGCTAGTTTTAAACTTTGAGGTGAATGTAATTTGTGACCACTGCTTATTTTGTGATATTTATTGGCTTGCTTGTTTGATGGAGACGATGTATCCATTCCATATGTGTAACCGTTAACAGACGTCCCATGGCAGCTGTAGTTGAGTAGTTCGTAGCGTTGACTGACCTGAAATAAAATTTGTTGATTAATGTCAGTATCCAGGGTATCTTTTTTCACATTCACAATATTTCAAGAAAATAATACAATGGATAATTTTTTTTTTTAATCTTTAATATAAATTTAAAAATTTTAAGTTAAATTTGTATATTTGAAATTCCGTTAAATTTGATTCTGTCTGTAAAATTTGATAGCTTTCTTTTATAGTTTTGAGTCCAGTTTCCGCAAAACAGCATTTGGGGTAACAGTCACTTGATTCGCTTTGTCAGAGAATATGTCAAACACAATGAAGATCAAACATAATTGATAATTGGTAGCTACTCAAGTAAAACTAGTACTGCGCCTAGGTAAGAAATTGAGAACAAATCAATACGCAACAATATCTTACCTCATCATAAAATATCCTTGCATGTATAGGTGAAACGAATTTACAATGGTTGTGATTATTTAAAATTAAATCACATTGCGACGATGTTCCTATAGTACATGACCTGAAAAGTAGATGGAAAAAATATATAAAAAAGTTATCTTGAAAACAAAAATCTTAAGAATATTTTGCCTCAGAAAACTAGGACACAAGAGCTGGATGTTCAAAATTTCAATGAATACAAAGAGAAAAACAATAACTGTCAAGGAATTTGGAAATCAATTCATCTTTTCTCATCAAATTAAACCCATACACTCTACATCTTAAGACACGAGAAAGCAAGATTCATTTTCAATAATAGAGTACACTGTACAGTATAATTCTGCACTCTGCACACAATTTAGACTCAAGAAAAACAATGGCAAACTACATAGTCAAATTTCAATATATATTCCATAATCTGTACATAAATTGCACTGAAACATATTTCTGATTTCCAACTACATTTCAAGTCAAGTATTCATTAATAAGAAAACAAATGAACAGAGGAACAACAGTTACCTGAATGAGATCTTATGGATCTCATGAACATCAGAATTAACAGAAGATAAACAAGCTCTTGATGCATACGGTTGTGTATTAGATTTCTGTCTTTCTTTACTTGACAAAATTTCAGTTTTGAGGGAAGATGTATCTTTTCCTGGCATGTTCACCTCCATCGGGTTTTCTTCAATAACATTTTCACATGGAACTGGGTCGTGTTTGATCATCTTTTTTGAGTCTGTAGTTTGCTCAGCCATGTTTACTGAGACTGGAGTTGACGATTCTATTTTGATTTGTTGATTGTGTTGCAATTCGAATGTTTTTTGACCATTGTCTGCTTTTGTCAATAGATTAGAGACAGTTTGGGAAATCTCTTGACTGTTCACCTAAATAATAATATTAAACATGGTATTTATTCGACATATGGTGACAATAAGATTCGCAGGAAGTTTTGAAACCACAATTATACACAAACATTCGAAGCCTCATTCAGACATAGGATTAGGTGTGAGGCATGATATATAACCTATGTACACATGCCATGTACACAAGAATAAGTCATGCCAAAGTCCATGCTTCCGAAAACAAATAACTGGCTAACTAATCCTATACCTAACTTGGACTGGTCACCTGACGAGAGGCCGTAGTTCGCCATATGATAAAATCGTCTTATCGTCTTTCTTCTCCCCCGAGATAAATATGTGAATCTTATCCTAATTATCATTACATTATGGGTAAAGTATGCTAATCATTCGAACCAACCAAAACTCAAACTGTCTTGTCCACATTATTAATAATGGCAGCATGGCTATGACAAAGCCTGTAGTCTAATTGCCATGTCGCAATATTATTACTTATCGATCTTAAGATCGGTAATTGTCTGGGTATTTGTCTGTCTGTTTGTTTGTCTGTTAGATGAACGCGATATCTCACGAAGGCGAGGTTGAATTTGCTCCAAATTTTGCATGTGCATTCATAATATCTCGGACCAGAAGCCTATTGATTTTGGATGAATGTCGTATAATTAGCGAGTTATTAATCAATTAGTGATGGGACACACAGTGTCACTATAGAGTCGCGAATAGAAACCGCAATTTCGATAAGTCTTCGGTCTCTGACCGATATTCTTGTTATTTCATTGTTTCAAATACATAACTTCAGGTCTATCATGATATATATAATTTAAACCACTAGCAGTAATAAAATCAAGTTAGCACATTACATTGAATACCTCTGCCAGGTGTCGAACATTTCCGCAAACATTTTTTTACCCAAACAAAGTAATACATAAATAAAATATACAATATCCTACCTGGGCTATATTGCCACCCAATTGTTGAAATCTCTGTAAAGCCAACAATCTGATGAGATTTTCATCCAAAAACTTCAGTGGATCTGATGGGCATAATTCTGATTTTTCTGCAATGCAAAATATAAAATTAATCCTCAATAGCATAGTGGTAAACGCTCAGATGAATACAAATAGCATTTTTAAAGTTTTACGTTGCTTTCGAATAAATGTAGCGATAACTTTTCACTCCGAAATATCGATATTTGAAATGTAGCACTTCTACCAAACATACAGGATAATAAGATATGGGAATTGCTAAGTTCCTAACATGTAACATGTGAACATGTTAGGTAGGAATTACATATCACCCCACAAGAACACAGTCTGAGAGTCCAAAGAGCCAGCTCACAGGATTTAAACTTTATATAATAGAAACCATGATCTTGGGTATAAAAACACTGAAATTTATAATATTTTCGTTCTATGAATTTGCGTTGTATTTAAGAAACTAAGATCTTCAGTTTACCTTTTTCTTCAGTTTTTTTACAATCACCATCATTGTAATCATTTTTTATTGATTGGAATAGAGTCTCATTCTGTGTGACCTGCGTATTCACTGTAAAAAGATAGAGCTCAATTATATAAAATGTTTGAAATGTGCTGATGTTTTGAAAAAATAACCAAAATTTGGAATATATCTGAAATTCTACGGAAGATTAACTGTAAAGGGAACTGTTAAAGGGAGAAGGAAAAAAGGAAAAAGGGGAAAAATTAGTGATAGGAATGAAAAATTTCCTATTATTCACCTCTGACTTCACTATCTTTATTCTGTGATTTGTATATATTTTCATCCCAACCATTGGTAATAATGTTATCTATCTCATCTTTAGCTTCAAGGTTGTCTTCAGACGTTTCACTATGAACAACACGACCATTCAGTGTAACCTTATCCATAGAAATATTCTTATCTGTTGAAGAATACAAATTCCCATTGCAGAGTGGTGATTCATCTGGAGAGCAGATGACTTTTTCACCACCATTACAAATTATTTTTTGTTGTTTCGCTGGGCTGGGATACCCTGGATCGGAATTTCTTCGTTTGAGAGATTTTTTATTTTGTTTCATTGTAACAGTTTTATCGCAGTTTTCAGCGTTTGGCGAAAGCGACATCGCACTATTAGGTCTTGTAGTTCCGTTAGTAAGATTTGATTCCTTTATTGGATAGGATTTTGAATTTATTTGTCCATTAATCACTTCTTTAGCGATAGCTTTTAATGACTTTGGGAAGTTTTCATGTTCGTGTTGTTTTATAGATGGCTTTAGTGATTTACTACTATGTTCATACATGTCTTCAGAGTCTAAATTAGACAATGGTGACATGGATTCGGTGCCGCTCATTTCTGTGACACTTTGTGAAGTCGTGGCATCAACATTTGGTGCAGAGTTTAACTTTGATTTCTCTAAAAGTAATGCTGCTTCAGATTGTAAACTTATAACTGCTTTAAGCCAAATTTCTTGATCAGATGTCAGATCATTTTGTAGCATGGCATTGGAGGCACCATAAGTTCGTAATGATGCTATATTGTTGTGGTATATCGATGCCACTCCACTGGTCGAAGAAACAGAAAGATTTGAATTTGTAATCACTAAAGGTTCTCTAGTGTGCATTCCTATCGATTTGAGATATTTCTCTGAGGGAGGAGGTAGAGATGGAGAAGGTTGAGTATAATGATCTTTGATTGACTGAGGGACTTTCATTCTGCTGAATACAGGTTGCTGTATTTTATCTTGAAGGGGAAGAGACCTGAAATATAAAGCGTTAGAAAGTACATGGTAAGAAATAACATAGTTAACACCAACTTTCTGATGTAATCCCAAGTTCATGAACAACTTCGAACTACCGGTAAGTGAAATAATTGGATTAAAGGTAGACAAGAAAAAAATTATACTTTAGAATTTGCTTGTCATTAAGCGCTGATTGCCCTGGGTAGGTGCCCTGCAAGCTGCGTAGGCACATGATTTCAAATTCTGCAACAAATGATAATGTGGCCGAGGATATCTGGACTTCTGGTCAAAAGCAGGGTGGTTCATGAACCCACTGGTCGAGACTCCCTACACCACTAAAGTCTATGCATCCAGTAAGATTAACCGGGTAACTAAACATTTGGCTTTAGCACAATTTATGATTAGGCCACATTGGTCTTTTTTTTCAAAATTAAAAATGTGCAAAAATTGATCATTACCCAATTATCAGAGTTATAACCAAATCAATTTTTTTTAGATAAGACCACCCAAACCTCAATATGAAAGTGTGTCCACTGTCCTGCATTACACTCAACAGAAAAATTATTTTTGTGTGTGTAGTGCAGGCAAGATGCTATGCCAAACAACTTTCGGCAGGCATTAACCTGTAAGCATCTGCATTGTGTTATTAAAATATGTTATGACCGCTAATCATTATGGGATCTTACCTGTGCATTTTCCCCAAAAACTCAAGTTTAATTCGATGCTGATTAATCTTTGAACTATATTTGTTTAAAATTTTAATTCTTTCAGACATTGATTGTCGATGTTCTTTCAACTGCAAATAAAATATATCATCATATTAATACTGAGTAAACTACATGATGCTTTACAAATTGATGGTAAAAATGAGTGGCTACTAAGCAAAGCAATGTGGTTCCTAGTATTTGTTTCACTATGAGGCATTATGCATTAAAGCAGGGGTCAGCAAACTGCAGTTAATTCGTTGCGGCCCTCGAACGACCCGACAATTAATACATAAAACAAAAATTTATTCGAAAAATATTATCGTCTATACACGAATTTATGTGATAACAAATGCTGCTGTAGGACGCTTGTTTTGTAATAGGTAGCGACAGTTGTATGTCGTTCAAGTTAATGTTGATTTTTAAAATTTGAAAATGTCTGGGAAATGAAGGGAAGTTCGCGACGAGGGTCGAACATTCCAAAGTGTTTGGGTCGAAAAATATTTTTCTTTCTTACGCAATTCAAAACCAGTTTGCTCGATAGGTCCAGTCAGCATCGCAGATATCAAGGGGTTCAATGTTAAACTCGTTACGAAACGTGTCTTCGAAAATTCGACCACAAGACCGAGGACTGCACCACAGCTCATCTGTGCGACAGTGCAAAACATGTAATCTACACGTTCGGAAGCTCATATTGCTATGAGCAATTTTTATCTGAAATGCATTACACTTGGGATGAATTTCGTACTCGCTTGTCATAGCGTCATTTGGACGCGTACTGAGGGCAAGTCGCCATAAAAACATCATCCTTCACATCGATAATAAGTAATTGAAACAATGCATTGTTTGGTAATATATTAAAAAACGCCACATACACATATCATTATGACAGGCTTTTAACGCAGTAATAGAAGATGCAAATGCGCGATAATTTTAAGTTTAATGTGGAAATTGTTCGGAGGCGAGAATATTGCGGCCCGTGAGCTACCGAAAAAGTTTATATTTGGTCCGCATGTACAAAAAGTTTGCCGACCACTGCATTGAAGGAATTCAATCTTTTGAATAAAGAGTACTTAGAGACTATTTCTCTGTCAACCAAATTTAGAATGAATCCAAATTCCATATTTGGAAAATATTTTTAGAATGGATTCGGAATAGTATATTGTTCAGTTTTGCCCCCTCTATCAACATTGACCAAATTAAAAAGTTCAGCTACAAACATAATCTAGCTCACAAGATTAAATACTCGGACTGCTAGTATAAAAAGTTCCTAACCAAAGCTGATTCTGCGTGGTTCGGACACATCCATCTACTACCAGGTGGATTGGTAAGTGGTGGATCAAGACAATCAAGATGAAACAAAAGAGGACAATAGTCACAACTGATCAGGATTCTCTTTTGACATGATCTAGAAAAAATAAAAACATTTCCTCAGTTGTACTTTATATATATATTAACAAGGAATGTAGTGTTATACAACTGATTGCACTGCATTCAATTGATACACGCTATATACTGATTACACTATATACTACCCGAAGTGAGTAATTTTAAAGTGAGATATTAGCACAAATAGGGGCATCTCATTATTAAAGCATACAATGAGGACTACTATAAGTCAGGGTCGTGCGACATTTTTTGTGAGTGGGCCATATAAATAACCAACTTCAGACATCTAGCTGGACCACCCGAAAAGTTGAGCAGCAAAACGGCGAAAAATTTAACGCAGCGACAAGAGGAAAAAATTATAATTTTTCATCCACGTGAGCGCCCTTTCAAACATGGATTGGATTAGGATTTTATGCTTGATGGAGTGTTGACAAGAGTCACACAAAATGTCTTGGTGGGCCAGGCTTTGGCCCGTAAGCCGTCGGGATTCATATTATTGCTTTTTGCCATTTTTCTATCATATTCATGACATGATTGGAAATCATTTTTTTATTTAAGAAAATATAAATATAAAACGCATAGTTCTACTGGGATCTTCGTTACATAGATGGAGAACACAAAGATCCATGGAATGGTAATAAAATGAAGAGAAAAAAGACAATCAAAATCAAAGCTTATCCTCAGGTAATCCTCCAAATCATTACCAATTCAACAATGATGTACACTCACTCAAGAGAAGGTTTTATGAGCGAAGTTATGGACGACCACGAAAGTGGCTAGAGCTGCTGATCATTATAGTCTAGAACTAAGCGTTAACTTAGTTACTCACCTTCCACATAAAAAACAAACTTTAGCAGGAAGAGTTACAAGACCATTGTGATCTAGTTCATGTGGTTGAGATTTTTTCGTGCGTCCCGGACCTCTATCATTGAACTTTCTCCCTCTTCTGGTGCCTGTGATTGAGAGAATGAATAGATTGAAAAATTTAGGTCACAAATACAGATTTTCAAAAGTTTCTCAAAATATCACACAAAAATAAATAATTTATTTCGAATTTATTTTTTTTAATCTATTGAAAACAAAAGGAAGAGAATTTGGAATAAATCGTTACAACCAAAAATTTAAATTACTAACCAGGCAAAGGTTCATTTGGCACCAGTTCATTAGGAATCTTGAATAAAGATGTATTATGTAGACATGCTGCTTTTATCAACATTGCAAAAGGACTTTCTTTGCTGATTTTCGGTAGTGCTGCTTCCTTGGCCTCCTATATTATAGTAAAGATGGAGAGAAATTGTTGAAAAATGATTTTATAATGGGATTTATTATTCTAAGAGAGGAAAAAGTCAGTGAGATGGCTTAATCACACAGTGAATTTTTGTTCGATTACCAGTCCGATATTGGAATAGTTAACCAGTTATTTGTTTTGGATGCAAAGACATATTGGTGAAGGAAGCCAGAACTGTCCTACCCTACAACAAAGACGAGACCTGCAATTATCTAACACATAATTTTTCCCCACAGCATTCGAACCTGCAAACCCATGCAGGGTAATCAGAGGTGTGAAAGCGTATTCTTAACACTCCAAATGGACATGTCAGACCAACTGTTAGCTGTCTGTCAAAGTCAAACTTATTACACTTATAACCAGTGGTACTAGTACTACAGATATTTGAACACCCCTTTGTTTCATCAGTAAAAATTGAGTAAACGTTCCAAAACTAAAAAGGGGAATAAATTATTTAGAGCGGATGAATTGAAATAGAATGTTAAGTCACTCTATAAAATTCAAAATTGAGAGATACATTCGAGTTATTTAAGTATTTTTCAATAATATCCAAGCAAATAGAAAACAATGGACACCATAAGATAATCATATGTAATGACTTCAAAATAGTGAAATATATCTTTGAATGAACACTATCCATTAGATATGAACATAAACAGTTGAATACTTTATCCCTACAGCAAGTAGATTACAGGTACGTTTTTAGAGGCGAGGCGTCCATAAGTAAGCCTCAGGCAAAACTGTCATTTTTCGAACAAAATATAAATATGCTCATTTCGTCACACCTGTATAGCAGCCTGCTGTCCTCTTGTCATTAGTTTTATCACATTTTTTCTCCAATCTTTATTATTTGTATTAGAATTAGGTTTAACATCCTGTGGAGACGGATTGTTGTTATTGTTGTTTGTAGCAGATGGTGATCTCACTGTTTTCTTTTTAACTGGTACCATGGCAACTGCTCCAGACCTATTGCGTGAATAGAAATAAAGAAAATTTATTATTACTTATAAAACAAATCATATTGCGATATTGAATAAAAATGTATTTAACTCAACAAATAATGATAATGCATTAAACTGCTAACACTGATCATGTGCACTGGAAACAGTGATGTCCAGATAGAATCCAATATCAATTTTTATCAATTTTTTTTTTTAATTTATGGAATATTATTAAACATCATCATTTAAAAATCGTTATTTGGAAGCATAAAATTAAATAGAATTCAACTAAACTATCTATCTAACCCACTAATAGAACTATTTTCTAAATGAAAATTTGCTGAAAGCAGGGTCATACAAACAAGAAAATTGTAAGAGATTGATTTCTGAGTGAAATTACTCAAGATTACCAAAGGGTCAATAGCTACTGAAAATATAAATCACTGTAACGTAGAAGTAAATATGTGCGTTAGTAAATACTGATTGACGAGGGACTGAAGCTGTTCATGTCCAAACGAACAGAAAAATAGCTTCGAGGTGATGAATTCCACATAACTGAAGTTATATATATTGACTTTCCTAATGTTAATCTCTTATATGTGTGAGCTTTCTAAAAGCAATGACCGGAGCACTCAACTTAAATTAGAATGATTAGTAGAAGAAAATTGCATAAAAGTGCTATATATTACAGATTTATCCTTATGGACAGATGTCGGTAGCTAGAGGTAGACAAAACACTTAAAACAATTCAAATATACACCAAGTAGAATTGTTCCTTGAATATGGCTTACTCGAAAAATCAATATTTTTAAGATGTATTCAAATAAAGAACAGTTTTGGGTATTCCCAATCAAAACCAAACTTTGTATATTGCTGCATGATAAATTAACAAGTTAGATTGTCATTTATTAGGAATATACTCTCTCCAGAATAAGTTACAAATTTTTATCCTTTCATTAAATAAAATAAACATAATAACAAATTAATAAAATTGGACTAGACGGGGGCATTGCAATATCTGAATTACAAATAATAAAAGAAGAGATTATATCTCTGATGTTGCCATAGATTACATATAAAAATCAAGAAAATTACAACATGCCCAGATCACAAACTAGTTTAGTCCAGTATTTTCTAGTTTAATCGAATGATAATAAGCTCGCTTATGAATCTGGTATGAAATTTTAACTTAGTTGAACAAATTCTAAATGGCCATGAATTTTAATTAGATATTGAATGTGATTAGTCCCATATTGTCCTATTACGTTCTTGTAAATAATTCTGATCTTCCTGATATCAATATAGAATTACTATACAAGGTTAGCAGATTTTATTGATTTTTTAGTAGTGCATGGAAATGATATACCATACTTAATTTGAACCTACTGTTGGGAGAAATTACATGAGCATTATAGAATATAGTTCTTGAATAAAAAAATATGTCACATAAAATACTTCATCCCTGACTGAACACTAATGTACCACAAATTGTTTTTTCTTTTAAAAAGCAAATTTTAAACTGACAAAAAATCAATACTAATCATTACATGATTTTATGCTATTTATAAGGTTATTATTTAATAATACTGTATCATCTAGGAATAAAGCTAATTAATTCAGAATATTCAGGTAAATAATGGCATTGGAACAAGTTAGACATAATAATAAAAAAATTTAATGATTTTTTTCACAATATTCCTACTATAGTAATCAAACAGTTTTATGTATATCTACTACATATAACAGGCCTAATGAAAAAATTCTTTAAAGTCATAATAATATTTGATAATGCATTCACTAAATACAGATTTAGGTAGCTTGGGAAATAAGTGACAATTTATCCAAGTTCACTTCTCCAAAAAATAATTGATAAAATTTATTCAAATTTTGATATAATACATTCTTTATCCAAACTTAAAGAAACATGCACGCATGGCTGATGGAAAGTGTACTCCGTTTGACACCTTTGGCATAGAAAAAATACACAACTTCATGAATACCAACATGTTTTCTCTACATGGAGGTTGAGTGTGCAAACAGGAAACCAAACTTGAGTGAATGGTTTGTCTGCTGCAATGTGCTCAATACCAAAAACACACAGGAGCATGTACTGACTACTAAGGAAAGAAGTGACGTTAATTAAGTAGCAAATGTCCAAGAACATTTTTGCCTGTTTTCATATTCTTTATAATTTAAATAAGAGCATATAAATCAGTATACCATGAAATCAAATATTCTTTCAGGTATGATTAGGTTGAAATAGGATAGAGATAGTTCACCAGCAACTAAGCTAATTTGAAAATATTCCCAAATTAAACCTTTCGATGTTTGAACTATATATAAATTCACACTGATATTTGTCAGAAATCTCATTAATAATAATTCACATGTCCAAACACTTCCAAGGCACAGCCAACTGAAATGTTATTTGTAGTTGGATGTAATAGTGTATATATTTTGAGCACAGACTGATGATATCCTATTTAGAATGTAATATTTGCTTGGTTATTAACTAAATCATTTGGCACTTCAGCATTATGTTCTATCATTAGCATAGATAATACCGCTTATACGCAACCATTTGAATGATTTTAAAATATTAATCATATGATCGTTCATTTTTATATTAATTCTATGTTAATGGTACTGCAACGATTCAAAATATTTGAAAGTAAAATACTTTCAGAAACATCTTTCCATCTGAATAAATCAATGAAAAGCAATAATTTATCTCATGTTCAGTGAAACATCAAACAAAAGTGATGTAAAACAAGCTGAAGGTAATGTAAATAGATATAGGTATCATTGACTAAATAATAAATATGATCGAAAAAAATGAGGCTTTTCTATCATATTTGCAAGACTTCTAAAAGCATTTGTGAACAGTTCACTATAATTTGAAATTCATTAATTACTTTATATTAATTTTGGGTATTTGGATTTGTTACGTAAACAAAAAGTTACTTTGTTGTCATCCATGAATATTAGACATATACTACTCTGGTATTGACTAAGGCATTGTAGAATATTAGGTATCTAAAACTGAAACGGGTCATCAGTTGGTGCAGTGGCCTTCTGTTGTAGCCACTGCCATTGCTATCTAATCTAATCTTCTTTTGTTTCTTTGAAAAACAAGATTTATGGATAATAAATCCTAATTGATAATGACATAAGATAAAGGGGTTTGACGTACTTTTCAGGCATTATTTTTGAAGTTGTAGTATTTTCATTCGGCTTTTTCACATCTGTACTCGTTTGTTTACTTTCTTCATCTTCTGATTTTAAATCTTCTTTTAATAATGCCATTGCGGCAGGGGTCAGGGTGTGCCGATGGTGACCTTCTTCTTTATTCTGAAAATAACGAAAAATTATATATTCACCCACAAAAAGAAAGAAAATTGATCTTTGTTTGAAGTAACTCAAAAAAAAGTCTTGTGTTTGCCACAGCTGCTTTGATAGGATAACATTTGTGCTGTTCTATTACGTCAGAAACCAATTAAATGTGACTGACTGACTGATCAAACTGATCATATCTTAACAAGACAGTGAACAATTCTTCCATTTTGTGCTTCATGTATTTCAAGTAGAATTGGTACCAAGTAGGCTACTTATGCACAGCATCATAGCAATAAAAAATCTGTTCTCATTAGACATACCTTGACATTCCCTGTAACCACACATCTATGACAAGCCCATTCACCAGGTGGCACCATGTCTTCTTCCAAAGGTGGGTTGCTGCCGAATAAACGAAAACAGATGAGCATAAATAGTGATTACAGTTCTTTTAAGGTTAAAATGAGACATGTTTTCACTAAATAAAAATCTTTATATAGTTCTAAGTAGATGTTTCACTGTCAATACAAAAATACAGTCCAGCAACTCATACTCCTAAATAGAGATTTGAAAACTCGAACCAGTCATATAAATATTGGAACATCATCAAATCATTACATATCCAAAAACTTGAAATGGCTCTTTTTCTATAATTAAGTTTGTTTTACAGTGGTTGCAGCAGCCTAGTGGTTTGAGCCGGGTGTATGAATAAGAACAGTAGCTCCCTCATATCAGCAGCTGCCTTTCTCGAAGACATGGGAATGCTTCATAAATTAAATTCAAAACCATAGGATATGAGTAAACGCAATATATACAAACCAGCATTGTAAATGAAAAGCCGCCGGACATCGATCACAACAAAGTAAATCTCCCCCTTCCCCACAAGCATCACAAGTTTCATGATTGCAACGTTTTCTCCACATTTCACGTTCTGCAGCTTTTAATCTTTTTTCTCGACGAATGCTTTCTTCACTTTGGGGCGGAGCAACAAGAGCCTGAATTTTCTAGAGAATAAAATGAATAGCATTGATAAAATATATTATTAAATATAGTCAAATAGACACATTTTTGTTAAATAGTTTAAAATTTAATTTTGTATAAAATTGCCCTTGAGCATTTGAATTGTCCGGAGTATATTGAATTAATTCATATAGCTAATTAAATTTATCTCAACTAGTAAAAATAACAGGGTAAATATAAACGAACCACAAGTTCGATGCAATAAATAGTAACATCAAATTACCTCCATAAGACCTCCTGTGTAGTCTATATCATAGCACTGTAGATGCGACATTGTGATTATTATAACAGTGGTACATTCATTCAATTTCTTCCCATTTATGCACTTAAATTAATACTCCTTAAAATTCAGTAAATATGGTTGAGTGGATGAAGCCTCAAAATGACAAAATGACTATTCCTTTATTAACAACTATAACAAATTCTAGTTAACGATGGTATACCTAAAAAAAATTACATTATTCAAAGTTTAGTCTACTAACTGCATTGACGCCTACGAGCTGATTATTTTAATTGCAAAATTCCTTATCATGACCAACTGACCAATCAAATACAAGTGAGATGGTAGAAAAATAAAAAGCTATTATTACAGTATTAATATGTACAGTACTTTTTCTAGATTAGATCAAAACACTTTTGCAGATGAAAATCTAAAATATTTTTGATTTTACTGAGAGAATGACCCTGTGCTATGACCAAAGTCCAAGTTACCCCCTTCATTTTGTCATGACCTATATCCAGATATCTGTATACCTGTATAGCAGAGGTGGGAACGGTTTTTGGACCAGGAGCCAAAAATTGCAAGCGTGCCATAAAAGTTACATTTTATGAACAATATTTCTGTATTTACAGTATTACAAAAGCATAAGTAGAAATAATAAGCCTTTTGCCAAAACAAATTCGATCACAATCGCAACAAATTCAATCACAATCGCAACAAATTCCTTGAGCTATTTTTACCTAAAACATCAAAATGAATTTAGTTTGGTTGTGGCAGCATCAGGCAGGCCAGAGTGAATTACCAACAGACCGGATTTGGCATGCGAGCTGTAGTTTGGCGTACTACTAAAACTTTTTTCTTTGGCACTTTGGTGAATCAGTGAATGAGATTATGTTTTTTTCTCAGAAATCCAATGGCTGAATAGTCAGATAGTGACATTCAAGAACACAAAAATATAGATAAACACTCTCTGCTGATGAACCAGCGTGCATTAATGTAGAAGACATTTTGCAATTGCACAGGCCTTCAATCAGTTACTGTAATATGGTAGCATGACTGCATGGCAAAAAGCTGGAAACCAGGAAACAGGGGAAAACAGAATGATGGACCCTAATACAAAATTGGTGTTACCATGTTTTGTTTAAACCAAACGTTCAAACAAGAATTATAGTTACAGACTTACAGTAACGGATCGGATCTTATAACAGCCTAGCTAGTGCGATAAAAAAACTGGTGGACCGATATCCGAAAAATACTACTGCTACCACGCCTTAACACTTAGTTATATTCAACATAAAGGTATAAAAAGGCTCCCAACTTAACGCTACCAGTACAACAATATCTATTCAGCAGTGAATGCCACGAATGGTACACCGCCCTCAGCGTATATAAGGAAACCACCATTATACAGAGACATGAAGGAAAACCATCGAAATTATTCCCGCACCAGACAGACAAATTCATTAAAATAAACAAACATAACAACCTCGCGCCATCGTCATCATCAAAATATCACATATATTTATAAAATATATGATTCGTATTTTGGTTGATCTGGTACATGTAATATTATATAATTGCATATTAGCATATTGCGTTCTTTCAAATTAATTTTATTACCATGCATTCCGTTGAAATTACATAAAATACGTCACGGATAATAAATATCCTCTTTACCATGGCATGTCGGAGTGTAGTCTCAAATTAGCCTTCTCACCTTTGACCCTGAATATTGCCGCTCACTTTATTTTTATTCGCGGTCAAGTTCAGCTCAAAACCAAAAAAATTTTATACTCACATTGGCACATAGAGTTCAAATTTATCTAACCAGAAATTGGTCAAGGAGCATAAATTTAGACGGTAGAAGTGTATTAGTATTTATTTACGGTAGAGGTTATCGACCAGCGGTTACGTGAATCAAACTGGCAAACTCTACGACTACGTCAATCGAAACTGGGTACCATTATCCAAGATCTAACGATAAGAATTTTTTTTTTTTGAAATGCTAGTATTCTATTCCCTTATGGGCTGAGTCGCATTAAAAACGTCATTTGACTGATTCAAGTATTTTTTGAACTCCATCATCTCCATTCCAATCAGATTGTACATAGTGTATATAGGTTTTTGAACAATGCGCACTGTGAGTTTAATAAAGCAGAACTTGTGTCAATTCATTTATTTATGTATTTGTATAGTAAATGACTCAGATGACTGTAAATGGTGAAAAGGGTTGGTAGCATAAAAGTCATATTAGGAGTGTCAAATTAGGGCTGGAAAAATACGGACAATGTCTTTCCAAATCGGGATGGTGTAATACGGTCAGCGCATGTCGAATTGAGGCTAGACAAATACGGTCAGTGCATGTGGGCAACTTGATTTCATTCGACACTACCAATTGATATGACTATACTACCGATGATGGGCAGAATGAAAAATCAGTACAGCTTATAGTTCAACATTAGGTGTTCTTTACTCTACTTTTAGATTATTCCCTGTAAATATAAGTTATATGGGCTATGGGTATATATGTTATTGCGAAACACTCGAAGTCACATTTTCATTCCTACTTTTAATGCCCTCGTGTGTAATATTTTGCTTGGTGTGTAGTCTGTATTCATTCAAAACAATAATAGTCAATTTATCACTTGTGCAACTTTGGTTAAGACTAAGTGTTGTAGTTGTAGGCATAATTATTCCCCTGACCATTTGATAGATTATATTCTCACCCCTAATGCCTGTGCCTATTCCATGGTATTAATTAAATTTACGTGTAAATATATATATATATGTATTTAAAACCCACAAATAATCATATATATATTATATTTATGACCGAACCCTAATTTCAATATTGAAATGAATGCATTTTTTATCGTTACCACCCAGCAACCTATCAAAAACGTTTGATTTATTTATTTCATTATTAATATTTATATATTATGTGTTTTCTGCTTTGACGAAGAAAAAGATAAATTCTCTTTCCCTCAAAATTTGACTGAAATTGCTCGGCCCTTTGTCCGTTACTGGTCCAGTGAAATATGGAAATAGTTGAAAAATAATTTGTTGTGCCGTGTGCGTGGACTTAATGCATGCGTTTGAAGGACGACAAACAGCTATGCGAATCACCCGGTAGCAGCAAAGAGTCTACTAGCTAGCGCATAATCGTTCTCACGGAATTCGAACCTGCGACTCCACGAAGGGTAATCAGATAAGATATATTTTAAATCAATAAATAGCGATAAAAATATTCAATAAATACAAATTATTCACAATAATGTTTAAAATAATAAATAACAGTTAAGAAGAAAGAATACAAGGGTTCAAATGTTAGAATGCAACATGACGAACATCGTGATTCATGTGCAAACAGCAATCACTTCAATGTAGTATATCGTTAGTCAATGTGACTCAATCTAGTAAGTTATATTATTATAAATCAATTCCTTTCTTTAATGTCGTTGGGAAGGTGTATAACCACAATAATATTTTTCCAAAAGATTGAATAAATGACAATATATATATATAGATAAATATTGCAATATATATCATAAATAAAAATAATAATTATTCTAAATCGTATACCGTCATCATAAAATTTGGTCATATTAACCTAAAAACAAGTAGTATTCAACTTGTCAGATCCCAAATGGTCTATAAACACAAGTGCATCCAACAGAAACTTTAATAAATCTTGGACGAAATCCGTCTTCAGGTCTATAAACTTTCTTTTTTATGTAAACAGCTTTGCTATAATGTTGTGGCATAATTGTTGGCTGTCCATTTTTGGACCTTCTCACACAGTGTAAACATGAACAACATACAACAGGGAAGGCTTGTGGTAATCGAGAGGGATCATAGTCCATCCTGAAATATACATAAAATAGATATTTTTCACAATTATGAATTTATAGCCTTCGTATATTCGTCAAAACCCCGATTTTTCTGACTGAACGGTGCATACATATGGACGGTGCAGTTAAAAATTTTAGAACTTTTCTATTTAGCTAAGGAATACAAAAATGTTGGAGTTACAATACGATGGAATTGGCATTCTAGGCTATACTTTAGGATTTTTCAGTACAGCTAATACAATATGGCTATTAACAAATAACTGTGATATCTTATTCTATAGTCGTGTTCGCGTGGCAAGAATCTACCAACTTGAGAACCAGTTTGTTTGGTGCAGATTGTTACGTGTTTTTTCAAACAGTAAATGATATTTCAACTTTACAAATTGTATTTTTTAAAAAAATATTAAATTTTACTAATATTTAACTAACTAGAAGCAAAAAACTACCTTGTAACCCAAGGAGAAATGCTATTTTTCGATCTTTTCCCGCTGAGTTTAGAAAATGCCGTTAGTCCCATCATATATGGACAGTGTTTTGGCGAGTCAATCATTGTCGAACAATCAACCTGCAATATATAAATATTTTATTTTATCAGGAACTAGCTTAAGAATACAGATCAGAATACAGGATAAGAAGAATACAGCTTAAGAATGCGTATTAAAATGCAGGACAAAGACCAGACATTTTTTATGGGTTTTGCATGTTCTAGCTTTATTTATTCAACTTTGATGTAATTTCGTCAATTCACTTAAGACATAGATGCAAGCTTCAATTTGAAATTAGAAAACTCGATAATTAATAACGGCAAACTATTAGGTAATGTCACAATAATCAGCATCATACTCGTGTTCGAGGGTTTAATTCTAATTTCAATTATTAATGCTCCGGAATAAAGGTCGATTATCTATGGTTCAATCAAGAATAGCATGTTGCAAACTTTATTAAATAAAAAGAATCTATTAATTAAAAGAAAACTGGAAAGTAAAGTGAAGAATTCGGAGTTGCGGTTAGAAAGAAACGATTAGCATTAAAATAAATGACATATATATATATATATATATGATATAGAGAATGAAAACATACCGGCTGTTTCACTAATTTTCTATATTTCGTTCGATGTGTTGATTCAGTTTCGTTACCACTGTTTAAATAAAAAAAAAGTATTAAATACTTCAACTTAGGGTCAGCACAACACATGAGTAATCTAGTTCTAATAAGATTCAAAGTGATCCACAGGTATCAGCATAATTTGAACTTTGTATTTTTTTTGTCGAGATTACTGAATTAAAATTGCTTTACCTTGATAGGAAGAGAGCTTTTGTTTCAGAAATTCGACGTGAGAAGCCCATGCTGAATTTGCTTAATAAAACTCCAAGAAGAAGTAAGCTGAGATCGGGAAGAATCTGAAAAATATTTTGATAAGTTGTTTCGTCGAGGCAAGCATAAACTATTACGTTTTGTTGCACTAACTTCTGGAGAACCATAATATTTCCGCCATTATTAACTTTAGAATATTAAAATTGCCGACTCGCACATATACATTATATTTCTATTTTTATCCATATTACATCGCTAATGCTTCATCTGACTGATATCTTATATACAGCATGGGTCTTGTATACTGACCCTCACGAATAATGATAACCAAATATTATTGAATTATTTTGTTTTTAGTTTCTGTTGCTTCAATTGTTTTATAGTGTTGACATTATTAGTGAAATAAAATTTCTCTCTCTCTCTCGGCTGGTAAAAAAGCTTTATTGATTCATGCACATTTCATTATCACTATATATACAGTATATTGTTTAGTACAATTAGGATCCACATCATTTGCATCTTTTATTTTTTCTCTATATTCATGGATAACTTACCCTCATACTTTAATAAAGATCGTGATCGTTGAGAGAGTATAGGAAGTTGTTATACAGACTGCACTTATCGTTTAATGACAATCCGCTTCAATTCCCACGTTTTATAGTCTCCTCCTCGCTCAAGATGTGAGCATCCTGTATAATCTTCATCTGTCTTCTTTTCTATTTTTTCTTCAATTATACACTTGTAAAACGTAATGCAATCATAAATATTCTTTCATGCGTCATTACCTCTCTTCAAAACGAACCGCCTGTTTCTTGGTGACACTTGATAAAATCCCATTTGAAGCACCCACGCATCTTCTTTAACAGTTAGAAAAACCAAATTGTGCTACTGGTATTTTGCAATCATTCTAATTCTTGAGACTTGAATAGCTGAATTCTTCAAAGCTATAAAGCCTGATATACGTGAAAACTATACTGACTCTGTAACATCGAAATATAATTGATGAGCTGCACATTTTTGCAACAACTCTCACGGAGGCTATGTTGTTATTCAACATCGTAGATGATCAGTTATTCTGGTATTAAGATATAAATAGGTGCTGCGGTGGTATGTCACGCAAACATTATTTTATATTTAGAAAGCTCATGCATAAAAATTCAGTGCATTTTAATCATGAAATGGATCTGGAGATTCCTGAATTAAATTGTTGAGTTTTTTTTTTATATTGATGTATTAGAATAATGTTAATTATACGCGCCTAAAATATAACAATACACAGAGTGAGAATAAGATACACGGGGTCAGGGTTTGACGTAATTGCCAGGTAAATGTTGAAAACTTTTGTTATAATGAAATTCTCTATATCATTTAGGTATCAATGACGTATATGGTGGCTCATCGTTGTCACTAGTAAAATTTTTGACAAATTAAAAAACTAAAATAAAAAACCGGAAATGAAAAGGCGGCCCATCGTTGTCAACCTTTCTTATTTTCATTTTAGTTGCGTTTTTTTTTTTAATTTTTTTTTTTGCATTTTCATTCCGTTTTTATTTTCGTTTTTTTTTTGTTTTTGTTATTGATATATTTTTTATTCAATTATTTGGATAATTTTAATTAATTTTCATTTAACACTAGGGTTGGGCATTACGAATCGAATAGTAAGTCATTCGAATCGTTTAAGACAAAAATTTAGAATCGCCGTCATCTTTATTTTGCCAAAGGTTAAGGTGAATCCCTCTTTACTTATCGATCTTAAGATCGGTAAGTATGTTGATAGGTATTTGTCTGTCTGTGTCTGTTTGTTTGTCCGTTAGATGAACGCGATATCTCGCGAAGTTGAATCTGTTCCAAATTTTGCATGTGCATTCATCATATCTCGGACCAGAAGATTAATGATTTTGGATGAATTATGTCGTATAATTAGCGAGTTATTAATTAATTAGTGATATTCCGACCGATATTCTTGTTTTTTTATTAAGGCTATATTTTTCAAATGAAATACTTACTTTTCTTTCTAGTGAGTTATTATTGAAACATGTTTCTATTAATGTGAATGCTCAGCGAACTGTCTGAGTGCTGGATTCTATGTTTTCAGTGATTTATGTGCCTGGAGGACCTATTACAATAAAAAAAATCCTATGCAATTACATATATTTTAAGTATTCGAGACTCTATTGAAAAGTATTCGATTAGATTCTGAAATCATCACGTATTTGAAAATGCCCATCCCCATCTACCATAAAAGTATACTAATATATATATATAGAATAAATTTCTCAATCAAAGTATTTTTACAATTTCTGGATATCGCAACAAAATATTATTTGTAATGATTATCCATTTTTGTTCAATTTCATGTATTTGGACGGACGCATCACATGCGCGTTTTTCATTCATTTTTCCAGCTTTGAAAACTGTATGTACATCGCTGTTTGTTCCGTCTTTTGAAATCCAAGAAAAAGTAAAAATTGAAATTAATGATAGCAAGTTTTTAACAGAAAGAGAACATATTTGGTCTTTGCCCAATTTTTTAAATTCCATGACATATTTTTATTTCATAAATTTGCAACACAAATTTGGTAGATGGGAGAGGAAAATATATATGTTTTGTTTCTGAATGGGGCAAAAATGGATAAGACGAAAGCTTATCATCTCGGAACAATCGCGAGAAAAATTTCCGCGTGGAATGAACATGCATTACCACGGTTTTCAAATAAATAAAAACTAAAGGGCTTTTGTGTTCTAAAGTATGTTAATTTCCAAAGTTGCCAATAGACTATAAGCGAACAAGTACGACAATACTTGTGAGACTATACACGGGATGTTTTTAGTGTGTTTTCAACTTTCCATAAATAAGCCCCCGAAAGATGATTGCACATATATCCAAGCGTACCGCGTCTTTGGTCTCGCGTTACAGACTCATCCTGCGTAATTTTTTAATTAGCAAATCTTCCCATCGTACGCGAACATACATAACGTTCCGTAAGTACGTCAAAACGTCTTGTCAGATACGCAACCCAAGGGGAAAGTAACATGCTATCATGGCAAGAAAACAGAGGTCACTGATGTAATTTATCTTGACATCTTGTACTTTGTCACCATGATCAAATGACGAATGAAACGTTGTGAAGCAAGCTAAAAATGAGTTTTTACAAGTGATACGTATGAAACCAGACTACTAAAATATCTCAAATCTCCCTTTTACTGCATTTTTAATTATTAAGTAATCAAAATAGCTTAAAATTATTTAATCATAAATTATTATGTATTGAATATTAATGAGTTTTGTGGTAATACTGAACTAAAGTCATCTCTATTATTTTCAGCTAACAACATGGTTGAAGATTATTACTGACGTGACTTTTTTGTTTTGGAATATTTTCGTTGTGTATTCTAATTAAATTTGGGCATCTATTTCAATATTACGCTGCCTCTGTTAAAAGAAAAAAAGGCGTTAAAATTTAAACGAAGAATAAAAGTAATTTTTTTTTTGAGTATTTATAATGACCTGAATTTTACCTCAACATTGATCTGACGAAGATCTGTGCACGTGTTACGAGGTTTATCAGTACAAGTATATTAAGAGAAAATTAATTATTAAATATGCATCGAGACAAAAGCCGAAAAAGAAAAATTAGGTAATCTAATGAATTAAAATCTTCCGATAAAAATACAAAAATTTCAACAATAAATTAGCACTAAAACAAGAGAGCGATGCTCAAATATAAGAACACGGAGTAAATCCGTCACAGCGCAAATTTTGATGACGTCATCGCACACAACAACAAGCTTTAGCCACTGAAAATTTGGATTTAATCGGCACTTGTGCAAACCTGTAGCCACATTTTATTTATTTGTTGTAATTTTATTTATTTATTGTTTTTCAATAAATAGTCAATTGGTATAAAACCAAACACAAAATAATGTTTGCATTTATAAGTAATTTATGTTCAAGCACTCACGTTAGTATTTGACTTTTGACCCCAACCATTTTGTTTAACGATTTGAATGAAATTTTATAGAAATTTAAAGTGCTTTGAATTGTTAAATTTTTTATGGATTTATTTCGATCTTACAAAATGATCTCCAAATGCTTACGTCAATCAATTTAAATCCTTCATATCTCCATTTCGATTTTGCGAACTCGGCGCTCAGACACATTTCCATATGAGTCGCGTAGGCTACCGTCACTGCGGTTGGATATTGGACCTTTGTGTCTATATATTTGAGCTCTGCTCTCTTGTTTCCTGTTTTAGAAATGAACACATACTTCACTGGCTACTAAATCAAAACAGTCAGGAATATTTTAATAAGGAAAACTACATGTAACGTGAATAATTTGATACCACCTCGTTTTGGCTTTCGTGTCCATATATTTGAGTATATTCAGTCATCTAGTCAAGCTAATACCTAGAAACACCTACTGATCGGTGAAGTGATTCCGTTTATTAGATTGAACACAAATGCCACAAATTGTTAACACCAGCATAAATAAATGTGTTCCGCGAGATGGCGTTGTTGAACACTGTTTAACAATGATGCCACGCTCAATCAGATAGCGTTCTTCTCCTTTTGATCAGCATTTTTTTTTGAGCGACCAACTTAATGAATTATATGTTTTCTCTACCCAATGGTGCAGTCACCTGGTGGTTCACATCTCTGCACTGCTGCCAAGAGTTCAGGATAAAAAGTTAATCAGGATAAAAATTTATCATTTTTTACACAAAAACCCAAAGTATGAAAAAAAGTTAACACAGTGAAAACTGTTCAAGTTGCTAGCATAAAGCAGAAGTTAGAAGATCAAAAAGATTTTGATACTTTGATTCTCCGAAAAAATTATTTTCATTTCTTAATTGGATGACCATATTATGACATACACTTACAGTTCTGGCGATACGTTTATTTATACAATATGCCTTGTTGTATGAAATTTGGACTTCGTTCAACTTTAGTTATTAAAGGACATACTAAGTTGGGAGTTATAAAAATTACAAGAATATGCCCATGACGAAACAATTTACAGGTGTAGAACAATTGACTTTTTTTCAAATTGTATTGACTATGAAACAAGTAGATATAAAAACTCTTCGCATAAGTCACTATCAAATTCAAAGGGGTTTAATATACAACAATTGACGAATGAGCCATCATATCCCATTAAATCCGCCCTTGTCAATGATGTATTGCGTATAGTGATATATTTTATAGGATATCAATGAATTGAATCTCAGCGAATAGTATGCATGACGGTAATAGGCCAGTAACTTTAATATGAAGTTGCTAAAATGTTGTTCATTTCAAAAAAATGCTTACAACAGACGAAAAGCAGCAAAAATAAAAAAATAAATAAGGAATGAAATACCGATACAACTCTTTTTCTGAAAATGTTAAATTGCCAGATGTTTTAAGGAAAATGAAGCGGCATAAATGAGACAAATTACATGTTTTATTTTCATTAAAAATGCATAAGTTTTAATGAAGCCCTGTGACCAACGGAAACTTACCAGACACAATTTATCTGCAAGAGAGTTGAAATTATAATCATGGTGCTTTCTCCACCGATCAGTCTAACCATAGGTAAAAATATGTTCGTAATCATTTGTTCCAGGTACAAGAGGATAAGGAAGTCTATAGGGTTTCAATTTGCGTCTAATTAGTGTTTCTCTTTAGGACTAAAAATAGCGCTTTCAAATACAAAGTAATTCGTACCGAAAGAAAACACACAATGTCAGACATGAAATATAAACTATAACAATACAAATTATGCCATATTTACATTGCTTGATTTTGTTTAGGTTAAATAGGATGAGTTACCAACATCTAATTGGTCTCGTTTTCTCCAATTGAAGCGTGTTTCTAGACTTCATAAAACATCATCCAATTATAAAAAAAAGTTGGGTGAGTGGATTCAAAAAGAACCCACATCGTCAGCAATAAAACAAGAGAGCAGTGTTTGAATATATCGACACGAAGAGCCAATGATCAACTGCAGTACCAGTAGCCTAGGCCTACATTGAATCCGTTATCTTATCCTTCAAAATCTTCAAGTCAAACCTGAAAATCAAGTTTTACAGCGGTAGCAATACACAACCAGACATTAGTATCGGGGAAGCCGTAGTGGAGCAGTGGGTAGCGGCTTGGGTATGAATGAGGCGCCCAATGTCACGCGGTGGCGCCATATTCATAAAAAGAATGTCAAAAGTTTGGCGATAGTAACAACATCCTTCAACTACCTTTGAGTACTAAAAATTGAGAATCGATTTGTCCGCAACAGGTAGAAAAACACAAATAGTAGGATAACGACAATAAGACTTTAGCAAAACGATTCATATGCGCAAGCTTCGGGTTCACAAATCAATTCGATGAATACGCTCGTCGTTATGATATTTACATACAAATCCATAGAATATGTTCTTTACATATCATTGACCATCAAAGGCGAAAATGAAATAAAAACTAAAACATTGGAATTCATAGT